TAAATAATGATGAACAGCATTTATTCAGCATTAAAGGGATACTCCACTGCCTAAATAAATTTAAAAAAAAATATATAAAAATCACTGTTTAGAAGATGTACACCCAATGAAAATATGCATGCATTTAATTTTGCTTTTTTTTTTCATTGGGGCTATATTTAACAACTACTTGCAGAAGTGGCATTTCTCTTGACTGAAGTCTTTGCAAGCACTCCCCTTCTAACCTCCGCCCACACATTTTGTAGCTGTTAAATCACAGACTTTGCAAAGCAACTTAATGAGAAGTCTTTGAAAGGCAGGTGCTCAGGGCAATTGATTGCCAATGGAGTTTAGCTCAGCTGAGCTAACCAAACCAGGAAGTAAATTGACCGGTTGTCTGCTTGAAAGCTAAGGGGTGTTACCAAGTTAATTTATATTAAGTGTCAATTTCTAATAAAATCTGCACATTTTATAAAATGAAAAAAAGAGGACACTCTCATACATAAAGCATTACTTACTATACAGCATAACTTGTGCCAAGAGTACCCTTGTTACACCTGTTCTGCTGTGAAGCAGGATTTGACATCTGGCTTATGCACAGCTGCAGAAATTGAATGCAAATCCTGCTGGCTATTCACTGGCTGAGAGCATCAGATTCAGTGGACCGTTCTCAGCAAATGAATGGCTCCTAGTGCAAGGAAAGTTACATAGGACTGCCATTAGCAAGCCAACGGCACACCAGTGAATGTTGCCGGAGGTACAGTTAAACCTTCGGGAGTAAAGGGGTTAATCCCTGTATGTGCAGTGTTTCCCAGCAAGCGGCTGCACATGCAGACTCCAGACACTATGACCATTTCTAATCACGGAGGTTGTCATGAAGGTTGGACTAACCCTTTAACCAATGCCATTCTTGCTAATCTAGCCAATCTATGCAGAATTTGCTTAAATCACTGAAAGAAGGGCCTTTTCACTTCACTTCACTCCCAAGGCTCCCTTTACCTCCAGTAGACATCTCAATAGCCAGATTAGTCTAAGATTTATTCACAGAAGGTCAAATATCTGCTAAAATCCCAAAATGGCATTAAAAAAAAAATTGCTATTGGAATGCTGCTGATTTAGATTTTTGAACTTTACGATTAAAAAAAAATAATGCTAGAGACATTTAGTTCAGGATAAGTAGCCTTAAGAGGCGAAGAATGACAAGAGCAAACTAAATAGTTGCGATGTTAACAGCTGCAAATCTGCGCATCAACAGTAACAAGTCCTGTATAGAACATTTAAAGAAACACTAAAGCACCTATTGCTAAGGTCGTCTCCCTGCCTGCCCCGGTACTCATAGAGGAGCATTGGAGACCTGATGTGCATGCACAGCGTGCGCATCAATTTTACCAATAGGAAAGCATTGGATCAATGCATTTTTTTTTTTAATAGCGGCTGCAGTCACGTGGACTGCTGAAGGAGTGTTTAACAATGTAGATGGAAACATTGCAGTTTCTCAAACTGAAATGTTTTACATTGCATGGTTAAACCTACAGGACCACAGACTTTCATCTTAAAAAGTGGTCTGGGTGACTATAGTGTCCCTTTATAACATTCTATTCAAAAACATGTGATTTGGGGTGAATTTGCAAGGAAATGACCAAAACAGCTTAAAAATATTCTACAAACCCGCTCTTTTACCGTATCGGCTACTTTAGTCAACATCTTGCAGTTCCCTTTCACATTCATCCACCTTAATGCACTGTTTAATTTTAAATATGTAATCATAAAAATGTGCCTTTTTTTTACATTATTGGATACCTTAAAAACTTATGTGCACTTTTGTATCCATCTTTAACCCCTTAGTGACCAGACCGTTTTTCAATTTTCTTACCGTTAAGTACCAAGGCACTTTTTACATTTCTGCGGTGTTTGTGTTTAGCTGTAATTTTCCTCTTGCTCATTTACTGTACCCACATATATTATATACCGATTTTCTCACCATTAAATGGTCTTTCTAAAGATACCATTATTTTCATCATATCATTTACTATAAAAAATATAAAATATGATTTTTAAAAAAGGAAAAATAACTCACTTTGTCGAACTTTGACCCCCAAAATACGCATCTACAACCGCCAAAAAACACCCGTGCTAAATAGTTTCTAAATTTTGTCCTGAGTTTAGAAATACCCAATGTTAATATGTTCTTAGCTTTTTTTGGAAAGTTATAGGGCTATAAGTACAAGTAGCACTTTGCTATTTCCAAACCATTTCTTTCCAAAATTAATGCAAGTTACATTGTAACACTGGTATCTGTCATGAATCCCCAAATAACCCTTCACATGTATATATTTTTTTTAAAAGAAGATATCCTAAGGTATTAAACTTGGGGTATTTTGACTCTTTTCATGCAACCATTTTACCACCAATTTATGCCAAATTAAAAAAAAAATAATTGATGATTTATTTGACATACATAGCAATTTAAGAATACATGTACTGAGAACTTTAAGGGTTACTGCCAAAGAACATCCCAATATGTGTTCAGTAACATCCTCTGAGTACAGTGATCCCCCCATGTATAAGTGTGTTGGGTTCTCTGGGGGAGAGCCGCAACAAACACATAGTGTGATATGTTTAAACAAATGGGAGTAAATTAATGGGCTGGCATAAAATCACTACAAAAATGCAATGCACATTAAAAAGAACTGCTGGATTGGATTCCTCAACTGCTGTGCTTCATATAAACTGTCGGGTGGAGCACTGGCCCACCCTTCGCTCCAAATGCTCCACCCATAGGAACCCATATTAAATTACACATTTACACTGTGTTGCCTTATTCACGACAGACAGACAGACAGACAGACAGACATTCTCCCTGGGGCTATTCTACAATATTTACAGCACAGCACTGCAATACCTTTGTGGGAATATATACATACCATTACTAACACAAATTACTATTTTACTGCCTAAATATGTAATGTATGGCTTTAAAGGGACACTGTAGTCACCTGAACAACTACAGCTTAATGTATTTGTTCAGGTGAGATCTATAGCTCCCTGCAGGCAATCTAGTGTTTACATTGATTGATAGGAATACCTCCAGTGGCCGTCACTCAGACGGCCACCAGAGTGACTTCCTATCATGTAGGGCCCTAAAAAGACCTTGTACAGACCTTGTGTGCAGGAGAGAGAAGGCACTGTGTGCGCACCTTCTCTCTCCTGCCTGTCAGCAGAGGAGAGGGGGCGGTCAAAGACCGCAAGCTGAGCTGTTAGCTCAGCTCGCGGCCGCGCGCATGTGCACAAGGGAGCAATGACGCTTCCAAATGGAAGCGTCTGATTGCTCCCTGCCGCGCCCGCCTGTTTTGACGAAATAGGGGGCGTAGCTTCACGAGGCTCCTGGCGCTGGAACCAGGTGAGTAAACTACTCTGCCTGGAGAGTCCCTTTAATTATAGATTGGACAACCCTTTTTCTATGATAGCCACTTATTTTAAAGTAGCAGGCAAACCTTATGTATATGCCCATATGTAACTGATTTTTAAACATATAAAAAAAACCTTTGCAGTTAGAATTTTTATCAATACATTTTAATATCAAGCTTGGATATGATCTAGAAGTGAATATACATTGCCTATTGGTCCATATGTGTTATATCAAAGAATTTTGTTATTACCGGATGATGTGTATGTTTGAATAAATATAAATTTTTAGCTGCAAGACACTCGGATTCAATTATTAGAACACTGGTGTGTGAAAAACAAACATCTCAAGAAAAGCTAATTTCCTTCCTTTTCAGTTGCTCCAAAAGAGCCTCAACTGTGCCAGGCCACCCTGGGCCCCTCATGCCTCCATAAATATAGTAAATATCTTACTGTATTCAAGCCAGAAGCTGTAACTCTGCATGCTGTTAGACTCAGAAAAACAAACAGTCTGCTGACATCAGCTGAAGTGGTAGCCTGATCCAATCACAGTGCTTCCCCATAGGATTGGCTGAGACTGACAAAAAGGCAGATCAGGGGCAGAGCCAGCCTGATTCAAACACAGCCCTGGCCAATCAGCATCTCCTCATAGAGATGAATTGAATCAATGAATCTCTATGAGGAAAGTTCAGTGTCTGCATGCAAAGGAAGGAGACACTGAATGTCTGGATGCATTTTAGGCAGCCATGACCCAGGAAGGATCTCTAACAGCCATCTGAGGAGTGGCCAGTGAAGTTATCACTAGGCTATAATGTACACACTGCGTTTTCTCTGAAAAGACAGTGTTTACAGCAAAAAGCCTGAAGGTAGTGATTCTACTCACCAGAACAAATTCAATAAGCTGTAGTTGTTCTGGTGACTATAGTGTCCCTTTAAAATGCCTGCACCAAATATGTGTCTCATTCTGGCCCTGATTGGGAATACAGCTTTTTCATTGCTTTATATAAATCAGTATGAAGCAATGAAATAATGTGTGCTCCAGCAAACAAAAACAATGGTCACTCCTTAGGAGCATAGTCAGATTTTTATCTAAAAAATAGTTTTATCACAAGAATATTCACTATAGCAAGTAAGTGTGAGAATCTACTGAATCTAGAAATAGCTTTTACTGTGAGACATAATGCAATATGCAAATACTGTTGCTCTATAATTATTAAATACATATACTTTGTTGTTCTGCATTACACTACATCCTTATCATAGTATAAAGCAGGTCTTCCATTCACAATAAAAATAGAAGCTGTCATATAGACAAATACGCGATCATAAGTTTGTCCCTCCTCGCTGCCCTTACATTTAGCCTATCGACGAGCCTATCTGGTACCGTTGAAGGGAGGATAATTTTGTTCCTAACACAAAGTACTACCAACCCTTTATCCAGATAAATATTACTTACAGATTCTATGTTGGCTAATAACGCTCGTGCTCACTACTCTCCTTGATGCAGTATGCGCACGAAAAATAACTCGTTATAAGTTTTATCTTTGAATGGATTCACCCGGCGGGGAAGTTAACCAATCAGCGAGCAGCGCTCGGCAAATTCAAACTGTCTGTGTGAAGGGAAGGGACGTGAGCGCTGCTGTTGATAGAACACCGGACGCAAGTAGTGCCGGGCAGTGAGTGTCCGCCAGTGTGCAGCCATGTCGGAGGGAGACGCCGTACAAGTGTGTGTCAGGGTCCGGCCACTCATTCAGAGGTAATAACAAATAGTCCGTAAGTGTTTGGGAGAATCCCTGGAATGCATAGTGTCCTCCCAGCTGGTGGAAGGGTTAACCTGAGTGCTTATAGGGTTATATCTAATCACCCCTATATTATTACAGAGTGATACATAGCCTGCAGCTTGGTGTACGTTAACACTGTCAGCAGAGAGCAACCCTTGTATTCAGTAGACGGGGGAGTTTGAAGAATTGCAATTTTTAGAACAAAACCAATAGAAATTAAGAAATTAAATCTCATAATCCGTTATATTTTCCCATTTAGGATATTGTTTCTTATAATGTGCAATGCTTCTTAACTGCTAGTACATGCATGGCCCAACAGTTATATCAAAAACAGTTTTGGCCTGATCATTATGTACATTGGTTGTTTTGATACTTGACATGCAGCCATTTTGTCAGTAATATTTTTTTATATTTTTCTTGCACAATTGACTTCATTTTTATTTATTTTTTATTTTGTTTTACTCATATGCGTACACACTGGTTGTGCAAGGCACACGTCCTAAAGCCAAATTCAGACCAGCCTTTGTTTTATTCAATTTTAATACATTTAAAGGGACTCTATAGACACCAAGACCATGAAATGCACTGCAGGAATGACAATGTTTTCATTGCAGGGTTAAAAGATCACTATAGTGTCAGGAAAATTAAGCGGTTTTCCTGACACTATAGTGTTCTGAGGGTGCCCACACCCTCAGGGTCACCCTCCCGCCGAGCTGAAGGGGTTAAAACCCCTTCAGTAGCTTACCTTTTTCCAGCGCTGGGCTCCCTTGACGCTGGTGACCTCTCCTCCCCCGCCGACATCAGCGGAGCTGAAAGCGCATACGTGGCAAGTGCCGCGCACGTGTTCAAGCTGTCAGTAGGAAAGCATTTTTCAATAGGTAAACGATAAAAGTTTAATGGACATCAATTAAGAACCAGTCATCCTGACTAATGCACGAAAAAATTTACTCAATTTTTGCTGCTAGGATCCACTGCAAAACACTGACAGAAATTACATCATACATAAGAACAAAAAATACAAAAATAAATACACCAATTACACAATTTAAATCAAATGGACAAGTCGAGTTATAAAAATTCCTCCTGCACGTCAAAAAGGATAAATACCCCATTCGCGTTAGCAGCGCCACCCTTTGTGGACGCCTTGTGAAAACTAGTGGGTGGCGGGGGGATGTAAAGCTTCTTCCTATTAAAGAGTTGCAATGTCCCTTTTTCCTTGAAAAGTGGTGCGGGAACACTGAATTGGTAACCATTGCACGTGGGGTAAGTTTCAAATTTGAGTATTATAGGTTACAATTATCAGATCAATAGGGCATCCTAAGAAGCTTATAGTAGTTACCCAGTGATAAACACAAAAATAAAAAATTGAGGTTCCTATTACTTACACTGAACAAAATTATAAACGCAACACTTTTTTGTTTTTGCCCCCATTTTTCATGAGCTGAACTCAAAGGCCTAAGACTTTTTCTATGTACACAAAAGGCCTATATCTCAGAAATATTGTTCACAAATATGTCTGAATCTCTGTTGGTGAGCACTCCTCCTTTGCCAAGATAACCATTCACCTCACAGGTATGGCATATCAAGATGCTGAATAGACCGCATGATTATAGCAAAGGCTGGCCACAATAAAAGGCCACTCCAAAATGTGCAGTTTTATTACACAGCACAATGCCACAGATGTTGCAAGTTTTGAGGGAGCATGCAATTGGCATGCTCACTGCAGGATTGTCCACCAGAGCTGTTGCCCGTGAATTGAATGTTCATTTCTCTACCATAAGCCATCAGCAAGGCATTTTAGAGAATTTGGCAGTACATCCAACCGGCCTCATAGCCGCAGACCACGTGTAACCACACCAGCCTAGGACCTCCACATCCAGCATCTTCACCTCCAAGATCGTCTAAGACCAGCCACCCGGACAGCTGCTGCAACAATCTGCTTGCACAACCAAAGAATTTCTGCACAAATTGTCAGAAACCGTCTCAGGGAAGCTCATCTGCATGCTCATCGACCTGACTGCAGTTTGTTGTTGTAACCGATTTAAGTGGGCAAAAGCTCACATTCGATGACGTCTGGCACTTTGGAGCGGTGTTCTCTTCACGGATGAATCACGTTTTTTTTTTATTATTATTTATTATTATTATTGTACAGGGCAGATGGCAGACCGCTAGTATGGCGTTGTGTAGGTGAGCGGTTTTGCTGATGTCAACATTGTGGATTGAGTGTCCCGTGGTGGTGGAGTTATGGTATTGGACGGTGTATGTTATGGACAACAAACACAACATGACCATCACCTCATGTTGCAGCATGATAATGAACGGCCCCAAGTTGCAAGGATCTGTACACAATTCCTGGAAGCTGAAAACATCCCAGTTCTTGCATGGCCAGCATATTCACTGGACATGTCACCCATTGAGCATGTTTGGGATGCTCTGGATCAGCGTATATGTCTGCATGTGCCAATATCCAGCAACTTCGCACAGCCATTGAAGAGGAGTGGACCAACATTCCACAGGCCACAATCAACAACCTAAACAACTCAGTGTTGCACTACGTGAGGCAAATGGTGGTCACACCAGATACTGACTGTTTTTTGGACCTCCCCAATAAAGTAAAACTGCACATTTTAGAGTGGCCTTTTATTGTGGCCAGCCTAAAGCACACCTGTGCAATAATCATGCTGTCTAATCCAGGGCTTGACAAATTTGTTTAGGATATAGGAGCCAGCTAAAAAAGTTAGGAGCCAGTAATTTTCAACGAGAGTGCAATTCTTAAAGGGACACTATAGTCACCAGAACCACTACAGCTTGATATGGTAGTTTTGGTGTCTATAGCCTGTCCCTGCAGGCATTTCAGTGTAAACACTGCCTTTAAAGCGAAAAGGCAGAGTTTACATTGCTGCTTACTAACTCCTCTGACTGTCACTCAGACGGTCACTAGAGGTTCAGTGTTTCCAAGCTCTGCATGGAGGCGCTGAATGCTCCTCATAGAGATTGGTTAATGTAATGCATCTCTATGAGGAGATGCGAATTGGTACACTTGCTGCGCATGCACAAAATCCTCCCAATGCTTTGCTAAGGGAAAGCATTGCCTTAGCGGAGATCATAAAGATTGATCATCTCAGCCATTGCAAAACTGGCACGGCGTGGGAAAATAGGAAGAAAGGTGAGTAAAAAAACACCTTCCTCAAGCGATCGCGCACGCACACACACTCTGACAGGCTCACATACACACTCATGCTGACAACAGGCTTGCACACACTGACAGACACACACATACAGACGCTGACAGGCTCTCACATACAGATACTGACTCTGACAGGCTCGCTCACTGACAGCACACACACACAGTCTGACAGGCTCGCTCACAAACACACACACAGACACTCTTGACAGATTCACACATTTTTATTTGAATTGAAATCCACTCAGTCTCCCTACCTTTGGGAGAGCTGAGTGAGTCTTTCCTGGGGTCCAGTGGGCTGCACTATTCCTGTGTGGGTAGGAGCAGTACTCTGCCAGTAGCTCCTCTCTGCTCCCTCGCGCTCTGTAATGATGCCGGGGCGACATCATTACACAGCGCGAGAGAGCAGATGCAAATAGAGTACTGCTCCCTCGCGTGCTGGCCATAATGCTCGGGCGGCGGGCGGCATCCTCCATGTATCCGCGGGCAGGCGTCAAAGCTCCCTCCCACGCTAACTAGAGAGCTGGCAAATCCCAGTCGCCGTGGCGATCTGGCGCCTGGGATTTGTCGAGCCCTGGTCTAATCAGCCTCTTGATATGCCACAGCTGTGAGGTGAATGGATTATCTCGGCAAAGGAGAAGTGTTTCTATTCACAAGAAAGGTAATAGGGAGGAGTCGGGCAACTATAGGCCAGTAAGCCTTACTTCAGTAGTGGGGAAAGTGATGGAAACCATGTTAAAGGATAGGATTGTTGAACATCTAAAAAACACATGGATTTCAAGATCAGAGACAACATGGGTTTACTTCAGGGAGATCATGCCAAACTAATCTTATTGATTTTTTTGATTGGGTAACTAAAATTATAGATCAGGGTGGTGCAGTAGACATTGCTTACCTAGATTTCAGTAAGGCTTTTGACACTGTTGCACATAGAAGGCTTATCAATAAACTGCAATCTTTAAGTTTGGATTCCAATATTGTTGAATGGGTAAGGCAGTGGCTGAGTGACAGGCAACAGAGGGTTGTAGTCAATGGAGTATATTCGAAGCTTGGGCTTGTCACCAGTGGGGGATACCTCAGGGATCTGTACTTGGACCCATTCTCTTTTTTTTTTTTTTTTTATAAATTCTTTATTTTTGTTGTGCGGGTGGTTACAAGATACCAACAAACGCCACAACGGCGTATTGCAAGATTTATACATGTTAGACAGTGGCATGAAGAGTCGCACATATTTTGTGTTTTTTTTATCCAATATAACTAAACGATTGTAGTGCCCTAGTTAAGGTAAATGAAACAAGTAGAAACTATGTATGTGTGACAGTACTAGATGAGCTGTATTAGTGTGGTTAGATCTATGTGTTGAGTTACACGCTAGTTGAATCGTTATCGTAGTCACTTATGTAGATGCTATTGGTTAGCACAATTAGTTTATCCCATCCACACTTGTATAGGTGTAAATATTGGTTGTGCGGCTACCTGTTGTCTGGACCGGGATAAGTATGGATATGGATACTCTACACGTGCATAGGACATCAGCTTATCACAGTTGTAGAAAACATTTGCTTGTAACAATTGCATAAAACTTTTGCATATACTATTTGCATATGACATGTGCGAGATAGTTAGTAAGAAAACGTAGTAGAGTATTCAGCTTAGGAGCGGGGTCGTGAGTGTGATGACAGCCTGATCTGCTAATAGGGTGTGTGCACTGTGGTGTATATTGTGTGCTCCTAGATTACCCCTCGGCATGGGGGGGGGGTTGTCGTTCAGATAATAGGCAGTCGGGATCTACTCTGGGCCTCTGCCTGTCCATCAGTGGTTGTGGTCTGATGTGGGGGGGAAGTTTTTAAGAGTCCCTCATAGTAATGGCGGTGCATAGGGGAATGTCCCAAAAGTCTTTTGGTGGTCTTCTGGTCTGGTTCAGGTCGTGACCGCTGTGTATTGTTCCACTTGAGGCCTCCTTGGCACGAACTCCGGTGCTCTGGTTGCATCCCGCCCAAGGGGATATGTGGTTCTCGCTGGTGGTTCCGCTGGTTGAATGGAATTCAGGGGGAGGCCCAGAGTGCCTAAGACCTCCGTGGCTTCATGTATGTTGCTTACAGCGTGTGGCACGTCTCCCCTCATGATGTGTAGGACGTGAGCTGGGCCCCAGCGGTACCTGATTTGGTTGGCTCGTAGCACTGCAGTAAACTGTTGTAGAGATCTCCGCCATGCTAATGTTCCACTTGAGAGGTCTGGGAAAAATGACAGGGTCATGTTTTCAAAGGGGTATGCCGATTGCTCCCTGGTGGCCGCTAGGACTGCAGTTTTGTCCCTCAGGTTTTGAAATTGGAGCACTATGTCCCTAGATGTGCTGGGTGGTGCCCTGGTCTGTCTCGGCAGGCGGAATATGCCATCTAGCGTAATCGCCCTGGCTGTTTTCGGGGGCAAGAGTGCGGTGAGGAGCCGCCTGGCAAAGTGTGGGAGCTCTGCGTCAGGGACTGAGTCAGCCACCCCCCTAACCTTTAGGTTTTTGTAGCGTCTTTTATCTTCCTGTAAGGAGAATCGCTGGTCCTGTAGTTGGTTCTGTTTTTGCAGTGCGCTTATTGCAACTTGGAGCTCAGTTATTTGAGTGGTATGTGTTGTGGAGGTTCCCTCCACTGCCTGGAGACGGCCTGTCAAATTTTTCAAATCATTTATCATAGCCACATCGGCCGCGATTTTCCTATGGTGCTCAGCCATGAGGTCTCCTATGGCTTCCATAGTTACCGGCTTGGGGTCGTTCACGGGTGGCTGGTTCCGTGTCTGCACCGGTTGTTTTAAGGCTGGGGCTGGTGCTGGGTCTCCCTCCGTGTCGTCCGAGGACCCCTCGTAAAAATCCGAGCAGCCGCCGTGCAGGGACGCCATTTTGGAGCCCGCGGCTTCATGAGCCTGCCGCCAGAGGTTCCCGATATCCATGCCGGGTCGGGGCTTGTCCGGCTTTTGTTTTTTCATTTTTCTCCCCATGTGGTCCGGGGGGGTTCTGGGCTCACTTTGCGGTGGATTCCGCCGATGCCCAGGTGTGGAAAGGGTGAGTTTTGCTCTGGCTTAGTCCGGAGCTTCTCCGCCATGCGTCCGTCTGGACCCATTCTCTTTAATATTTTTATTAGTGATATTGCAGAAGGTCTTGATGGTAAGGTATGTCTTTTTGCTGATGATACTAAGATATGTAACAGGGTTGATGTTCCAGGAGGGATAAGCCAAATAGCAAATGATTTAGGTAAACTAGAAAAATGGTCAGAATTGTGGCAACTGACATTTAATGTGGTTAAGTGCAAGATAATGCATCTTGGACGTAAAAACCCAAGGGCAGAGTACAGAATATTTGATAGAGTCCTAACCTCAACATATGAGGAAAGGGATTTAGGGGTGATTATTTCTGATGACTTAAGGGTAGGCAGACAATGTAATAGAGCAGCAGGAAATGCTAGCAGAATGCTTGGTTGTATAGGGAGAGGTATTAGCAGTAGAAAGAGGGCTCATGCCATTGTACAGAACACTGGTGAGACCTCACTTGGAGTATTGTACGCAGTACTGGAGACCCTATCTTCAGAAGAATATTGATACCTTAGAGAGAGTTCAGAGAAGGGCTACTAAACTGGTTCATGGATTGCAGGATAAAACTTACCAGGAAAGGTTAAAGGATCTTAACATGTATAGCTTGGAGGAAAGGCGAGAAAGGGGGGATATGATAGAAACATTTAAATACATAAAGGGAATCAACACAGTAAAGGAGGAGACTATATTTAAAAGAAGAAAAACTACCACAACAAGAGGACATAGTCTTAAATTAAAGGGACAAAAGTTTAAAAATAATATACGGGAGTGTTACTTTACTGAGAGGGTAGTGGATGCATGGAATAGCCTTCCAGCTGAAGTGGTAGAGGTTAACACAGTAAAGGAGTTTAAGCATGCGTTGGATAGGCATAAGGCTATCCTAATTAGAAGATAAGGCCAGGGGTTAATGAAAGCATTTAGAAAATTGGGCAGACTAGATGGGCCAACTAGTTATTATCTGCCGTCAAATTCTAAGTTTCTATGTTCACTGACACAGATTTAGAGAGATTTGTGAACAATATTTGCGAGAAAGAGGTCTTTTGTGTACGTAGAAAAAGTCATAGATCTTCGAGTTCAGTGTTGCGTTTATAATTTTGTTCAGTGTAATTGGTAAATTGCTCCTGGGTTAAAAAAATAATAATTAAGTTGTAAACAAACTTTCAGTTATAGGTCGCCGAGTACAGTAACTAACCCAATATATTGAAACTTGAAACAATTTGGCAAACCTGCTATCTGTTGAACGTTTGGCTCTCATGCCAGCAGACAGGCCTCTGCATTCTTCTTTTTTATTTTTTTTTATTTTTTGCCCATTTGCCATTGCTGTCCTAATTTGTTTGCCTAAAGCGAAAAAAATATATAAATTTCAGGGTGTTTAGAGAAAAGCATGACTGCAATATTTTCTTTTCTTCATATTTTCTTCATCATCATCTGATCATTTTATATTTTACTTTTTCATTTCAGAGAGCAAGGGGATCAGTTGAACCTACTTTGGAGAGCTGAGAAGTCAAAAATTTCCCAAATAGATGGAACAAAATCTTTTAACTTTGGTAAGCAGTTTTTGTTTTTAAACCCTGGTTCACTTAAGTGAGCTCTACAAATTTGACTCATAATTGCCTTTTCTAACAATGGTTATCACTGAGGTCAGAGTACACTACTGGGTAGGACTGTGCTCACCATTTCTCAGCTTTGGGGGGGCTCTAGGCTTTTCTTAGCTGTCCATAGACTGGTAACCTGTAGCCTTATTTCTCATCCCTAATCTTGTCTATAGTGGCAGCTTATAACAGTATCCTTGTGATGTTCTGCTCTTAGAAATGCAATGGCATTTTAAAACATTACTACTGAAACGGCCAGCACCTTGTTTGTTGCTAAACATGAATACTTATTCAGGGTTATTCACTAACATGAGAATTCAGCGAGAATTTCAAGTTGACGGCCAAAGTAGCTTAACCAAAGGCATAGGGGAGTTATAAAATATTTCCAGTTATCATTTATTTTTATATTTTTTTTTTTTTACATTTAAAGAAACAATATAGTGTCAGGAATACAAACGTACACCTGAGACTATAGGGCTGCTGTGGCCGTTTAATATACCGACCCCACTCTGATTGCTCTCAAAAGGTGAATTTACTCACTTTTTTTTTTTTTTTTCTTGCCACGTAGGGCTCCATCTCCATGGCTGAGATCCTCAATCTTAATGGTCTTAGCCAATTCAGTGCTTTCCCATAGGAAAGCGTTGGGAGTCTATTGCACATGCTCGTCAAAACATCACGCAGCGCCAATCCGCATCTCCATGGAGAGATGCATTTGTATTAATGCATCAGTGTGGGGAACGCCAGTGCTGCACACAGGAAGTACCTGAATGACTGCTACTAGAGATGTTACTAGGCAGCAATGTAAACACGGTCTTTTCTCTGAGAAAACTAGCTTGCCATGCTTCCAGTGGTGTCCACATTACTTATTTGAACTGTCGTTGAGCAGTTTTCTCCCTTCATTCAGCATTTCCATGCAGTCTGTCATTAACATGAGTGGTATTATTTTTCAGTTTTATTATGGTTTTGTGAACCAAAACATTAAAGGTCCACTATAGGCGCCCAGACCACTTCAGCTCAATGAAGTGGTCTGGGTGCCAGGTCTATCTAGGGTTAACCCTGCAGCTGTAAACATTAGGGTTAATCCAGCCTCTAGTGGCTGTCTCACTGACAGCCGCTAGAGGCGCTTCTCACTGATTTTCAGTGAGAAGACGCTGCCGTCCATAGGAAAGCATTGAGCACTGGAGATGACGTCTGAAGAGGGTGGAGAGTCCCCAGTGCCGAGGCAGCCCGGCGTTGGAGAAAAGTCCGAATTTAACCCCTTCCTCCCACTAGAGCCCAGCGGGGGACCCTGAAGGTGGAGGGGGGGGGGGACCCAAAGATGTATTTAATGCCTCATTTTATCATTGGGGTAAATCGGCTAGATCTTTTATCTAATACCTTTGCAAGTCCTCCATTTCTAAACCCAGATTTTATGTTGCAGTCCAATTACAGACTTCCCAATGCAGCGCAACAATAAGACTTTGCAAGGCAGTGGTTCTGTCCAACTGCAGCTTCTTGAGTTTAGCCCCACTGAACAAACCAGGAAGTAATATGACCTGTTCTCTGCTTTAAACCCAAGGGGTGTAACCAGGTTCCTTTATAAAAGTGCCAATTTCTATTGAAACCTGCACTTTTGTAAAATGGAAAAAAAAAGAGGGGACACTCTTCACACACACACAGCTTTTCAGTGTCTAAGGGGTCTGGAGTGTTCTTTTTTTCATTCAGTCTGTTTCTTCTCATAACTTGTAGTTATGCTATATGTTTTTTAAATGTCAAGCTTTTGGGTGTTCCTGACTTTAAGGTAAACTGGTATTCCTGCAAAAATTTATTGGGAAATTTTGGCTTTTGATAAGATGGTAAAACACCGGACTAGCACAGCTATGCAAATAACCATTGTGGTACAAATTAATCACAGGCATTCTATTAAGACTACATTACATGGATAGGTTGGATACTAATAACTAAGCAACTGTTTTCTAGATCGTGTATTCCATTCCAATGAAACGACCAGTCAAGTTTACCAGGAAATGGCAATTCCTATTATACGCTCTGTTTTACACGGATACCATGGTGGGTATTTCAGTATATACTGAAGACATATAAGACAGTTAGTCTTGTGCATTTTTTCAGATATCTATACAACAATTTTGCTTTTGCAGGCACTATATTTGCTTATGGACAGACATCCTCTGGGAAAACGTACACAATGATGGGAACAACAGATTCTGTAGGAATAATACCACAGGCAGTGCAGGATATTTTTAAAATTATACAAGAGGTATGTAAAATGTACTGTGTAGATTTGTTCCCTTCTTCCCCCACACTTTTTTTTTTTGTAGAATATACATTGTTTTTGTCCAGTAAACTGTGCATTTTCCACAAATAAAATATGAATGGAAGAATGAAGGCAAAAATAGCTTATGTGGAATTAAAGGGACACTCTAAACACCAGACCATTTCAGGCACTAAATGTTTCCCTTTAACTTTGCTATTGTTAGAACATGGGTATTTTTGCAATTTGGGATTTTTTTAAATTCAGTTCCTTATGTTTGAATTGTGTGTATCTGCTGGCTGTATTTTAAAGTAATGTGATTCAGATTTATTCTCTACAATTTGAGTTTTTTATGCATACATATGCGATGCTTATTAAATATACACTTATTAATCAGGGGTGTCAAGGGACTAAAGTAATCTATTTGTCTGGACACAATAATTTCAATTACGAAGATTTGGGCTGCTGTCAGGAGCACTGGACATTGACAGGTGTGTGTGTGTGTATATGTGTGTGTGTATATAAAAATAATGTGTGTTTGTGTGTAGATACAAATATGCGAGCACGTTAATGTGCTGGCTGTGTGTAGTTGTTTTAAACTTTCTGATATATGTGCTCACACAAAAACTATGCATTCTCTGACACTTGCACACAGCACAGAATACCAGCAGCTGCCTGGATTTTGTATAGTGGGTGTTCAGCCTGTCCTATGCTGTCTCTGCCATGCACAGTGTCTGCCACTGGCATGTCACGTCCCACTATAAAAAAAATTAACTTTTTGCCTGGAACTGTATGTCCTGGGCATTGGGCAGTATAAACACCACATCCCTGTTATTATACATATGTATGTACACATGTATAATTTCAGAAATTATACTACGTTATTTACTAAAGTGAGAATGCAACCTGAATACAAAGTGAATGTAAAATTTTACAGTCAAAATAGCCAAACTGTAAAAATTAGAACAGTCATCTGTGCTTTCCATTCAGCTATTCTAGCCTGAAATTTGAAATCTCACTTTAATAAATAACCTTTAAAGTATAAATTGTTTAAACTTTTTTTTATTTATTAAAGTTTGTTCTCATTGACACACTTACTTCACAGTCCCATTGCATCTTTCATATTTCCAGCATCCCTCATGGACCTGCAGCTTGTCCCCTTCACATCTCTTTCCTCAATGCAGTATAGGCCGCCAGAATATTACTCCATGTTGTATCCCAGTGGTCATCGAGTCCGTGCATTGTGAGGAGCAGCCTACAGCTGGCTGGGGGCCCCAGCCAGCTGTAGGCTATGGTGACCCACTGGAAAATTTCCAGCTTTTCAGTCCTTCCAATGTACTAATCCTCCCTCACTACCTGCCACTTGCCTGTGTCCTGAGCTAAAAGAATAGTGAAATGGCTTGCATTGTGCATGGATTTGAATCTTCAGAGTGTAACGTGGTAGAAATTCTGCATACCCAATTATTAATTGATACCTTTTTATGACAGATACCAAACCGAGAGTTTCTGCTGCGAGTGTCCTACATGGAAATTTACAATGAAACTGTGACTGACCTCCTATGTGATGATAGAAAGAAAAAGCCTTTAGAAATACGTGAAGACATTGATGTAAGTGAAAGTGGCTTGTTTTAGAACAAACATGCCAATTTTAGAAGAACTGACTCCTGATGTAATTGTTACAGATTGAGAATCTATTTATCCTTCTAGTTTGTATTTAAAAAAAATAAAAATAGAAAAATGTTAATCTGCAACATGCTCTTCTTTTGTTTCAATCAACTCATGGAATACTAATTTTGGAGGGGGTGCTGACAGTGGCACTTAATTTGTAATGCTAACCTAGTGTCTCCAGCAACCCATCCCCTCAGTTCTGCTTTGGTATATCTGGTAGCTTAAACTTGTACAGCATGGGTGGCTGTGATTGGCTGAGAGTATCAGATGACCACTTTTAACAACTCCATATTGCTTTAAGGAATTGTGTTGTCTCTGTCTTATCTCTAGTTAGGGGGCTGTTGTTTGACTAGCCAGGAACACTTATTTAGTGATTATCTATTCAAAAACGGTTTAGCAGTGAATGTAGGGACAGTGCCAGAGAACTCCAGGCACTTAACCAATTCAATGAAATGAATCATTATACTGCATACAGTGTCCCTTTAACTTTTCATGGTGATGGGAGTTTTCCTTTAACTCAGAAAACCCTGCAGGTTGGGTGGAAGTGGCAGTTAATTTTTTGAGGTGGTGCTTATTTTTTATTGTTATATTATTTATTTTTTACTTTTTTAACTATTATAAGTTACATGCAGCATAAAGAACTGTAACATAACCTGCACATTACACAAAATATGTTGATAACTCGAATGTCCTTTTTAAGCCCTTAAGGACGGCGGGCGTGCTATGCCATCCGTAGGGACACGGCTCTAAACGACGACGGGCGGCATTGCATGTCCCCGCCGTCCTATGTACTTACCAATCGCTGTGGGGGGAGTTACCTGGCATCCCAGGGAGACTCCTTGCTGCCTTTCCAGCCCTCCTGGGCCATGGGATTGCGAGGACCTCACGCTCATATGGACGGAATAGCCATCCACAGCATTGCCAGCAGGGGGAGTGCCTTAAATTACAGGTAGTCCCCCTGCTGCCTGAAAAAAGTTAAAAACAGTTTAATGTGTGTGTATGTGTGTGTGTGTGTGTGTGTGTGTGTGTGTATGTATGTGTATGTGTACATACATACACACACACACACACACACACACACACAAATATTTACAAATTCTGGCACTCTTCCCCAACAAAATCTCAGAAAGAATTCAGACCAAGGTGCTTCTCAGTGCAAAATATAAAATCCAGAGAAATGAGAGCACTGACTGGGTTTAGAAAAATGTGTATTAAATATTAGGCAAACAAATCAACGTTTCGACTGTCAAGCGGTCTTTATCTTGATAAAGACCGCTTGATGGTCGAAATGTTGATTTGTTTGCCTAATATTTAATACACATTTTTCTAAACCCAGTCAGTGCTCTCATTTATCTGGAATATATATATATATATATATATATATATATATATATATATATATATATATATATATATATATATATATATATATATATATATATATATATATTTATTATTATTTTTTTTACAGTTAGCTTGAATTTTATTTGAATTCAGCCAGCAGGGGGACTGTCATAACAGGCAGTCCCCCTGCTGGAAATGCAGCAGGCAGCTAACCCGGCCACCGGGTAAGTAAAAAAAAAACAAAAAACGGAGGGCGTACTATTACGTCCGGCGGCGTTTAGAGCCGCCTAAAATAGGGCGTAATAGTACGCCCTCCGGTCTGAAGGGGTTAATTACAATTTTGCGAGACCTGCCTGACAACCTAGGCCAAAAGTCCAGGGAATTTAATTTGCTAGCACTATATTTAACCCTGTAACTTTTCAAGACACCATAAAACCTGTACATTGGGGGTACTGTTTTACTCTGAAGACTTCTCTGAACACAAATATTACTGTTTCAAAACCGTAAACTGTATTACAACGATGATATTATAAGTGAAAGTGACATTTTTGCATTTTTCATGCACAAATGGCACTTACACTGACAATATAATTGTTGTGATGCGTTTTCCTGTTTTGAAACACTAATATTTGTGTTCAGCGAAGTCTCCCGATTATAACAGTACCCCACATGCACAGGTTTTATGGTTTTTTCAAAAGTTAGAGAGTCAAATATAAGGTTTGCATTTCAGTTTTTTCACATTGAAATTCGCCAGATTGGTTATTTTGCCTTTGAGACTGTATGGTAGCCCGGGAATGAAAATTACCCCTATGATGGCATACCATTTGCACTGTGATTAGGGTTAACGTGTAATATAACTAGGTTCTAAGAGCTATTTCACTTCCTTTTGGATTGTTACTCTTATGTCTACACCTATGCATTGATAAGTTTTCCTGCAGGTCCAGTGTGCATCTTACTACATGACATTTTAGTGAAACGCTTACTACAAGATATCACTAACCGTCTCACTTGCTTCTTGTATAATTATATTTTTCAGAGGAATGTGTATGTTGCTGACTTGACAGAAGAAATTGTGATGATTCCTGATCATGTAATTAAATGGATAAAAAAGGGTGAAAGTAAGAAGAAAATATTTTTACATCCTGTCTGTCCATCCCTCTAAGCCAAGTGGTTTCTTTTTTGTTTAGTTTTTTTCTCATTGTCATGTGACTTGCACATGCCCATTATGGACATAATGGAGGTGCTTTAGAGGTGACACCTATTATTAACTAAACAAAAATGTTTTATGTGGAATTTTCCCATCATATATAAAACTACTGGCACAGCCTAGCATCACAAATAAATGCAAAATTTTAATGACTCCTTTGTGCTTGTGTGTATGGCGTGTTATGAAGATGACAGTCACATGCATTAATGAAGTGCAGCACTTTATTGCTATTTGTTTTTATTACTCAACTGAATTTCTCTACAAAGTTTACATCTTAGAAAATCTGTGCAACTATATTATTTTGTTATCCTGCAGAAAATAGACGTTATGGTGAGACTAAAATGAATGAACACAGCAGTCGCTCGCATACCATTTTTAGAATGGTAAGTTTCTATGCTCATCTTTATATATGAATATCTGAAAGTCCTATATTAATGTTTATGCTATATATCTGACTTCCCCCCAAACCCCTTAGATTCTTGAAAGCCGTGAAAGAAGTGATCCTGGAAATCCAGAGACTTGTGATGGAGCTGTCATGGTGTCTCATTTGGTGAGAAATGTGCAACTCCTTTTTTTATTTTTATTTTTTATTATTTTTTTTTAAACCATATTTCCTTTTGTGTTCTCGTATTGGCTTGTTTGGGCAGCTTTTTGTATATAGGCATTGCTGTCAAGTGACAATCTTGGAGGGGTGGTTAACTTTCAGTTCTCACGGTCAACAAATACAACTTGTGCACTCAAAATTACCCACATTTAAGCTCTGAACATCAAGGGTGCACAATATTTGCTCTAATTCTTCAAAAGCAATAAAGCAATTGTGTTTTTTTTGCTAAGCCTTTTGTTTAAGCAGTAAGTGTGTGATTGTGTTGATATTAAATGTTTCTGTTCAGGTCAGTGGAAGCTGCATGTACATACTCATTAACAATTGGTTGCATAAACATATGTCTCATTGTTTGTTTTTGTTTTTCTGAAGTAGTAATCTGTACAATAATTTAATTGTCTTGTTCACTAAATAATGGTTTACCTTGGTAATAAAGTTTTTGATTCAGAGGCTATATACAACCTGTAAAGAGAATTTCCTTTTTGTTATGTTTGTAAAGGGACACTATAGTCATCAAAACAACGTTCACTTAATGAAGCAGTTTGTGTATAGATCATGCTCAATTCACTGCCGTTTAGGAGTTAAATCACTTGTCATTTAAGAAATTATAAATTAAACATAATTTGCAATAAAAAAGGATAAACATTAGATGACTCTTTACAGGAAGTGTTGGAAGGCTGTGAAGTGATTTAACTCCTAAATGGTAAATAAATTAGCATATAAGACTGCAGGGGCATGATCTATACATCAAAACTACTTGATTAAGCTAAAGATGTTTTGGTGACTAATGTCCCTTTAAAAATAAAAAATTTGCCTGAATAAAACATTACCCCTTAAATTTACAATGTGTATTCTTGTTCATTTGTTTTCCAAATGGTCTTTAAATGTATCTTATATTTATTTCAGAATCTTGTAGACTTGGCAGGCAGTGAAAGAGCAAGCCAAACTGGAGCCGAAGGTAAGTAGAATCAGTGATTTTAATGGCAACCTCTGATATGTATGTTTTCAGATACATAAAAAAAGAATATTTAAGCAGATGGTTTAGCCCCTTAAGGACCAAACTTCTGGAATAAAAGGGAATCATGACATGTCACACATGTCATGTGTCCTTAAGGGGTTAAAGTAGCTCTGTAACCAGGCTGCACATATTGAGTAATGGTAAAGAGAGAATTTTTTTCTGAAATATATTTATTACTTTGTTGGAACTGAAATTCCAATGCAGTCAAGATATAAGAAAGCTAAAATATAAATTATGGAAAAAAACAATGAACGCACTGTTCGGTGTCTCTGTGTATACACCTGTACAAACCACCTCCCGGGAAAAGACACAGGGTGTGGTGACAGGGGACACACAGAAAACAGTGTACCAGTATGGGACTCCAGAAATCCCAAACGGGGCTTAACCCCAAGTAAACAAGAAACAAAAAATATATTACGCAATGCAGTCAGTCTCCCTATATCCTAGGGACTAACCACATATCTGGAAATATCTATAGCGATCGAGTGTACACTCGATCGCTATAGATATTTCCAGATATGTGGTTAGTCCCTAGGATATAGGGAGACTGACTGCATTGCGTAATATATTTTTTGTTTCTTAAAATATAAATTACTTTGTTTTATGGTGAAGCCTGAAGCTTACAAAAAATGGAACTTCAGCTGTCAAGTTTTGTCATTTTCCACAGGCGTTGCTTGTGATGGCAGTTGGATTTGTGCTTCTCCTTGCGAATTGCAAGACTTGGTCTGCAGGGGGGTAGTTTCAGTCTATATTTACTGATCACTGAACTGTTGCACCCCCCCTCCCGAGCGGGGCTGTTCAGGGGCTGTCACCTCAAAGGTGACAGATACCTTAAATGCTTTAATACTTTTTTTTGTCTTTGTTTAAACACAAAAAAGAGATTTCATTGTCTGTTTAAGTAAATTAAAATTTCAACTAATCAATTTTATGTTCTCTGTTGTAATTGGCTTTCAGGAGTGAGATTAAAAGAGGGGTGTAACATCAACAGAAGTTTATTTATTCTTGGGCAGGTCATAAAGAAACTCAGTGATGGTCAAGCTGGGTGAGTCTTCTGTGTTTCATGAGAGGTTATTGCATATTAGAAAAGGTATCCTGTTTTGTATAACATAGAATGTTAACTTATCATTCAAGCACTGTGACAAGGCTGGCTGTTTGATTTCTCTTAACATAAATTTTAATAGTAAAAAGACTTTATCGTTTAACATTGATAACTGCAAAAGTAGTTAATTATTGTAGCCTTGCTGTATATAGGTATTACATTGAAGCGTTTTAAAAATAATTTATTCCAATTGAAAAAAAAAAATCAGATATTTAACTCTGGACTTTTAGTTGTTGTCAACTCTCCTTAGTTGTGTAGATTTTTTTTTCTGTTTTAAGTGAACTTGCTATCTGTTATCACACCACTAATTTTTTTTTTAGTTTGTGTGCAGGTATTATAAATGTATTTATTTTCATATGTTTCATGTGTGCAGTGGATTCATAAACTACAGAGACAGCAAACTGACTCGGATTCTTCAAAATTCATTGGGTGGAAATACAAAGACGTTAATCATTTGTACAGTTACACCGGTGTCTTTTGATGAAACGTTAAGCACCCTCCAGGTAAAGAATATTGTTTTTTTCTGAATAATAATAATAATTTTTTATTTGCAGTTAGATGCAATTATACTGAGAATTTTAAGAAAACTATGTTGTTTTTTTTTTTCCCATCTTTTATTTAAAGGAACACTATTGTGTTAGGTATACAAAGCTGTATTCCTAACATCGTAATGTCCCCCTCCCCAGCAGCAATTAAAGGTTTTTGGTTTTTTTAAGGTATTTTAAAGATGTTGCACATCCTCATACAAAGTGTGAGAGCGTCCAGTGTTGTTTCACAGAGCTAAACTCTGAAGCAGCAGGAAGCATATCTAGTGGCTGCTTTTTGAAGTGGTTATGGATTAAGCATCCTATATGTGCAGCATTTTAATTTGTGCCTGGTTCTAGGTACAGCATGTAAAACAGCCAATACATGCAAGAAAAAGTATGTGAACCCTTTGGAATGATATGGATTTCTGCACAAATTGGTCATAAAATGCAATCTGATCATCATCTAAGTCACAACAATAGACAATCACAGTCTGCTTAAACTAATAACACACAAAGAATGAAATGTTGCCATGTTTTTATTGAACACACCATGTAAACATTCACAGAGCAGGTGGAAAAAGTATGTGAACCCTTGGATTTAATAACTGGTTGAACTTCCTTTGGCAGCAATAACTTCAACCAAACGTTTCCTGTAGTTGCAGATCAGACGTGCACAACGGTCAGGCGTAATTCTTGACCATTCCTTTTTACAGAACAGTTTAAGTTCAGCAATATTCTTGGGATGTCTGGTGTGAATTGCTTTCTTGAGGTCATGTCACAGCATCTCAATTGGGTTGAGGTCAGGACTCTGACTGGGCCACTTCAGAAGGCGTATTTTCTTCTGTTTAAGCCATTCTGTTGTTGACTTACTTCTATGCTTTGGGTCATTGTCCTGTTGCAACACCCATCTTCTGTTGAGCTTCAGCTGGTAGACAGATGGCCTTAAGTTCTCCTGCAAAATGTCTTAATAAACTTGGGAATTAATTTTTCCTTCAATGATAGCAATCCGTCCAGACCCTGACGCAGCAAAGCAGCCCCAAACCATAATGCCCACACCACCATACTTCACAGTTGGGATGAGGTTTTGTTGTTGGTGTGCTGTGCCTTTTTTTTTCGCCACACATAGTGTTGTGTGTTTCTTCCAAACAACTCAACTTTGGTTTCATCTGTCCACAGAATATTTTGCCAGTACTGCTGTGGAACATACAGGTGCCCTTGTGCAAACTGTAAACGTGCAGCAATGTTTTGTTTGGACAGCAGTGGCTTCCTCTGTGGTATCCTCCCATGAAATCCATTCTTGTTTAGTGTTTTACGTATTGTAGATTCGCTAACCGGGATCTTAGCATTTGCCAGCGACTTTTGTAAGTCTTTAGCTGACACTCTAGGATTCTTCTTCACCTCACTGAGCAGTCTGCGCTGTGCTCTTGCAGTCATCTTTACAGGACGGCCACTCCTAGGGAGAGTAGCAGCAGTGCTGAGCTTTCTCCATTTACAGACAATTTGTCTTACCGTGGACTGATGAACAGCAAGGCTTTTGGAGATACTTTTCTAACCCTTTCCAGCTTTATGCAAATCAACAATTCTTAATTGTAGGTCTTCTGAGAGCTCTTTTGTGCGAGGCATCATTCACATCAGGCAATGCTTCTTGTGAAAAGCAAACCCAGAACTGGTGTGTGTTTTTTATAGGGCAGGGCAGCTGTAACCAACACCTCCAATCTCATCTCATTGATTGGACTCCAGTTGGCTGACATCTCACTCCAATTAGCTCTTGGAGATGTCATTAGTCTAGGGGTTCACATACTTTCTCCACCTGCACTGTGAATGTTTACATGGTGTGTTCAATAAAAACATGGCAACATTTCATTCTTTGTGTGTTATTAGTTTAAGCAGACTGTGATTGTCTATTATTGTGACTTAGATGGTGATCAGATCACATTTCATGACCAATTTGTGCAGAAATCCATATCATTCCAAAGGGTTCACATACTTTTTCTTGCAACTGTAACTGTTTCAGACTGCCTAATGTAGGTCCTGTGCAAAAATGGCATCTCTAATTGTCCCTGCTTTAGTGGTAAGATGTCACTCTGCTTATTTTGCCGATCATGCACACTGCGCATGTTTTTTTTTTTTTATTTTTTTTTTTTATACCAGTGGGGCCTAGTAAGAACTACACAACAAAACAAATTAAGGCAAAATATATAATAAGATTTGTGGTTTAAGTAACCCTTTAAATTATGTTGGAATCTGCATTCTCAAATTCTAATAGGTTCTCTTTGTTTTAAAATGTACATTTCAGTAAAGGTATACTGTACAATGTGTTCTATTTTCACTATTCAATATTTTAGGATAGGGTGAAACCATAACGGAAGCAAAAATTCCGGTTATATTTTTTTGACATAATCCGTCAAAGTTTATGAACTGTGGAATCAGTATTTCATTAGGATCAGGATTTTTGATTGGTGCTAACTTAGACGCACAATAGCAAACGATATTGTACAAAAATATGTGTATGTCTGTGTGTGTGTGTGTGTGTGTGTGTATATATGCAATATATATGTGTAATATATATATATATATATATATATATATATATATATATATATATATATGTGTGTTTAAAATGAAATGAGGCAAAAATGTGATTCTTTGTTAAACTAATTTGCGTATGCCCACCCAGAATCCTTTGCGGTTGTAACATAACTGCAGATTTGGGATTTCTGTGCGAAATGTGTGTGTGTGTATATATATATATTTTTTTTTTACTGTAAATTTCAGTGCAGAAATTAATATAAATAATATTGATGATCAATAAGGCAACACATCTAAAACATGCAGTATAAAACCCAATAGGCAATCTTATTTTAGATAAAACAATTAAGTAAGCAAACCAAATACTTCACACCACGCAGCTAAACAAGTGTACATTACACAAGTATTTCTTTAAAACCCGCAGACGTAAAGGTGCGCTATAGTCACCAGAACAAATACAGCTTAATGTAGTTCTTGTGTCTAAAGCATGTCCCTGCAAGATTTTTAATGTCAATGTTGCCTTTTCACTCACATGGCCACTAAGAGGTGCTTCCTTTGTCTGTTCTGCACAGATGTTCAAACCAGTCTGCATAGGGATGTTAAACACTCCCCATTGAGATGCATTTATTCAATGCATCTCTATCAGGAAATGCTGATTGGCTCGGCTGGCTTATGGGAAAGTATTGGGATGGCTGAGATCGTCAGATTTGAGTCATGATAAAATGATACACTTTTACAGTAGGAGAAGCGAAATCACATTCTTAAAGGAACATTAATGTCAGCAATACACAAGTGTATTTCTGACACTATAGTTTTAAAAGCACAGTTCAGGTTTCCACCCTCACTTTTCTTTCTTTAAAAAAAAAAAAAAAAAAAAAAGTGAGGATGGGAGCCTGAATTCCTTTGTTAGAAATTGCTAATGGAAACATTCCTTTTTCTTGCTTTCCCTCATTAGGACAATGAAGATAAGTCCTTTATTGGTGTTTAAAAATGTTATGCTGGGAACACATGCTCAAGATAATATAGATGCAATCAATTGATAGAATATTTGTGGTCAATTTAGGACCGCAGTAGTAGTACAGAATATATAGCATGTTATGTTATCGATCATATTTCTGTTGTAGAGAATATATATGATATAAACAAAGCAATTTGACACACATTCTTCAATAATGAAATCCATGTTATTGCTATAAATACCTTTGCTTATTCCTTTAATGCTAGGTATTATGTTTTTATCACATCAATTTTAATATAGAGTTCACTGGTAAAAAAATGCTTCACCTCTTTAAAAAAAAAAAAAAAAAGGGGGGGGGGGGGATTTTTTAATTTAAAAAAAGAAAAAGAATATTCTGATAAGGCATGTGCCATATGTCTTAAATTCCGGCTCCACTGTCAATACACAGTTCTGAGACTGAGATGTCAGCCGGCGGGGGAGACCTATTGAGCATGCGTGGCCGCCACCGGCAAAGATCTAATGCGCATGTGCACCAATGCAGCGCACGCGCATTAGACCTCCCCATAGGAAAGCATTGAAAATGCTTTCCTATGAGGATTTCAGCGAAGCTGGAGGTCCTCACATAGCGTGAGGACATCCAGCGACGCTATAGCACAGAAAATCTGTGCTAGAAACAGAAGTGCCCTCTAGTGGCTGTCTAGTAGGAGTTAACCCTGCAAGGTAAATATTGCAGTTTATGAAAACTGCAATATTTACAGTTGCAGGGTTAAGGGTAGTGGGAGTTGGCACCCAGACCACTTCAATGGGCAGAAGTGGTCTGGGTGCCTGGAGTGTCCCTTTCACAATGAACTTTGTTTCACCTTACTATATAGTATGAGTGCACGACTACAGATAAGCTCGTGCTGTCAAATGCTACTGGTTTTAAGAGGTTTAAAACAAAAATGTGAATTCTATTGCTCCATTAAGCACAGCTCTTTGTCAAAAAATGTTAAAATTTAGTTTTCACATTATCTCTACAAATCCATCCAACTTTACCAGCGATAACCTGTAATCACTGGTTGTGTTTTTTTTTTTTAAATTAACTTTTCAGTTTGCAAGTACTGCAAAGCATGTGAGGAATACACCCCATGTCAATGAGGTTGTGGATGACCAGGCATTATTGAAGAGGTACAGAAAGGAAATTATGGATTTAAAGAAACAACTAGAACAGTTGGAGGTAAGAATGTTGATCAACGTCTGAATTTAGAACTGCTGCTTTTTTGTGTGTTTTAATTGGTGTGCTGTGTGTGTGTGTGTGTGTGTGTATATATATATATATATGTGTGTGTGTGTGTGTGTGTATATATATAATTATACACATACTCACTCTAAATTGTAGCAAATTCTGAACTGCATATTTTATTCAAAAATAGTAGATTTGCAGAAATGATTCATCACTGTTATAATCTTAATATGCTTTCATTAGCCTAAATGGTACCATTTAGATTACATTTCAAAGTATAGTGGCATGCCTTACATGTGCATGCCGTATCATAGTCGGTACCCTGGTACAATCATTATGGGAAAAAAAGTGATTGATTATATTACACAGTATTTACTTTTGCCTCAATCACAAGAATATAATTAATTTTTAGTCCTCAGGGGGAGACTTTTCTCGTGAATGCACATCTGGACATGGATGCTTTAAAAGAAATAAACCACTTAGTAATCAAAATAAAAACACATCCCTCACCCTTATTTACTGCTAATTTGCTCCCACTGTTGGGGACCATTAAAACTGACCTGCGCAAATTGGATAAACCCACTATCTCTGGACTGGTCAAATCATTGTATTAAAAATAAATGTACTGCCCAGAATCCTTTATCTCTTGAAAGCTCTTATTATATACTTCTAAACTCATTCTTCATGAACTTCCACTCATCCTGCAACAACTTTTTATGATTGGGCAGGCGAAGCCAGGCTTGAACACTCAGACCTGGCATGACCGTGAAATAGGGGGGAGGAGGAGTGGGGGTTATTCTTCTCACATGCACACCAGTACTATACTGCTAACTAGGTTGCGGGAGTGGACCATGTCAAACACCCTGAAACCATGAAAAACCCTAGAAGCCAGTAGCATGATGGCCCCTCTAGACACCCTGCCCTGGTTTGACTCAAAGCTGTCTGATTTCTGCCTACTGTGGCACCCAAGGATACCCCACGATGCACATGTGGCATAAATGTAAAGGCCTTTTTTACGACCCTAAGAGAGAATACTCCTCCACATAGGCTGTCATTGCCTCATCAGGCCCAACTACAGACTTTGTTTTGGCACTACTTACACTTTGGACTTTGTTAATTTCAGCTGCACTTTAGCCAGCTTTGGCGCAACCTTCTTCTGTTTTGTCTTGTATGTTACCGATGTAGCTTAGAGCCTGGGTGGCGGATACAGCCGCAAAATCGGTCCTCTGTGAACTTCCATTGGAAATACAAAAGCTGTTCAGGTCTCCTTTAAAGGGGATCATTAAACAGATGTCTGAGATGAAAAAAGCCCTTCCTCATGACAAGAAATTTTCTTGGAAGCTTGGTTATAAAAGTTTCCAGTATAGAAATAGAAGAACCTACCAGGATAGGCCTCGTTATTTTCAAAAAAAGAGGAAAAAATCTGAGGTTTGAGGAGAAAAAAAGGGGATCTATATAATCCAGCGTTTCTTCAAAAGATTGAAAGAAACTACAAGCAATCCAAGGATTCTAAATCTGGTAAAAAGTGGGTACCAAACCTGCCCAAACCAAAATTCCTAATTTCCCTTTATCCACCCTCCCGAAAATCAGAAGCTCTGTTTGCAGAAACGGTTGTGCTATTAAAAAAAGCGGTCATAGTAAAGGTTCCTGTGGACCCAGGAATTCCAAGGGGTCTACTCAAGACTTTTCCTAATCTCAAAACCAGAAGAGTCCTTTGGCCAATCCTAGATTTAAAAAAAATGTGAGTTTCTTCCTTACCAATGGTACAGAATGGAAACGTTTACTTCCGTAACTCGGATTCTGCGCAAAGGGGGTTTTATGGTGTAGATGGATCTCAGGGATGCTTAACTTCATATCCCTATGGCAGTTACCTCAAGAAGATTCCTGAGATTTGCCATTAAAAGGGGAAAAGAGATTTTACATTTCCAGTTCAAAGCCCTCCCCTTCAGTTTGTCATCAGCCCCAAGAATATTTACAAAAGTTCTTACGCCCATGAAAGCTTATCTAAGGGAGTGGGGTGTCAAGCTCATTCCCTACTTGGACGATTGGCTGCTTATAGCAAATTCCAGAAGTTTGCTGTTGGAAAAAGTTCTGTACACAATCCAAGTGCTTCAGGAACACTGTTGAATACTGAACTTAAAGAAGTCGATTCTACTTCCTTCAAGAAAAATAGAATTCCTGGGATTTGAGATGTTCAAGAATGTAATCTCTACATCTGACTATAGACAAAAGAAAGACAATCTGGAAAAAAGTGTCTGATTTACAGAAAAGAGACTACTCTATTAGACAGACAGTGAGTGTTCTGGGATATCTAACATCATCAATTCCCACAGTCAAATGGACAAAATCAGAAATAAGGCCTCTTCAGTGGGAAATCCTCTCTTCTTGATCAAAAAGAGAGGAAGACTTAGATTTGTATCTCCAGATATCTCCTCAGGTGAAAGCTCGGTTAAACTGGTGGAAAACTTCGTTTCCTTTCGGCAGGTCTGACCTTCAGACCGAAAGAATGGGTGGTCGTCACCACAGATGCGTCAAACTCAGGCTGGGACGCTCATCTAAATTCTTTAATGTGCCAAGATAATTGTAATTGGTCCACAGAAGGCAAAAACAGGTCAACAAATTACACAGAATTGAAGGCAGTTCTTCACGCCCTTCACATATTAAGATATTGGATTGAAAAGAGGCCCATAAGAATACAGTCAGACAACACGTTGTCTCTTACATTAACAGACCAGGTGGCACCAGAGTGGAAAGTCTGTTTCAGCTCTGCACCGACATTATGTGCTGAGCTCAGGTTCACTTAGAAAACATCTCTGTGGTCCACATAAAGGGCGTCGACAATGTCATTGCAGACGACCTCCGCAGAGGGAAATGGGATCAGGAAGAGTGGTCTCTAAAGCCAAGGATATTCGATGTTCTTATAGAGGGATTTGGAATGCCAGTCATAGACCTTATGGCAAGAAGAGAGAGCACCAAGGTTCCCAAATTTGCCTCCATGTTCAGGACAGATCATCCTCAATGGATAGATGGTCTATAACTCCAATGGGATTTCTCCCTAGCGTATTTTTCTTCCAATAAAGCTGATCCCAAGAACTCTTCAAAAGATAACAGACAGGGCAGTGGTTCTAGCAATCATGACGTACTGGCCAAACAGGAGCTGGTTTTCAGACTTGAAGGAGATTGCTTTCACATACTGGGAACTTCCAATCTCAAAAGCTCTGATAGAAAACAGGGAGTTACCTGAAAGTTCTGCAGATGTTCAGATTGACGGCATGGCTGTTGCAAGGCTAATCCTTCGTCATCAGGGTCTTCACCTTAAAGGACCACTATAGTGCCAGGAAAACAAACTATTTTTCCTGGCACTATAGTACCCTGAGGGTGCCCCCACCCTCAGTGTCCCACTCCCGCTGAAGGGGGTTAAACACACTTTTTTTTTTATTTTCTCTTTTTCCTTTTTTTTTTTTTTTTTTTCCTGTGCTGGGGACTCTCCTACCTTTTCTGATGTCATCGGTTGCATTCAGCCAGTCCATAGGAAAGCATTCTCAATACTTTCCTATGAACGCTGGCATCTTCTCACTGTGAAAATCACAGTCAGAAGCGCCTCTAGCGGCTGTTAATGAGACAGCCACTAGAGGCTGGATTAACCGTAAAGTAAACATAGCAGTTTCTCTGAAACTGCTATGTTTACAGCAGGCAGGGTTAATCCTAGATGGACCTGGCACCCAGACCACTTCATTGAGCTGAAGTGGTGTGGGTGCCTATAGTGGTCCTTTAAAGTTGTACATGAGAATTTGGACACAATTTCTACATTGATGTAAGGATCATCAATGTCTTCAAGTAAATCCTTCATTTGATTATATTTTACACTTCCTTCAGGATGGGCTTCACACAGGTCTGGGTGTTTCGACTTTGGTAGTCCAACTATCTGCCTTGAGTTTTTTTTTCTAGTGAAGGATTTAGCATTGCATGTTCTAATTAGGAGATTCTTCAAAGCAGTAAGGCTTCTTAGACCACCCAGGAAGACATATTTTCCCTCCTGGGATCCTTCTTCAGTCCTGCAAGCGCTCTGTGAATCTAATTTTGAACCTTTTAGAGAAGGTCCCATTGAAAAATCCAATACTCAAGACTGCCTTCTTGGTGGCCATCACCTCTGCCAAAAGAGTAGGTGAACTTCGGTCTCTTTCTTCATCGGACAAATTAATTATATTCCATCAAGATAAGGTGGTGCTGCATCTTTAGCCTTCATACCTTCCGAAGGTTATCGCTTCTGGAGCTATTAATCAGCCCATCGTTTTACCTTCGTTCTGCAATAATGCCACCTCGCCGCAGGAACTAAAATGGCATAAATTTGATGTTAGAAGAACTCTATAGATCTACCTTTCAAGAACTGCTGATCATAGAAAATCTGATCACCTATTTGTCAATTTCAAAGGGAAATTTAAAGCTGATGTCCACATCATGGGCAGAAAAGGCTCTTGCTTCGCATGAAGAAATTTGCAAGGCGGCTTCCTGGTAATCATTCAACACCTTAATCAGGCATTACAGGCTAGATGTATTCTCATCCTCTGAAGTTGCATTTGGGCGTAAGGTGCCTCAAGCAGTTGTGGCATAATGCCCACCCAATGGGAATCTTGCTATATCCCACAGGTACTGCCAGAAAAACAGAAATTTTTACTTACCATAAATTCTTTTTTTCTTAATATGGTGGCAGTAAAATACCCCCCCCCCCCCCCTCTGAATTAAAAATGCACATGCTTCAACTGAGGTGGGTTTGCCGGGGGAAGCCCTTTATGGGATAAAGGGAAGGGACTTTTAATAAACTCCTCTCTTGTAGATGCATGTCCCAATTAAGGAGGCACAACCCACAGGTACTGTCACCATATTAAGAAAAAAAGCATTTACGCTAAGTAAAAGTTTATCTGCACTATTAAATTGCTACCTGAGGGATGCATGCATGTCATATACTATTTAAATGATTAGACGTAATTGTTGTACTATCATTTCATACCTTGCCAATTGTATTACGATAATGTACTCTGTATTCTTTATTTCTACCGCCATGCCTTTACAGCTGAATATGTACACATTTTGTGCTTAATAAACTATGAAAAAGAAATGAAACTGCTTTATAACGGTCAGTTCACAGAAGTGAACATCACTTTAATTTCTTAATCTCTCTAATATTTACTTTGTTTTAGGCATCATCTGGAGTTAGAACACAGGCAATGGCCAAAGAAGAACATACACAGCTTCTTGCAGAAATACAACAACTTCAAAATGAGAGGCAAAATAGAATATGGAACCTGGCAAATATAATTATTGCTCCTTCTGAAGTGTGTGAACAAGAACGGGTTAGTTTTGCTTCTTTATTTTATTAAAGAAACCTTCACCATAACAACTACAGAATTATGGTACCAGGAGTGACATGGCACCCTTTTCAGGGTAAATAAACTTACCTGGGATTTGCCTGTCTCTTCCTTCTGAGAGGCCAGAAGCTCCTGCAAGGAGCCCTTGTTGGCTCCTATGCGGTAAACCTTGCTGTCCAATGCCAGCTCATTGGTTGAGATGGTCAACTGAGTGTTCTTAACCAGTGAGCTAAGCCTTGCTAGCCTGGACTTAGCTCAGTACAGGGAGCTTTCAGCTAGAGCGGGAACCCAACAATCACCAGGTAAGTAGTCAAATTGTTTTGAAGCGGTCATGGTAGAAAACCACTATAGAAGGCTATAGTTGTTTTGATACTTGGAGTGTTACTTTGAAAAAAAATAATTCTACACATTGTTTTACAGTGTGTTTGTATGCTAAAATAAATGCAGTAGTTTAGGTGGGTCTGATTGTATATTTATGATACGTGAAAGAGGGTTAACTTTTTGTATTATACTTGTTTTGATTTTATTATTTTGAGAAGGTGCTGCTAAATTGTAAAAAAATATTTTGATGCAATATAGGGGCACTTTCCATATATTCTTATGGATTTTTGGATACATATGTTAAAGGAAAATCCTTTATTTCCAACCTCAACAGTATCTGCATGCACATCAATGTCCACACATTACATAACCATTACTTTTTTTCTCTTCTAATGCCATATACTGTAATAATTTTTCCCTTAGATTTCTTAATTTAGTGCACTGTCCTTCTCTTTGGGTCTGCCTTTGTCCCCACAGTCCCTCTGGGTTCCCCCCACCCTTGTCTGTTTCAATGTGAGCTTCACCGAGCAAACATGCTTGATGGGGTCAGAAAGCTTGCAAAATATCCCTCTTTTTTAACCAGTATATACTGGTAGATGATGCATAAAAAAGTTAGTTTTTTTTTTTATTAACAATTAATAAAAATAAAAAGATACTAACCATAAAGTTCCTGCTGGTTCTGCTAACACTGTCCAAGCAGCAGGCAGACCCCTTCCATTCCATTAATCAGCTCCTTTTCTATGGGATTTTTTTAAATTTTTTTTTTAATCCTGTAAAAGACTGACCAGCAGAGAATTGTTCTATATTCAGTTTCTCCCAGCCATAGTTCCTGTCATCCCTAGGATCAGTGGAAATGCTGCATAAATATGTAGCAGTTTCTTGACAGGTTTGGATAGTCTTAAAACATGGTTACTTAATTAATATAATTGTCGTAGTGAAGATCATCTAACTTCAGTGTCTCTGCTATTTTCCACAAAGGAACTAATCACTAACCATCATTAGCAGCTACTTTGAAAATGTTATCGTACTTTCCACTTTTACTGTTTTTATTTTTTTAAATAAAGATATTTTTTGTGTATAGTTGTAATTGAGGAAGGGTGTTCTTTTTTGTTGAGATAAGAACATAGTTGCTAGTGTGCTCACTGCTTAGCTTCCTATAACAATTCCTTGAAGGAACCACTTGTCTTAGTCTGACCTGCCAATACATGCTCCCAAAACATTTGGGCATACAATGGTCAGGTATACGTTGACAAACTGGTGCCACTGCAGTTCTCATGAGTTTAACAATTTATCCCCATCCTTTTTCCAAAATTTGGGAACCAAAATGTTTAGAATGATCTGCTTTTGTGGATGTGGCATTCCTGTCTTGGTTGACAACCTCTTTTCATATTTCTAATTTTGTTGTTCTTATCCTAAATAGGCAAAACGAAAAAGACGTGTGACATGGGCACCTGGAAAACTTAAAAATAGTCTTGGTTCCTCTGGCTTTACCGACTTTGATATTTTTCCAAAGCTATCAACCAACTTAAACAAGAAACCCAAGTTTTCTGACTTGACCCTACTGGCTGAAGTTGATGATTGTATGTGTTCATATTTTAAGATTTATTTTATTCTTGTCCACAATCAAAATTAACAATAGTGGGGGAGGGAGAGAGTGGGTATGCATATAAAGTACCACATTGTGCAAAAAAAGATACATACAACAGCAAGCATACTTTGCAAATGTTGGTGAAAATTGTCAGAGTTATTCTCTAAAGTTAGAATTGCTGGGAATTCGAAATAAGTTTCCAATTTTAGGCTGTAATAGCAGAACTAGAAGCATAGTTGACATGATATTTTTTCTAGTTCAGCAATTATGTCCTTAAAATTTAAATTCCCAAAAATGTATACTTAAGGGAATAACCCTGACATGACGACAACTACTGGATATCATATGAAACTATTCAGTGATCTATAGAGTCTGTTTACATGTCTTACTAAGGAATCTTTTAACAATTTAATTTCAAGATGTGTATTATTTTTGAACCTAGGTATTTGTAGTTCAAATAAACCTTGTGGTGATCTGATAGAAAGCTGCAGTTGTTGCTTAACTGAATTTTGGGGCCAGACCTACAGTAATCAAAATATATTCTCTTGGTGTTGGGCTTTTCTTTATCCAATGAATTCCTGGTAAGTTTCCTTTATATGTATTTTTTTTCTTCCTATCCAGCTATTTGTACAGAGTTTTCAGATTTTGATGAATTGGCACCCGAAACAGATTGGAATATAATGAGCAAAGTCACATCTCGAGACAAGAGTGCTGCACATTGTCATTCTATGATGGATTTCGATTCTGAAGAGCAGTTTCCTGGCAGGTTTGTATACTCTCAAATCATGGTTGCCTAATCTATGTCATGATGATCAATTAACTATTTTCCACATAGGAACTAATCACTAACCATCATTAGCAATTACATTTCAATATTTTTATTTTTTAAACAATAACTTTTTTTGTGTGTGTGTGTATATAGTTATTGGGGAAGGGTGTTCTTTTTCTGTGAGAACATATTTGCTACTGTGCCCACTACCTAGCTTCCTGTAACATCACCAATTCCTTGAAAGAACCACTTGTTTTAGTCTGACCTGCCAATGCATGCTCCCAAAGCATGTAGGCATATAATGGTCAGGTGTACTTTGACAAATTGGTGCCACTACAGTTCCCTTGCTTTCTCTATGATCGATGGGCTTAAATTTGAATCCAAACAGGCAACAATACCGGCAAACCAGAAGCCTATTATAGTTGGGTTAGGTCATCATAGTATTTTAAAGAACCACAACTTGTTTCCCCCTTTTAATCATAGGTATAAATCAAAATTATTACATGCATTCTTAATCAGAAATTATGTGGACTGTGTCATGTTAATATGGTAGTTTGTGTGCTCAATGGATATTGTCTTGATCAGAATCTCTCTTTATACAGCCACCAGTTTAAAGATTCTTCACAACAAAAGTGTAAGGAAATGGAACAGAAGATTGCAGATTTGGAAAGTCAATTGAAAAAGGTGTCTCAGGAATATGAAACTGAGACTAAAGAGAGGCAATCCTTTGCACATGAAATCACAAACCTGAAGGAGCAATTGGAAACAAAAGAAGAGGAAAAGAATAATATTGTGAAACTTCTTGAACACCAAATAACCACTTTAGAAGGCCAACTTCAAACCATCATTCCTAAAAATGAGTCAATTAAAAAGCCTTCAATTGATGTGGAAGAGGAAAGCCCAGAAGAAAATGACACCCATGGAAACAAAATAACTGTTTTGGAACTGAGCAGTCATTCACTTGGAAACCTCTGTGAAGTGCAGGGATACGATGACAAAGACTTAAGCCATAACCACAGTTTGTGCCAAGAACAAATACAAATGCTTGAGCAAAAGATAATTGACTTAGAACAAACAATTGAAAATCTTACAGTACAAAACAAACAAGAAGATGATGGAAAAGTGAGTACTTATTTACTGTTTTTTGCATTACGAGTAAACTTGGTGTTCACAAAGACTCAGTAATTTAACATGTGTGTTCAAAACAGGTGTTTCTAGACTTTGTAATTTAGCTGACACAGTTCTGCTTTACAAAGCTAATTGCTGAACAAAATCGTAACCTTCTGTTATGCAGACTTTCAGGAAAAATGTGATGCTGATTAACTGGTACTAAAGTGCAATACTTCAATTGCCTGAAGGGGTGGGATACTGTGCAAAATGTTTTTATTTATTTAAACTACAGAAATGTAAAACGCTCACCCGGTGTTACAACTTATGCACAAAGTACTGGTATTATACATTTTTATATACTATATTTTTTAACAGTTTTGTTACATATATATATTTTACCCGCTGAGTGCTTGTGTTTTAATGATCTAACCTTACACCTGAGAAACAGTATGCTTGGACATACAAAGCATTGTAAACCAAAATAGTGCGTGCCTTGTGAAGTACAAATGGAAAATGTGAGCTCTACACATATAATTCAAGTGGCTCTGTCCACCCCATAATGAGTATTTCATAAAGAAAATTCATTGAAATTCCAACAGTCGAAAGGTATACTGAAATAAAGTAGGGACTGCTTTGTCTCATCATTTTTCCTCCGCTTGACAAAAGGAGTTACCTTTTGTCATTTGCTCCAGCCATTACCTGTGACTGCTGTAGGGCAACATAAGCTTTATCTGTGGAGGGTTTTGCAGGATCCTCCATAGACCTAAGTGCTGTACTCTTGTTTATGTGCAAGATTGCAGTGCTGGTAAACAGAAGCCACGTTTGCAAGGGACAGCTTTAGGTAAGTATAACCTACCTGCCCCCCATGACAATCAAGGAGACTTTGCACATTATGTGACGAAGCCACTTTAAAATGGGTTTTAAAATTTACAGCAAAATGAGTCAGTCAGGGCCCACCTAAAAACTATAAGTTGCTTAATGTTAACATTGAGTCTTGCATATATTTGTATGCTTTCTTGACATGTGCTGTTAGATTACAGAAAAATTAATGTCTCCCAAATCCTCTTCGTGTGCTTGTAAAAATGTTTATCCTTTTTTTTTTTTTTTTTAAATCTAATCTCTGTTTTTGTTGCTCTTAGGCTCATACACAAGATTTAATGGAAACTATTCAGCTCTGTGAAGCTCTTATGACAGAGAAAGTAAGTTATAAAAAAACTTAATCTTACTTTTTGTAGTTTGTTTTGATTTGTAACTGTTTTTTTTTTTCGTTTTGTTTTTTTAGGGAAATGCTCAACACGAAGTGACTGTCATGCGCAGTAACTTTGACAGTATAATACTAGAAAATGAAACCCTTAAAAGAGAGATTGCAGATCTGGAACGACAGCTTAATGAGAAGACAGAGACAAGTGAATTTGAAGAACTAGAGAAAGAAACGCAGAAAGAGCATGAGGTAAATTCTGCTGTTCATGGAACTCTGGAAAAAAATGCTATTAGTTTTGTTGCAGTTGGTTAAATATGGTCAGTTTATTTTATCCTTGATTACATGTAATAATGTGCATGAAAACCGCTATTTCATGTTTCTTTATTTCCTGTCATGAGTGGGTTTTCTTAAAACACACGCACACACACCTCTTGACAACCTAGCACATTCTTGTCCACCTGATACAAATACTAATGTCATATATACCATGTCTGAGACTGTGTGCACATATTCTTTTAAGGTAGTTTATGGACATTTTCCTATTTTAAACCTTTACATGTAAATTAGATTAATCCATGCAATTCCATATAGGGGCACATGTACAGCACTGTTAAAGAAATGCTTGAAAGTTCATGAACTTATATCGCATTTCTAAGGATGCATGAGAACACATAAGACGCACATAAAGCACATTAATTCGCTGAAGTTGAAGAGTGTGTCCTTTTTGTAAAATAAAAAAAATTTCAATAGAAATTAGCACATTTATGGATTAACCTTTTTACACCTGCCTGGCTGTCATACAATGGAGTTAGTTGCCCACAACATCAAACTTGGCTTAAGTAAGCTTTTTAACATATTGACCCAAATAAATGCAGAATTGTTTTACTGTCGTAGGGAGCAATAAACTGTCTCTTGGAGGAGTGATTGGTCCATTTTAGTTGAAATAACCAAAAACATGGCTAAGGAAATGGAATACTGAAATTTTAGGCCTGTATATTCAGTACACAAAAACCCTCCCACTGTGAAATTAAATTAGAATATTCCAATAATCATATTACTGTTTGTGTAGGATGGTTTATAAGCCAACATTTTATTTGCTTTAAAAAAAAAAAAAAAAAAAAAATCCCTGAAAACCAGTGGTCTGTTGATACACGGCCTAGATTAAAATAAGGCCTTAGCATAATTCTCTATTGACAGTCAATCCTTTCACTCCTCTTGTACCTCTTTATCATTTCGAACTTCTTTTATAAAGAAATATAATTTCTGATGTGCATACCATCACTATTACCAGCAGACGAGTACACGTGGGAGTCATTATTTACTTTTTATATGTACATTTGGGGCTAACAGCAGATAACTTGCTTGTTGTATGGTATCATTTGTATGTAAACACAGCTGACTGGCTGGACAGTCTCACACCATATATACACCCAAAAAAGTAACGTGCTAATGTTTTGTTTACATTTAAACTCTGATCATCAGTAAGTAAAACAGAATGTATAATTTCATCTGAAACGATGTGTTGACTGAAGTGCATGTTTCACTATTACTTTAGATAATCTAAAGGTTGTGAATGGTAAATGAAAGTGTTTTCTCTAGATCTAACCTAAGCTGATATATAGGCTACTTTGAGAATGAATGTATGAAAAAAACATTAAACAAGGAATTTTAATGGAGATGTGAACAGGATTTTCAGTGAGAAATCTTTGAGGATTGGTAGAGTATTTTACATCGACTGTAACATAGGTTGTCAATCTCAGAATTTGCTGCATATGTTTTATAAATATAATATTGAACTGCTTGCTACATTCTGTGTTTGTTTATTTTATAAATGGTTATCCACCTAGTGTAATTTGTGTGTGCTCTGACTACTGGGTTTGCCAAATTCTTGCACATTACTTGATGTTAATAAAAAATATTACATTGATTTGCAATGTTGGCTGGAGTTGTGAAAAATTAATTTTATGAATTATAAATTTCTAGCAGGTTTGCGATGTATATCTTACATTTTCAATATTTATAATTGATAGTGTGTGCAGAAATAAGGCATGTTTAATTTCGTTTTGGTGGCTTATTTGTTGTCTGATCTGTCAACACATTCTCTTATCCCTCTTTTTGGTGATGGCTGTTGAATCAGTAGAAATGCTTGCTAATTCTCCTTGCACTATTACTTAATTGCTTTCCAGGCACAACTAATGCATGAAATTGTCAGCTTAAAGAAGGTAGTTGAGAATGCAGAGGTGTACAATCAAGACCTCGAGGTGAGCTTTTGGGGTATTTAACATATATTTTCTTGCTATTTGCTCACCTCTACATGTCTGTGCCTTCAGTAACTATTAAATAATTTAGTGGTTTGTTTGATATATATTTTTTTCTACAGCATATGCCGTTCAGCATCTCCACAGTCTGCATTGGGACTCTGAATTTTCCTCAGAGATGCATTGATCCAATGCATCTCTATGAGAAGGTGCTGATTGGCCAAAACAGCATTTGGCACAGCCTCCTTGCCGATTTTAACCAATGCTTTCCCAATGGGAAAGCATTGGATTTGCTAAAAATCTGCAATTCTGTTGTCACCAAGGGGGCGGGGCCAGTGCCGTCAGACCTGCGTGGTCCTGGAAATCAGGTATGTTTTAATTCCTTGCAAGGGGGTGGGTTTAGCACAATAGGGTTAGAAATACATGTTTGTGTTCCTGACCCTATAGTGTTCCTTTAATTTCTAAATGGCAGAGAATTGAGCAGTGAAAATTCAGAGACCTGATCTATACATGAAAACTACTTCAATAATCTAAAGTTGTTTTGGTGGTTATAGTGTCCCTACAAAAATAAATTTAGTCCAAGTGAAAACAATTATTTAATTTACTAAATATTTAATAAATAAAAAAAAATATATGAAAACAAAATAGAGGACCCGAGAATGGGGAATAAACATGCCACCCAGGAGGGGTGAGAAAATCAATTTATATAATTTATATATGTTTTTATTTTTCTTTTGCTCTCCCTTGTTGTGAGGATATGTTAAGTAATTTGCATGGCAATTTTATAAATTCTCACCACCCCAAGAATTTAGCACACTGATATCTGTTTACATTGCAGACTGAATTAGAAACTAGGTCAAATCTTCTGAAAGAGCAAGAAAAGGAAATCATTGAACTAAAGAAAAATGTAGACAACTTGCAGAAGAAAATGAGAAACATGGATCTATGTGCCTCCATGGTGAGACCTGCTGAAAGAACAACTTGTCCATAACTCTTACCTTATTCTCAAAGAGCCTACAGTATTGGATAATGTTAATCTGCTTATGGTTTATTACAGGGTGACACTGATAATTTGTGTGAAGAAGTGTTTCAGCTGAAGCAATCCCTTAGTGATGCAGAAGCTGTGACTCGAGATGCTCAGAAAGAATCTGCATTCCTTAAAAGTGAAAACAGAGAGCTAAAAGAAAAAATGGTAAGTATTCACATTTTGGGGGTGGGGGGGGAAGTTGTGTATTGTGTAAACTTACATTGTATATATGGATTTCAAAAATATGGTGCACTCAGTTATTCCAAAGTGAAAATATTTATTTTCAAATAAACAAAATGTCTGTCCGCTTCGACTAGTTAGGGTCTCTTTCGTGTTTGTGTGTGTCTCTCGCCCTCTCCTTACAAAAAAGCCCACCATGTATTTTCAGCAGACATGAAAGGGACACTAATGGGACCCTGACCACTGCATCACAATGATGTTGTCTTAGTGCAGTACCCCTGCCGTTTGAACCCTACAATGTAGTAAAACATTGACATTTTGTAGGAACAGCAATATTTTTATTGCAGGGTAAAATACACCTGTACTGAGAAGGTGGTCATTAGAGACACTTTACATATGAGATGATTCAGACTTTGCTTTTTTTTTTTTTTTTTTTAAATAGTATTTGTTAAATTCTTCAATCTTGATATCAGGCAGGGAGACAGCATGGCTATAAGGTAAGTAAAAAAAAATTTTTTTTTTTTTTTTTTTTTTTTATTTTTTTTTATTTTTTTTTATCGTGCAGGTTGGTACATGATATTTAACAGCGCCACAACAGCGTACATGCAGACATACACTTTAAACAATGGCATAGGAGCTTGCACATTTTTGTATAAGTTTAAGCTGAGCAATGTTAGTACAACACGCAATTGAGGCATGGAGTCGGCAATGCTGGGTTAAAGAGCGGGTTTTGTGCATGCGGGTAACCATATGTTTTTGGTTCTTAATTGCAAAAGTGGGTTCACCTAAATAGTTACCAAGACACTATAGCATTAGGAATACATGTTTGTTCCTTTTAAGGGCATGAATAATATATCCTCCTTCAGAGAGACTTCTTAGACTCTAATCTTTTCATCAAGATGTTGTGGTAGTTCTATAAAATCTGTTTATCAGAAGTTCCTGAAGGTATGCTGCACTTTAATGCTATTCTTGGAACTCTTGCTCATCACCTATAGTTTTTTTCCTTACAGGAGAAAATGTCAAGTCATTGCCAGCAAAGAGAAAATGATGCTTCTTCATATGAAAAGCAGTTGGAATCTGAAAAGTCAAAGTTCAAACAAATGCAAGCAGATCTACAGAAAGAGTTGCAGTGTGCATTCAATGAAATTAACCAGCTAACTGGACTTATGGCTGGAAAAGTACCTAAAGGTTTGTAGCTTTAATTTATTCCTGAACTCTTTACTTTTGTTGTTCAATTCTTCTCTTCCTTCAGCCAGACACTTTGTTCTCTTTCTGATAAATATTTTTTTCTCACTCTTAAAATGAGTGAGAAAAAATAGTGCAGGTAATTTGATTCACTATTTAATTTTATTTTTATTTTTTTTAATTCTTTAATTTTTGGTGCATTTATTTAATACAGATGCTTGTTGTGCCACAACAGCAATAACAAGAGTGAGGAACAGCGTTTAACAGGCTTATGGCATAGCGAAGTACTGCACACATTTTTAAGGTTAAGTAAAGTAGCAGGGTCACATGCTTATCCAACATATCTCAAGTATGTGTAAAGAGTCGTCGTCGCTAGTAATCTAGACATATTGGTAATCTTGCTTACTTAGGTTGAATAACAGGCTTTTAAACTAGGCAAATGCTTGTGAAGCTAAGAGTATATCGTGCACTATGCTCGTTAGACTAGACAGCAGGGTGGCTACACTATTTAATTTTTATTCTGTGATTTGAAGGGGCCATGATGCATGGAATCTGTATGTTCAGCGTTGCGTTTTGATTATATGCTGTAGTGCCCCTGTTTCTTTAGGTTGCTCCACCACAACCACATTGGTGAATAAAGGCTTAAAACTCTTTTTGTTAACTTACCTCTTTCCAGGGCTGAGGTTCTCTTGGCGCTGGCTTAGTCTTCTCCTCTTGAGCCATCATGCCAATAGGGAAATCTAATGCTCATGCACTGCAAGCACCACGGGCATTAGAGCTTCCCCATAGGAAATAATTAAATCAATGTTTTCGTATGGTGAATTTGAAGATGTTTGATGTACTCATGGAAAGCATTTACGTATCTTTAATCAATCGCCATGCTATTTTTACCATGGTTGTCCCCAGCTTCACATCTGAGATCTTACACTTGATGATCTCCGTCAATACAAAGCTTTCCTATAGGGAAGCATTGGGAGATTACTGCTCTATGCTACCATCTGATGGAATAACACTGACTATCATGAAGACAGCCGCTACAGGTGTATTTTTAAACCTGCAATGTAAACAAAATGACAATATTTTACGTGAATGGATTAAAATAACAGGACAATTGCACTCAGAGAGGACGTTATCTGGGTGACTTCAGTGGTCCTTTAAGCATATTATTAGTTAAGCAGCAAAGCTTTTTTTCTATTATTATGAGTGTAACGGATCGCCTGGCACCCCGACTGGGTACCTCCGTTGAAGGATGCTCCTAGCGCTTCCTGAGGACTCCAAGCACTCTGGCAGACACCACAATCACCGAACCAGAGAAACAAATTCTCCCAAGCATATGAATGCTGTAGACCATTGAATAGAAACCATACGAATAGGTTTACTCTCCTAGCAGTCAAACTGGAACAGCATACAATAAATCCTTCCCCCAATAATGAGACGACACTTCACTTTGAGGGTTAAAACAGGAACTCCTGTACTGTCACATACAGTCTCTTTTATTCCCAATCCACAAACATAGTACAGCCCACAGGGCGTTACAAAACAACCAATCAATCCGTACAATACACCCAGACACTCCCACACAAAATCCTCCCCTCTGCCTGTGATATGATTACTGAACACAATGGGTAATCTCATTATCACTGGCAGAGGAATACAGTTTTTACACAATATTTATAACTTCTAAAATATACATATTACAAACATAAAACATACATTTTCATAATCAATCCATTCAGGGGATCAACATATTAAAAAATGGCACGAATCAGACCAGGGGTTCAAAAGTTAAGGGAAAGTCCTTTGTGACTAAATGAAGCATGGCTTTCCGGCCCAAACCAGTTTCAGAGTCTTCTATCCTGCAGATTGAATTGAGAAGTAATTCAATTATCTCCCAGGACAGACACAAGACTCCATTATGCACATGGTGAGCACAAAGCATTAAAATATTATAAAATACACAAAGTCACATTTTATACATAAAACACAGACATGTCACATATCCCCAGATAGCTGGGATCTGAGCGCACAAAACTACCGAATAGCGCTCAGATCCTGTTCACACATTTCAATTGCCGTGGAGCCGAAGTCTTTAACTACACGAATGGGCTCCATGGCATAGCTATCTGGGTTAACACATTCACATAAAGTCTGGTCCATAGTCCAAAGGCAAGAGGCGGGCAAGCAGCCCCCTCCAAGGACACGTGGCGAGGTCGGTTTCGCCACAATGAGTTTAAAAATAAAAACTTTTTCTAATTTCAAATGTGAAATTGTAGTCGGCAAATACTGCACTACAGTAATACATTTACCAAACTATATGCACAAACAAAATAAATATATATATATATATATATATATATATATATATATATATATATATATATATATATATATATATATATATATATATATATATATATAATATTTTTATTTTTTTTTACCAGTACTCAAAGCTTGCACTCTATCACTGGCATACCATTTAAAAAAAAAAAAACAGTGCATAGTTCCTCTAATGATTTGGAGTAGTAACATGCCTTTCTTTTGCTTGGCAGATCTGCTAACTCGTGTGGAATTGGAGAAGGAAATAAGTAATTACTCAAAACAATTGGCGAAAATCATGGAAGAAAAAACTATTTTGGAAAAAGAAGTTGCTTGTTTGTCAGAATACAAATATTTGCCGAGTGAAATTGAACATCTAAAACATCAGGTGCCTGCTTGATTCATAGAACTAAAAATACTATATTTTTTTATAACACTGTTTGAATCTTTACATTGTTAAACTGTCCCCATTCTCTTTCTAGTTAAGCCAAACTTCTGAAGAGTTAGATTTGTTAAAAAGCGAAAGAGAGCAGCATTCAAGTATAATCTGCAAACATGAACATGCTTTACAAGAGCAAACCTTGCAAATTACGACTTTGACTGATGAGATCACATGTGTGCAGTCAAAGTTATCTGAAGCTGAAAAGCAGCACTCTGAGCTAAAAAGAGTGCATTCGGAACTTGAAGAAAAATACATGTCCGCTACACAGGAGCTAGTGCAGAAACAAAATGAATCTGAATGTTTACTTAAAGAAATAGAACAGCACCAATGCACCATTGATGGTTTGGAACAAAAGGTATTTATCTGTCAATGCAGTTTTTGTGGTCCATTTCTCCCCCCTATTTTCCCTGTTTTGAAAATAAATCTGTTTTCCATGCCTAGCTCTCCACTGTAGCTGAAGAATTTGCCCAAGCTGAAAGGGACAAAGAACAACTTATTAGTCAACAGGAAGTGCTCATTCAAGCTGAACAGAATGCTAAACATTGGCAACAAGCTGCTCCTTCAACAGAAGAAAAAGACAGCCAGGTTACAATTCCGCTCCATAGTTTAGATGAAGTCACAGCTCTTCTTAAAGAAAGGGATGATGTGCAAAAGACGATAGAAATGGAAAGGGATGATCTAAAAGAACAAGTAAGTAGTCCTAGTCCTTGTGCACCGAAATTACTTTAAAAAAATTTGGGATTCTAATTTTTTTTTTCATTAGTAGTCCTAAACCTTTTTTATGAGAACCTATATATTTTTTTTTTTTTTTTGGTTCTCTCTGCAATTTGTGGTTCTTGTTTTCAAAATGAAGGTGCTACAAGCTTGTATATCCATCTACACTCTCTTTGCCTTATGACTTTGTTAAAATCACCACGTCTCTGTTCACGTTTCACCAGTTCCAAGCCACAGAATCTTAAGCCTTTGGAGTCCCCCCTGTGGTGTTTGTTTGGATGGCTGGTGTCTCAAGGCGATTTATTTATTTTGGGAGATCTTACATGTTCCTTAATTCTTTATTTAAAGGGGCGAAAGGTTTTGCCCACGTGTCTCAAACTGCAACTGAAGGTCAGCAAATCTATCAACCATCCCTGCAGTATTGCAATTGAAAAAATTTTAAATCTTGAAGGTTTACTGTCCCTCCGCTATCAGTCACAATTTTAGAATCTCATTGAATGAATTTACAAGCAACGCATCTCCCGCATCCATAGGTGCCACAAGGGGGATTTTCCAACCATGTGCCTGATGGTTGTGGTTTTGGTTGAAATTGACTCTGAACAAGTATATCTCTGATATTACAGCCTCTTTGTGCCGGAATGTCAACATTTGGACCAAGTACCTCTTTGAGATGAACTTCATTAAGTAAAATTGGCCAAAATCTATGCAAGGACTTCTTCACATCCTGCCAACCTGAATCATACATATTTTTGGTGTTTTCCCTCACAGAATAGTCTATCAGCCTCCAATGCCCTCCTCTATGCCCTTTTCAGGCATCTGTTAGGGTATCCTTTCTCTCGGAACTGCTGTCTGAGTGTATTAGCTTTTACCTTAAAGTCAGAAATATTACTGCGTTCCTGTGTATCCTTAGATACTGCTCAATGGGTATCCCCTGTTTTTAAAGGTCTCGAGTGGAAACTGTTGCATTATAAGAGGGGATTGGAGGCCAAAGGTTTCTTAAAAAGTGTAGTTTGGAGTGAACCCTCATCCGTGATGGAGTTAGTAAAGTCCAAGAAATTAAGAAAGCGCCTGCCAAACTCTGGTGTAAATTTGAGGTTTTCATTATTTACATTCAGAATGGAAACGAGATAATTAAACTCTTCTGTGGTACCTTGCCATACAACTAGGATGTAGTCTGTATACCGACGCCAGAGATGTATCTTAGTAAGATATTGTGCCACAGTGTCTGAAATCCTAAGCTGTTCTTCCCCAGGTGGAGGTTAGTGTATGAGGGGGCACAAGCTGTCCCCATCACAGTACCTCTCACCTGGTGGTAGAATTTATGGAACAGAAAGTAGTTATGTGACAAGATAAACCACAGGAGTCTCAGTGCAAATGTTGTGTCTGGTGTTCCGGACCCCTCTGGTCTCAAAAGAACCTTGCATGTGCAATCCCTTTGTCATGCGGGATGAATGAATATAATGATTCTACATCCAAACTTCATAGATTGGCTGTCTTAGGTATTTTGAGATTAGAAAGAGTAAGTGCCTGCTTGGTATCCCTAATGTAAGAGGGAAGGTGTTCTACAAATGGTCTCAGAATTTTATCTATGTAGAGAGTACCATTCTGAATCAGGCTGTCCTCACCCGAGACAATAGGGCGACCTGGTGGATTTGTGAACTTTTGGCAGGCAGTAAAAGGTTACCTAGGGTGACGATTCAAGATAAACTTGTATTTGTCATCCGATGGCAAACCTTCACTGCGGCCATCGTCCAGAATCGCCTTATACCTCTGTAAGAACTAATTTGTAGGGTTGTTTTTTTAGGTTTCAGTGTCGCTTAGTACTTTTTGGACCATATTAATAGTCATTAGAGTTCATCGGTACTATGCTGCGCCCCCCTCCCCTTATCAGCCGGCTTACTGATCAGATCGTCATCCTCTGTGTGATCTTAGTGCCGGTTGTTCATTCTTTGAGAGATTGTCATTCGGGGTGGAATTCAAGAGATTTTACATTGGTCTATTCAATCTCACTCTTGACTGCTTCTAGGAAAAGATCAATGTTCCTAAAACTGCCATGGTTGGGGGTAAAGCAATATTGTGGTTATACACTCAAACTTCTTATAGATGAGGCCTAAAGCTCTCGCTTTCTTCTCCATGCGTAATGTGTGGAACTTGTGTAAAGCAAGTTTACGCACAAAGTTAGATCGGTTACAACCTAGATTTGATTTATAGGTGGTTAAATAGGTCTCAGAAGTCCCTTCTTCACATGTCCTGCCATTCACACCTTTTTATCCTTATGGGACAGAGTTAGGCAGATGTTCACTTTGGCCTCTAATCCCTTTCCTTTCACAACTGTAATGAGAAATAGGGATTGCTGGCATACAACTACCTATATTTATAGGAGACATCATGACATTCAGAGATTACTTTCAATATGTTCCATTATGGCATTTTGCACAAGAGAACTGGGTTAAACAAGCTGCTGATTCAGCATTAACTCCAAATAAAGCCCTCTGTTTACATGAGACCTATCAGGTTTTATATCATAGATTTATAACTATACCTCTTCTAACTCTTTTAAATGAGGTCTTCATGTGATATGTCTGTCAATAAAAGCAGGATATAGGAGGGGAGTTAAATGAGGACTCTTGGTGAACTTCTGGGAGGCAGTCATCAGGGTCTCCATTTGCATTATTTCCCAGGAACAAATGTATAAAATCTTGTTTCAGTGGGGAAAACACACTTTATCAGCTGTTGGCAACAATGCAGCCCGCGTGGCACATACCTTTAGATGTGGTGTTTCTTTTTGGGAGATGATGAGGGATCTATTGGCAGCTGTCTTACAGAGCTCTTGAATAAGATTATTTGTATTATTTGCAATTGTTTATAATACAGAAACAAAAGTGATGTCTTAAATGTCAGAAAATGTAGCAACGAGATTGCAGACTGCAGGGGCATGATATGTACACTTAAATTTCTTTCTTCTGCTAAAGTTGTTTTTATGCCTATGGTATCCCTTTAAAGGGACACTATAGTCACCAGAACAACTACAGATTATTGCATTTGTTCTGGTGAGGAGAATCATTACATTCAGACTTTTTCCTGTAAACACTGTGTTCTCAGAGAAAATGCAGTGTTTACATTACAGCTTAGTGATAACTTCACTGGCCACTCCTTAGTTGGCTGTTAGAGATCCTTCCTGTGTCATGGCTGCCTAAAAGGCATCCAAACATTCAGTGTCTCCTCTCTCTGCATGCAGACACAAAACTTTCCTCATAGATATTCAGTTTATCTCTATGAGGAGATGCTGATTGGCCAGGACTGTTTGAATTGTGCTGACTCTTACCTTGTTCTGCCTCTTTGTCAGCCTCAGCCAGTCCTATGGGGAAGCATTGTGATTGTATCAGGCTACCACTTGTGATTATGTCAGCAGACAGTGGGCAGGTCTAAAGGAAACAGTGACAAAATAAGCAGCTCCAGATTTGAATACAAGTAAGATTTTACTATACCTAGGGAGGCATGAGGGGAACAGGGTGACTAGATGGTGGTTTTAAACCCTATAGGGTCAGGAATACATGTTTGTGTTTCTGACCCTATAGTGCTCATTTAAGTTCTTTGCTAAACACAAGTTAAAATCCTTTAGCCACGAACATTATGTTCATGCAATCGTACAGTGACTGCCTCTTTACCAACTAGTGGGTCTTCTAATGGAAACCAGTCGTTGTTGGCTGGCATAGGACTGTTGGGCAGCAAGAATGACTTGCAGCTAACCTAACTAAAGCTTTGTTTTGCAGTGGGATTGGAGAGAACTTTGGCAGTGTTAACCTATCTGTTTTATAAATAATTATTTTTTCTACTAACAAAGCAAAGGTTCATCTCTTTAAAAAAAAAAAAAAAAGCATGCCGTTTAAAAGTTTATTTTTGTATTTTAGTTGTCTTTACAAGGTGAAATCCTCCAAGATCAAGCAAATGTCTTTCAAAAAGAAGTAGAAACATATAAAGAACTACAACAAGATCTGAGTGCTGAAATTGAACAGCTCAAGAGTTGTTTAAAAGAAAACCAGCAATCCCTGGATGTCATGCAAGTAGAAAAGTCTGAAGTTTATCAGAAACTCAGAGATGTTCAGAAGCAGTTGGAAGTTGTTGACCAGGAGAGAAGTAAACTTCTTTCTTCAATAGATGATCTTAAAGCTGAGAGAGATGATCTAAGAAGTGACTTAAATGAGAATATTGAATTGGTAAGTATCCAAATGTGCATTTTGACATAGAACACTTTTTGCTTATGATTCAAATGTAATAGTGTTTCTATGTTACTTTTGTTTTGTACATTTAAATTGTCTTAAGTTTACAATGGGATTCATACTGGAAACACATAATTATGTGCCAGTTTTAATTTGTCACACTTATTTACCCTACTTTAGCTGTAAAAATGCTGAGAGCTAATGACATGGCTTTCTAAGCCGGTGTTAACATGAAATTGTGGTGGTGGCTGTTAAACTAGGATGGTTAGTGCTGATCATTCCATTCCAATTATGTTTGGTACTATCCATGTGTAATTAATTTGGCAGTGGGTTATGGCAAGATAACAATTGATTTGAGTTTCTCTTTAAGTTTTTAGTTTGGGGGATATGTTTTTTTTTTTTTAATGTTTTCCATGTGTTCTTGTTAAAATACAAAGTCCATTGAAACGCAAGATGAGTTAAGAACAACTCAGCAAGAACTCAAACAGCAGAAGAAACTTGTTGGCGACTTAAGAAAGCAACTTGAAGAAACCACTACAACATCTAAGTTCTGCCAGGACCCTAACCTAGGACAAGAGGTTAGTAAAACATTCAACTATATTTCCATTTAAACTATACTGGAAATTATACAGTATATGTTCAATTGCCATCTGCCCCACTTATTACCAGCCAAAATTTAAAGTAGCACTGTCATTGTCTGGGGACATTGCAGAATTTGCAAAGACTTTGGATGGTGACATCGCCACTTGAGGCCCAGTGGCTGGGAATGCAGGTAAAGTGAGTTCTACTTGCCTAAACCTGACCCTCATGAGCACGGCCATCTTCTGACGGCGGGGCATCCTAAGCACAAGAAGCCAACATCACTGATATAGTCTCGCAAGATTACACTGTTGAGGCCGATGGAGCATCCCACAAGACTCCAAAATTCTCCTCTGACAGCAGGGGGGATTAACACTTGTAGACACTGAGTGGATCTACTGCCTTCTAGAAGTGCCAGGTGTAGGAAATATACAGAGACAAAGTATATCTCTTGACTGGGTTGGAATTTCAGTGAAATTTCAGCACCGTCAAAATGAGCAGAATATATCAACTTTATTCAAATTTTTCTTTTATGAATACTAGAGGCAGCTTGGTAAACACTGTAGGAGTAGAGGTGGAACCCAATTGTTCTAAGCTTTATATTTATTATAAAATCTGCCATTTTGACTTTTTTTTTTTCTTTTGAATTTTCAAAGTTGGAAGAAAAGCTTCAAGACACCAATGCTTATTATAAAGCACTCATTGATGAAAAATATGCTCTTGAAACTACTTTGCAAAGTCTAATGGGTGAGATGGAACTCCTCCGGGAATGCACAAAAGCAGCTGAGCTGGCTCAGGAAAAGGCAGAAGGAGAGACTAGAGAACTTGAGCAAAAACTCTGTACCTTTGAGAAACAACTGTTCTCTATATCATGTGAGAGGGATGAGGCAAAGAATATGGAAAATAATCTGACAGAAGAAAGGAATATGCTCAAACACGAAATTGAAAAGAACATAAAGCAGGTGACTTATATAAATGATTGAATTTTTACTTTTAAAATTCTACTCTTGAGTAATTCAGGAGAGACATTTGAGAGTATTGCAGTGTTCAAAATCTTTATTTTTACGATATATACCCGCAATGAAAAAATTTATGCATTTAGTAATGATTTTTTTTTTTTTCCCATTCCGGTTATATCTATAAAATTAGCCTGAAAAACCTACAGATCTAATTTCTGCAGCATTTGCAAACCCTCTCCTTCTTCCACAACCCTGACATATGTGGCTGTCCAATCACAGACTTCCCAGTGCAGTTTAATGAGAAGCCTTTGAAAGACAGGTGCTCTGGACAATTTGAGTTTAGCTCTATAGAGCTAAAAAATTTTTTTACAAAAATCGAGAAAAACAGGACCCAGTTGCCTGACTGCCAGGTGGATGTAACAAGGTTAATTTATAAGAGTATCAATTTAAGAGATGACACACTCATCGAACAACATAAAGCAGTTCGGCACGCTATTTATAGTAATTTAAGATTTAGTGTGTGCAAGAGCAGTTGTACTTGGTTTCTTAAAAATTTAAGATTGTCACAGTAGCAGCATGGGAGGTAATGTTTCCCCCACACCCCAGTTTTTTTTGTTTTGTTTTAAATAATCTTTTAAGTAAATGTATTTTTAATGTTTAAGTATTTTGTCTTGTCAGATCCAGTGCCTAAATGAAGAGTTAAACCTTATGAAACCAAATGGAGATGATGATCTTCGGCAACAAAAGTTGCTGGCACAGGAAAAAATGGATCTTAAGGAAATATTAGAAAATGTTGGCGCTGAGAGTCACCAGCTGAAACACGACCTACAAAAAAACATTGAAATGGTAGGACATTTGTCTGACAATCTCTCATTCTAAACTGCACTTGTTATTTTGAATTTTAATTGGTATACTTGTTTTAGTCTATTGAAACCCAAGAGGAGCTACAGGGTGCCCTTGAAGAATTAAAACACAAGACTAGGCTTTTGGATAACCTGAAATCCTTGCATGACATCACAGAGGACCACTCTGAAAATCATGAAACTGACTTGGAGCATAAAGTAAGTTGTATGACATGCACCTATTCTTGTGTTAAGCAAACTTTTTTTTTTTTTATTGCTGTAGTTAAATTTGCCACATAGCAAATCTTTCTGTTTTGCTTAAATTAAGCAATATGGTTTTATGATCTTTGTGATACTGATATTCATGTTTTGACTTGGAAAGGTTTTAAGGTTGGAAGGTCAGATGAATGCACTGATACAGGAGAGAGATTCACTTTTACTTGAACTTAAAGCTACAGCAAATAGAAAAATGGAGCTGGATGAATTGGTTTCTACACTTACCGAAGAGAGAAATACACTTCAAGAAAAATCTTCAGATGGCCAGGTGAGCTTTGCATCCATGAGATTGCTTTAAGAAAAAAAAAAAAACAGTATGAATTAAGAGAAATGAAAGCATACAGTATATAGAAGTATTCTTAATAATCAAAGCCCTCTAAAAGATTACTCAACTGCTTTACTTTAAGTATAGCCCCTTAATGACCAATTCCATCAATTGCTAATACCACAGTCTGCTCCTTAAACACCTTATAGTAAAATAAACATTGAAGAATCTGGTCACTTTATGGTGCACAGATACTGGTTTTGCTCCCAGCAAGCCAAAGTGTTGGAGTACCACCCTTTATGGCAGCTTAGAATGTCCTTATTTGACGCAGACAGTGAGTGGGTCTTTTCATTCTGTGATATGATTAAGGATCATATTATCACAGAAATTGTTTCATAAGGGTCACAGTGCTCGATCTTCTGAGGTATGCAAAGATGGTGACATACACATATTCTTCTTCAGTGTTCCATACAACATTAATTGGTAAAACTTTTCAAATGGCAGCGACATAAAAGTGTATATGGAATGAGGTCTTGACAGTTTGCAAGATGTTTTCCAACATGTCATTAAATATTGAATCCGTAGGTTAATTTTATATCCACTCACTATGAAATTCTCAAAGGTCCCAAAACAGGTCGGTGTCCTTGGACCTCACTGATGAGGTCCAAAGAAAGCTGGAGCAATTGTCTGCGGTTGCTGTATCTCTTGCCAGCATTTCGGTTCTGGACTGCCATTACGGGTGCGATCAGTCTAATTATGCTTCGGAATGTTTTCTCTCTTTAATGGCACAAGTGAGCAAAAACTATTTTGAGACCTGAGCTGGTATTTACCGAATGGCAAGCTACTGAGTTTCTCTAAGCTTTTGTCCATTCAATTCTTATATTCTTTATTTTTTTTATAAATACTATGTTTAGGAACAAGTTCATGGTGAAATTATTATTTATTTTTATTTTTTTTACAGATTTAAAGCGTAATAGACTAATATGGTCATGTATAGGCCACCACTATATTTTTACGAGTGTTATATCTTCTTTCAGATTTCTGTTCTCGCAGAACAACTGCAGGATATTGAAGCCAAATATCAAGAACTTCTCTGTGAGAAACATTTACTTGAAACTGCTCACCAGAGTCTAAAATGTGAAATGGAGCTTCTCCGGGAACATGTAAGAACAATGGGATTGGCTCTAGAGCATGCAGAAGATGTGAAGGTTGAAGCTGCAGATAAACTATGCTCCCTAGAGAAACACTATTCTCATATTGATGAAGCAGATAACCTGAAAGTTGAATTGAATGTTTCCGGAGCAGCAATGGAGGTAAATTGTGAATTTTATTAAACAAAATTAGTAAAATATATGTTGTGTATAAGAATATCAATATTCACAGCTATATGGACATTTCACCTCAGATTTACTTGGGTAAATGTTCATCAGCAGATTTTAGATGACAAACATAATGTTGCTGTTGCTCTTTAGAAAATAATCTATTCTTTAAATTTGCATTGTGTGCTTCTGAAATGTTCGTAAGCAAATAATTAAAATTTTGTAAAACCAAACCAGGTGATAAGCGCACACATGAAAAGGATTAGTTACCTCATATACAAATTCTTCTTAACTTAGAGTTACATGTATTATCCTATACAGAAAGAGAGAGATAAAACACAACATAGTGTAATCTGTAAAAATAAATCGTGAGTAGGAATTCAGAACACTCACAATTTTCTGAGCCCATTAAAGTTGGCTCTGGACTTATTGAGCATATATGTCTCCTTGTAGACATAGAATGGATTCCTCTAGTGGTTAGGGTCCCAAAAGGTGCAGAATTGCTGGAAACGGAAACTCCAAAAAGAGGTAGGTATATAAAAATTATTTATTACTTTTATATAGATAAAAACATTGGAAGAAGTGCACAACGCGTTATAACCCCACAAATGGGTCTTTTTCTGGTGATAATGAAAGTCCTATCATTATATACACAAATATTACAAACAATTACACGTTGTAAAAAACACACCCATTCCCAAATATGGTCCGAACCGGATACGTATCATGTCACCTCCAAGATGGCGACGTTTCCGGTTCGAATATACATTTCCGTTTTTTCAGCCATATTGGTAATCTTTTCCTAGAGTATATATAAATAAAATATAAATTAGAACATGCATATAAAATGACAGAAAGTTCATTCTATCACTTCCACAAAAATCACGTCTTTTCAAAATCCTTTTTGGAATGGTTCTATCTGTTGCATCTATTCGGTTTCGTCACTTCTGGTGACGGGCCGGGTCCGTAACGTCACTTCCTGTGACATCTCCATGCAGGCTAATTCCCTTTGACGAATTTTAGCGTCCATGTGTTATGTTGAAGTCTCTTACCAGCAGGCGCCATTTTACAGAAGGGCATTAGTCCATATATACCATACACAGAAGAAGGGCAAGAAGAAAACAGGGAGTTAAAATACATATTAAATGTAAAAAATAATAAAAAATAAATAAAACACCAATCAAAAAGACACTCAAATAAAAAAGACTTGGCAACAGAAAGAGTTAAAACCACAAAGGCAAAAAGAGAAAAATATTTCATAAAATAGGATTTATTTCAAAATCAATATTGAGTCCATTAGGAACTAAGGTGCGTAACTCAAAAATCCATCTAGTCTCCTGTATACTTAAATTATTAGCAGCATCTCTATTGCACAAAATTTTAGGTGTCTTGGATCTGACACATGCGTTTCTAAAAAGTTCATTGATACGCTATGATTTAAAAATCCTTATTTAATATTCCGAGCATGTTCACTGATTCTCACTTTGATTGGTCTAGATGTCTTGCCTATATATTGTAGCCTGCATGTACACTGCACTGCCTGCATGTACACCACAAAAGATAGATAACATTATAAGAGTGAAATGTGATTGATTTAATTTTATATTCTTTCTTCGTAATATCGAAATTAAATGTAAGAACATTTTTGTTAGATATTCTTGTATTCCGACATGCATTGCACATCACACAATGGAAATAAGAAAAACGTATTTTCATTGGACCAATCTGTTTTTTGGACGTTCGTGTTTTACAAAACTTTTCGTTAAAATTTGCTTAAGATTTCTTGCTCCTCTAAAAATAAATTTTGGCTTTTGGCCTATATATTCTTGTATATCATCATCTTGTTAGGATGTGCCAATTTTTGTTAATTATTTTTTCTTTAATGGTGCCCATGTTACTAGAGAAATTAAAAATAAGGGGAATTTGGTAGTTTGTCTTTTTTTCTTTATTTTTATATTTAAGTAAAGGGGATCTATTGGTAACTGAATCTATATTGCTTTGTAAATCATCACTATTGTATCCTTTCTGTTCAAATTGTTTTTTTAGAACAGCAGATTGTGCAATAAAGTCTACCTTGTTGGTGCAGTTCCTGCGAATTCTCAGGGATGATAACTATCCAATTCAATATAGCTGTTAACATCAAATTGTTTAAAGCGAGTCATAAGGGCATTGTTAAAAATATAAATATTTAAGTCTAAAAAAACTCAATGCTCAAATCACTGACACTCTCGGTTAGAGAGTTGCCCCAGTCGTTATTGAGATAGTTAAAAAAAAAAAAAAAAAAAGTTAAAAGAATCACTAGATCCTTAGCAATTAATGAAGATGTCATCTATGTACCTTTTCTATAGGTCCACGTTTGCGCCAAATCCATGTTCTTGATGAATAAAATTCATTAAAAAAAATAAAAAGGGTTAAAGTTCACTATTTGTCTGCACTAGACCGTAAAAATGACAAAATCCCCCTTTTAACACCACCCACAGTTAAAGGACCACTATAGTGCCCTGAGGGTGCCCCCACCCTCAGGGTCCCCCTCCCACCCGGCTCTGGAAGGGGGAAAGGGGTAATAACTTACCTTTTTCCAGCGCTTGGCGGGGGAGCTCTCCTCCTCCTGGGCTGAATGCGCACGCGCGGCAAGAGCTGCGCGCACATTCAGCCGGTCTCATAGGAAAGCATTTACAATACTTTCCTATGGACGCTGGCGTGCCCTCACTGTGAAAATCACAGTGAGAAGCACGCAAGCGCCTCTAGCGGCTGTCAATGAGACAGCCGCTAGAGGCTTTGGGGGAAGGCTTAACCCATTCATAAACATAGCAGTTTCTCTGAAACTGCTATGTTTATAAAATAATGGGTTAACCCTAGCTGGACCTGGCACCCAGACCACTTCATTAAGCTGAAGTGGTCTGGGTGCCTAGAGTGGTCCTTTAAACATAATAATATAACTATTACTATTTTAACGCTTCCACCACCAAGACAATTTATAAATGGGGTTGACTTGGTCCCTCAGGTAAATCAATAATAAAAACCCATCAAATATTACTTAGCACAATATCTATTCAATTGCAAAATACAAATTAGTTCAGGTAACGTGATTCTTAACCAGACAAAGGCAGAACTTAAAGGGACTCTCCAGTGCCAGGAAAACAATCCGTTTTTTGGCACTGCATGTCCCCTCTCCCTCCCAATCCCCGGTTGCTGAAGGCATGAAAACCCCTTCAGTGACTTACCAGAGGCAACGACTTGTCCCACGTCACTGTTTCTTCCTCCGCTGCCACTCCTCGCCTTCATTACATCGGCCGGTGGGCGAGACCTAATGCGCATGCGCGGCTTGACACATTGTGCTAAACTGTGCTGTGCTAATAAAAAAAATAAAAAATAATTAGAGCAAAGTGAACCGACGGAATGCCCCTGTTGAAGGTGCTGTTATATGTGTTCTTTGGTGTTTGTTAGTGGATTCACTAACAGAGAACACGTATAAAGCTGCCCTACAGCAGAATACCAATGGTATAGTGAAACGCATTAAGTAAGGACATACATTATCCACAGTTTTTATTTTTACTTGTATAGCTGTTGTTCCCAGCTTTTTATTTAATGAACCTACTATTTTATACATCATCACTTGTGGAGTACATCCTTCATACAGCCCTCACCAACCTTCCGGTTCCAGCATATATCCATAGGTGGGGATTGTTCCACCTCATGTTCTTCATACCAGAGCAGGACATTGCTGTGGGTGACGCAAGTAGGATATTTTCCTCCATCAATTGTTTGTATATACTTATACCATCAGATTTCCTATATTGTCTTTTTTCACATGTACTTACTCCATCCTGAAAACAAGCTCCAAAGACCCTCCACTTATATCCATAGACGGAGATTATTCCGTCCAGGCCTTCTTAATAGAGCTGAGACAGCTCTAAAAAGTGAGTGTGCACTTTTGACCATTTGTTCTCCCTTCACAAACATCTACTGTACTGCACCATAATCTGTTTCTTGCTTTGTACTTATAGATTCATATACTAAGAATATCATCTGTATCGTATGTATATGTAATCTTAAACCCTGATCACCTCCTGTCTGTTATCTTTACCTGTCTTAACTCTGCCCAACAACCTAAAAGGGGTCATAAACTTTACTTGATTTTTCTTAACTATACAGCAAGGCCAGCTTTACTCTCTATTGCCACCATACAAATATACTACAGTGCATAATGCCTGTGGCATGTATTTTTGATAGTGTTTTGTTTTTAATCACTTTTTTTTTTTTTATTGTAACATGTAGGGTTTTGTTTTCTTTGCAGTGTTCTGAAATGCTCTATGAAACTCAAGAAGAGTCAAAACACCAAATACATCTGGGAGATGATCTGAGTGAACAGATCCTCAAAGATGTTTGTTCAATGCAACCTGGCACTGACTTCCTGCTATCCCCAGAAGAGAAGGTATTGGGAATTTCTGTTGGTAATGGGGTATTTAATCTCATGGTGCAGTGTTCTAATGCTGTGTCTTGCTGTTTTGTAGGTTTTATCATTAAAGGAAGAGTTGGAACAAAACCAAGCAGGGCATCACCTGGAGGAGCATGTACAAGCCCAGGATAGGCTGCAGTGTGAAGTTGAAAGCCTGTTAATGAATCTGCAGAATGCTCAATCTACTCTTGAATCTTGTCAAAGAGAGAAACATGAAAATGAGCAAATGCTCTGTAGTCTTCAACAGCAAATGGAAGCTGTTACTCAGGAAAGGGATGAGATGCGGATCACACAGGCTAGTCTGATATCTGAGAGAGACCAGCTGAATGAAGCCCTACACACGAACACTGAAATGGTAATTTCTGGCTTTGTGTTTAAACAAATGATTTGGCAAATTATTGTAATCCATTAATCAAAACATGCCTTTGTGGGTACAAAACGTAAATGGATTATCTAATTTATAGGAAAACTACAGATACATTTTGACCATTATAAATATAATGCAAAATAATTAAAGACATAAAAATAAATTATTCGCCATCAAGGTTTCCTGTGCATGTCCTATTTAGTGGGTTTGCCTGCACCTTCAGGCATACCACTCCCTTTAATTAGGAGGCTCTTACTTTTTTGATAAGTAGATTAGTTTATTTTTGAAGAGCATATTTACTCATCATATTTGATTATGCTATCAATTTACACCCAGCTCAGATCATTGAACCGGGCTATAGACTGATCAACCACAACATTAAAACCACCTGCCTGATATTGTGAAGGGCCCCCTTGTGCTGCCAAAGCAGTTCTGAGGCATGGACTCCACAAGACCTCTGAACATGTCCTGGGGTGGTCCAAGACATTAGCAGCAGATCCTTTAATCCCTGCAGGTTGAGAGTTTGGGCCTCCATCGGTCAGATTTGTTGTTCCAGCACATCCCACTGATGAGGACTGAGATCTGGGGAGTTTGGAAGCTAAGGCAACATCTTGAACTTTGTCATGTTCCTCAAACCGTTTCTGAGCAATGTGGCAGAGTGCATTATCCTGCTGAAATAGACATCTGCCATCGGGTAACATGCAACGGTGGGGGAGGAGCGTGGTCAGAGCGGAGCCAGCACCGAGGGACATTGGCGCTGGACCCAGGTAAGTGACTGAAGGGGGCCTTGACAGAAGGGGTGCTGCAGTGCCAGCTTGTTTTCATCGCTCTATAATTTGCCTTTAATATAATTGCCTGACTGGACAACCAGTTTTAAGCTTTTTGGCTAAAATTAAGACCACTGCTTCTGCCAAAGTTGAAAGTCCTGGACCAAAACCTGCCTCAGAGAACACCGCAATGTGTCCTTTGAACAGCAAATGGACTTGCCATACTAAGGTTATATCTTCTATACCCACCTGCTCTGGAAGATCTTGAAAGATACCTAAACCACTTTATTTCTACCTGATTCCCTTTCCGAGCCACCGATGCCTGGAGCAACAGGGTCTATGGACATTGCATATGGACTTTCACTGAGAGCTCTGGATAAAGGGCACAGTGTCTCTCTACGAGACTTTAATTTCCAGCTTGGTAGTAGAATGTAACATGAGCAGGATGCGTGTTTTTTTTATTTATTTTTTTTATTTCTTTCTGAAATTGGTACTCTACACAAGTACCGAAATTTACCTGTGAACAGTGTTTTGACGTCTGGATTCCATTATACCAGTGATCCCAGTATGCTTACACTCCCTGTTGTATCTGCAACCAGTGCATTTGCTCTGTTGTATCTTCTTATTAGTTATAACCTACAAGCACAATTATCATTTTTTTTTGTTTTTCTTATCTTAAACATGTGCAGAACCAGCGGCAGCAACAGTTTCAAGCTCTTCGTTTCGTTTCTCTCAATTGGTGCATTTAATGCATGAATTTTGTTTTATTCCTGCCGCCTATGTTATTTTATATTATGTTACAAACCATTGCCTAACTTTATGTAACAAAAAGCAGTCACTCACTCATGACTTTGTTGTTAATCTGTCAACTTATTTATTTTACCTCTGCATAGTTTACCAGTTCTGGTCAAGTACAAAAAAGTACATGTAACGTGGCTAGGAACTCAACACATTTGTGCACGCAAAGTTCTTGTAGGGAGTAATTCAATTATATGCACATTTTTATGGGGTGGGAATAGAACATAAATATGCTCATTTTGCAAATTATAGGTCATTATGCATAATCAGGGTTTGTCAGGGAGATTTAATTTTTTTCCGAAAGCGAAAACGTAAATTGTCAGAAAGTAACCGTTCCTCGTTCCGTTAACCCGGTAAACACTATTTCAGCGTTTTATTAAGGCAAATAGAGCAGCAAAGGTAAGATCCATGTTTTGGAGACTTTGGCACACACGTGCGCTCATACATCTAACAAAGTAATCCTGTATAGACGCATGCACTCATATTGTAAGTGTTACTTAGTTTACGTACTCTGCCCTGCCAAAGTATATACTTTAGACCGAAAATAATTTTAATTTTAGCACAACTAATTGGCAACTTTCAGTTAATCCAATACAACAAACCTTTTATTTTAGGTAGAATATTATAAAAATGAGTTGCAGCAGAAAGCTTTAGAAGGCCAGCACATGTTACTTGAGAAGGAAGAGCTTCAGGAGACTCAGAAGAAACTCAAAGATGAAGTGGAACTACTGATGAAATCTATAAAAGATGCTGAAGTAACATTGCAGACAGTGGAGCAAGACAAACTGGAGGCAGATCTAAAGCTTCTTAATCTGCAAAAGGAAATGGAAATACTGGCTAAGGAGCGGGATGAGTTGAGGACTACACAGGAGAAGTTAACATCTGAGAGGGACCAGTTGACTGAGGATCTAAAAACAAACCTGAATATGGTAAGATTTGTATGCTTATAGTAGTTGTAAGTTGTTTGGGTTATCTTTTTTTCTTTTTTTTTTTTTTTTCTTGCACTTTGTGAGCAGTGCACATCATAACTTAAATAATAAAATGGTCAAATGCAGAACACATGTAAAAGCCCCACAACAATGTGTTTTTAAGAATAGACAAATGGGATGTTTTGGGGTGTGGGATTGTTTTTTGTTTTTGTGATGACTAGTTCACTAGGAAGACATCATAATGATGAATATCAGAATCTGGCATAATGCAGAATTGGAAAAATAACACACACAGATGTCCTGTAACAAGTTTATAGTGGTTGTGGTTTTTGGAGTGTTTTCTTAAAGGTATTTCAATAATCCATTTTAGATTGAGCATATTGAAACCAGTGTGCAGCAAACACACACAGAAGAGCATGGAACCATGCATGATGATAGTACACTTGAACTGGTTCAGCAAGGAACTTCAAACGATTTGAAACAACTAATGTCGAATTTGAAGGACACGGAGGCAAGACTACAAAACCTGCAACAAGATAAAGTGGAGACAGAACAAAAGTTTCTTAATCTTCAAAATTGCATGGAACCATTGGTTCAGGAGAGGGATGAACTGAAACTGAAACAGGACACTTTGATAGCCGAGAGAGACAGGCTGCAGGAAGATCTCAAAAACAACATTGATATGGTAATAGGATTGTGTTTTTAAGTGTGTGTGTGTGTGTGTGTGTGTGTATATGTATATGTATATGTGTGTGTATATGTGTGTGTGTATGTATATATATATATATATATATATATATATATATATATATATATATATATATATATATATATATATATATATAGTATGTGTGTATATATATATTTGTCGTATTGTATCACACATGAAAGAATATAACAAAGTTGTGATTGAATGTATTTGTGCATTAAAGGAAAATTAAATCTCTCCATTCGCGCACAGGACTGGTCACACTTTGTTACATTTAAACAACCATACCTGTCACCTATAGTAGTGACAGTAGTAGTTAGTGGTCCCTGATTCAGGAAACAGAACAGTAAGTTTCATCTGCTATTCTATAGTTGTGCTAAACATCATAAGCTGTCTAAAGGATATTGAGTAGTGGTGATTTGGGGGACCTGTCAATTGTTAATATTAGTGTATCCAAATTCATGCAGTTATACAGTACTGTCTATATGTGTTTGTCCATAAACAAATAGATTTGTTCAAAACAACAAAAACCTTCATTCATTTTTAGTGGAGGAAACATTTTTGTTTGCTTTGTGATTTGGATTTATAAATCTCAGCTTTTTACTCGAGCGAATTGATTCATTACAAAATTAATTTGTTTCTAAATGACTTAAATGATTCTGTTTACAACCAAATCAATTTGTTTTTGGATCAATGCATGCTAAGGAGATGACCATCTACCTGTTAATTGTAAGTTCTGTTGCCGCCTTTGCACATTCCCAGTTTTGCAAATTCAGTCCACTGGGTAGACAAGCCTATAGGGTCTGAATGCTTGTTGCAATCTTAACCCCTTAAGGACCAAACTTCTGGAATAAAAGGGAATCATGACATGTCTCACACGTCGTGTGTCCTTAAGGGGTTAAGGAGTGTATATGCAAATTGAGATGGGTATAGTTTTTATTTTTTGTTTTTTGTTTTTTTCATACTTTACTCCACAAATGCTTACTCAAAGCTGGGCTCATTGGAGTAGATTTTATTTTCACTGTTTCCTGCTCAGTAATTTTGTTGGTTATGCCAACTTGAGGGTGACCGCGCGCGCGCGTGTCAATCAGTCATGAAATGCACGTGAACATACATTATTTGCCTGTTTATTTGAAAGTGAGAAACAATTCATTCCTTATACAAGTATTCTATCACACTTGTCTGTCTTTCATTTTAGTTTGCTAATATTAAAAATGAACTTCATCAGAAGTCATTGGATGCACAGCAAATAATGCTTGAAAAGGAGGAGCTTGAGTTAGCCCATCAGAGACTTAAAGATGATTTGGAACTAATAAATACAAAGGACATTGAGGCAGCATTACAAAACGTGCAGCAAGAGAAACTGGAAATAGTTCAACAACTTCTTAAGCTTCAACAGGAAAGAGAAACCCTGGCTCAGGAGAGGGAAGCGCTGATTATTAGCCAGGATAACTTAACATGTGAATGGGATCAGGTAAGAGATTTTTTTATTATTAATTTATTGGGAATCTTTGTTGATTATCAGCATATTTCTGCTGTAGCTTTAGCTGCAATTATGTAAAATGATTCATATCTTTACTTTGTGCATTGTTGATGTGTGAGGTTTGATTGTTATTCTGTGCAGGAGAAGGTGAAACTAGATCTTGTCCATCAGAAGCTTAAAGATGAAATAGAACAACTATTGAAGAATATGAAGGGCTTAGAGGAAACCTTACAGAGTGTGCAACAAGACAAATTGGAGACAGAGCAAAAATTGATTAACCTTCAACAGCAAATGGAAACCCTGACTCAGGAGAGGGAAGAGCTGAGGACTAGCCAGGAAAACTTAACATCTGAGCGGGATCTACTGAAAGGAAACCTGAAAGAACACATAGAAATGGTATAATATCACTGTGGATTTTCCAAAAACAAAATATTTTTCTCATTTAAATTATTTAGGTTTGTATTTTTTTGTTGCTTGTTTAGCATTTATCTCCTTTTTCAATTTTAATTTAGGTTATGAATCTTCGAAATGAGAAGCAGAAGAAACACACAGAAGACCAGCCAACAGTGCATCAGATATCTTTTGAGCAAGTCCAGCAGAGTTGCAAGGAAGAAATGGAAGCACTAATTAAGGACATGAAGCAAACAGAGACAAAATTGCAGTCTGTTCAACAAGACAAACTGGAGACAGAACAAAAATGTACCGATCTCCAACAGCAAATGGAAACACTAGCTCAGGAGAGGGATGAGCTAAAATTAAAACAGGACAACTTAATATCTGAGCGAGATCAACTGAAGGAAGACCTAAAGGAAAATATTGAAATGGTAAGATACCTTTTATGTTAAAGAGAAAAATTCTTTAGATTTTTATTATTTTCAGGTCTACTAATAGTGGTGAGTCAATTGCCTTTTTCAAGAAAATGTCAAAAAATAGAAAAGTGGAGAGCTATTTGAAAAACCTTTTAGGATAGAAAAATTGTAATAAACTAAACAAACGAATTGCAGGATGGAATTTTGTCTAACAAGAAATGGGTCTTTGTTTAGTTCGTTGACATTTGTATTAGTTCATTAGTCTTTTGGACGAATAAGCAAAATTCAGACAAAAACATGTTTGCCTGCAAGAAACGAAAAACCCAAGACAGATTTATTCATATGGCTGCTAAAACAATTTTCACTAGGCATCGTGCTTTAATATTTTCTCTTGCAAGCACATCGGGAGAAACCTAGTGTATATCGAGTACAAGCAGCCTCTAGACTGGAATTTATAGTGGTATCCCCCACATATGAAAAAGATTGTTAAAGACTGAGCCAGTACTGTTCTCTTCTTTTATGTGGGAGGATGATATCTACCATCATTTTAACATGAAAGACCTTAGTTATATTATATTTTTTACTCTTTTAAAATATAAACTGAGGAATTTTCTTCTAAAGAAAGATTGACTGCGGAAAAGGATTGGTATTTGCTGTATATTTCCTACCCTAAGGGTTATTGAAATAGCTCTTCACTTTTCTATACTGACTTTTTGGAAGTGCTTGGTGTTCTTTGCAGGAGATGGGAGACGCATGTATATAGCTGCTAAAAAAAATGATCCACGCTTACAAGAAGTGTCTGTTTCACAGTATATATTTTCTGCATTTTTCAAGAGTCTAATGTAGCAAGGAGGGCAGTTCCATAGGGATGGTGCAGCCCTAGAGAAGTCGTGAAAGTCAGAGATGCGATCACGAAAAGAGGATAGACACAAGTCCGAGCATAGTGGCCTGGTTGGGACTTACTTGTGTATTAGTGAGGATTGGTAGACATGAGCTGTGTTATAGGGGCTGTATTATAAAGAGCAAACCAGAGTTTTATATCTTAAAGTAAACCAATGTAAGGACTGACAGAAGAGAGAGGTGCAGGTGGTCAGGAAGATGAGTCTTTGCTGCAGCATTCATTATTGACTGTAGCGGGGCGAGCTGTGTGTACTTAAGACCAATGAGACGTTGAGTGCAATAGTCAAGGCGTGAGATTATAGTGGCATGGAAGGGAGTTTTAGCTGCATTCAGTGTCGGTAGGGGCGTGTGTGAGCTAGGTTTTTGAGATGAAAGCGACAGGATTTGGTGTTTGACCGGATATGAGGGGTGAAGTGGAGGTGCAAGAGAGTTCCAAGTCACCAAGTCTGTGAGGTAGATTGTAAGCTCATGTGAGCAGGGCCTTCTTCATCTATTATCTCCCTGGATATATTGAATGTCAATTACCATTTTATGATTGTAAAGTGCTGCTGATTAGTTTAACCAAAAAAAGGCAGTAAAAATCAAGAAACGTAGAGGACTGAATATAGAACCTTGTGGAACACCAACAGAGATGTGTTGCAAAGGAGAGGAAGAACCCGAAATGGAGACTCTTAAAGAGTGCTGGGAAATGTTGGGGTAAAATCCGGAAAGAGTAGTGTCTTTCATCGGCAATGGTTGAGATGGATGAGCACAAGTTATTGATCAGTGTCAAACGTAGCAGAGAGGCCAAGGAGAATTAGACGGAAGTAGTCATCACTGGATTTTGCCACAATGAAGTCATTGGATGCTTTGGATTTCGCACTCACCACTCGGACCATACTAAAGTAGGGGTCAGGAAAGTTGTCCGTATCGTGTACGTAACTCTCAAGGATCTTGGGCTTTTTTTAGAATCAAGGTTATGGTTGTATGCTTGAAGGGTGCAGAAAATACACAAGATAAGAGGAAGTGATTAATTTATTGCGAGGCAGAGCAAGCGAAGGGACAGTGTGAATGTGTAAATTAATATAATTGACTGAACTGGTTCTGGAGTGGGAGGAGCACAGCAGATCAGAAACAGATTGTGCAGTGGGTGTCAAGTAAGTGTAGGATAGAGGAGGGAGTGGGGTAGGGGAAGTTGGCATAGACAAAGCGATTTGAAATCTCTAACCTGTTTGCAGCTTTAGTGGAGTGGCAAAGAATGTTTTCATTCTCTGCGTTGTTTGGTTATGAGGATAATGAAGTTATGGAGAAAATCAGATGTAGAATTATTATTTCTCGAGCAGCATTCAGCAGTTCTCAAACATTTTTAGAGGTATAGGGTTTAGTTTAGTATGCCATGGTTGGAACTGGAGTCCTTTATGATGCTTAAATGTAAGATGTGCCATGTTGTCTAGTTCAGAGGAGCGGGTGGAGTTGTAGAGAGCGGTTGCAAAGCTAGAGTAGGTTAGGTTTGAGATTGGTAAAAGGGGCGTTCGGAGATTGCTGGAGAATTGCTGTACGTGAAGACAAGGGAGGTTTCTGCAAGATTCTTAAACATTGAGTGTTATAAGTTGGCTATGGGATATGATGATACCCAAGGTCAACAGATGATGGTCTCTGTCATTTATGGTTATCAGCTCTATATTTTGCACCTGGCAGTCTGCAGAGAGAAAGCATACAGAGAAGAAATTTAACTATTTCTTCTCTTTACCTGCACTGTTTGCTTTGGCTTAGCCATGTCTGAACTGTATTTCAACATAATTTGCTAAATATTTAATATAAATTTGAAAGAAAACAATGTTGAAAGTCCCAAAGCCTTGACCATCCAATTTTTAAAGTGAATTTCATATTTTGCACCTGTTAGGGGGACACTGTAGGCATTATAACCATGAAAAAACACTGTATTAATCATGGTGCTAGGAGTCTCAGTGCACTATCATCTAATCTGCCAAATGCTTAATAAATGTACTGGCAATTACTTTGCGGTTTTGGTCTACAGTTGGTTCCTACTTCTGCATTATCATGGTAGGTTGTCATCTGACGATTTTCGGCAAAGGATTACTGTTTAAATCTGGTATGTCATGTTATATTATGGCAGTACAATTTTCTTCTTTATCAAACCAGCTTAGACTGGAAAAACTAGGGGGCGCCCAACACAAAGTATGAGACCATTCGTAGCATTTGTTTTACAAATTACCAGCAGATGGCACCCAGGACTCCTGGCACTATGACCGCTACAGCACTTAGCTTAGTGCCCAAAATGTCACTCTAATATTCTGGATTTATATTGTGGATTATTGTTGATAATTTAAACCTAGCTATAACATTCTTTAAAATCGGATTTCTTTAGTTTAAAGAATAAAAAAAAATAATGAATTGCAGAAAACGTATGATACAATTAAGATAAGCGTATTTAAATCTAAAACTGGTTTGCACTAAAAAAGTTATTGTGGGTGTATCTTTTACAGTCTATTGAAACTCAAGATGACCTTCGTAAAGCTCAAGAAGAATTGCAGCTGCAAAAACACAGGGTGCAACAGTTGACCAGTCAGATGTCTCTATTGGAAGAAAAGGTATTTTTCAAAGATTTTCATGCATGTTCAGGCGAAGAAAAGTGATTACACTTTTTTCTTATTTTATTTTTCTATTTATAAAGCTTGCATCTGTAGAGAAAGAGTTGATTCAAAAAGAAAATGCGCTGAGTGAATCTTTAAAAAAGATCCATGAAAACACCAAACAAGAAGTTGATTCAAAGGTGGAAGAGCTTAGCCATGCTTTAGAAAGCAGTGAGTTGGCTTTAGAACAAGTAAGACTGGAAAATGATGACGCTGCCAGGAAAGTACGAGATCTCACAGTAGAACTTGGAGCCATGTCAGATGAGAGAACTCACCTACAAAAATTGAAAGAAAACTTAAAAGAAGAGGTATTTTTTTAATTTTATTTTTGTATCATGGTTTGTGGTTAGGTTTTTTGTTTTTGCTGATTTTAAAATGCTGCCTGTATCCTATAAGGGACCACATCTGAGATATTTTGACTAGTTTTGTGTTTGTGTGTATTTTTTGGGTGTTCATAAATTTGGTTGACTAATTTTGTATGAATATTTGTGTTGTCTTGCTCTAAGTATTCTAAAATACAGTGCTGTATTACTTCACTTCTACTGAACGAGAAGTAAAAACTATAAAAGAGAACTTGAGCCCTGTTCCTAAAAGGAATACGGTCAGTTTGGCTTTAAAATAAACTAACACAACTAACAAGTAATTTTACTCCACGCTTTCTTTTTTATCCCCTGCCATTTGTGTAACTTTTTACCTTCTGTTCGTGCCACAGATAGTACTGCAAAAGATTGTTAAAGCCATGTTGCTCTGTCATGTGATATGGCACAAGAAATATTCTGAGTAAGGGTTCTGGGTTTGAGTGGTACTAAAATGCTCTAACTTGCCTGGTATCAGATTTAGATGAATATTGACCAGTGACTGGCACAAATTACTGCTTGAATCAGTGGCATGAAGAAAAATTATATTTAAATTCCATGTGAAAAATAAAAATGTCCAGTTTACAAAGTATTCACAAGTTCTTCTAAAAAATGGGTATGATTTTGAAAACATTACATTGTGCTTTAAACCTGTACATGCAATTTAGTTTTAGTTCTCTGAACCTTCATGTGCAATTTGGTTTTGTAAATTCAACAGGTAAACCAACTGAATAACGATCTAGAGAATCTGACACAGAAACATGCCCTCTTGGAAGCACAGCATGCTGACGAAAACCTGAGGCAGGAAGAGCTAGTTACCGAAATAAAGGAGCTAAAAGATAAACTTGAGGCCACCCATTCTAGAGCTCAGCTTCTTGAAGCTGAAAAGGACAACCTGCAAAAGCAAATCCAAGAACAAGATCTGAAAATATCGAGTCTTTATCTAGAACAGGAACAATTTCAGCAACTGCTGCAGAGAGTGCGAAGTGAAAAGGAGAATATATATTCGGAGCTTCAAGGACAGGAGAAAGAGGTGAGCCTATAATAACTCACATATTAGTGTAAGCAGCTGCATAAATACTGCCTTGTTTATTAATTCAATCTCTACATTTCTAGTCTGCCCAGTTAAGGGAGGAACTAAACAAATGCCAGACAGAACTTCAAGTTGTTAAGCAACAAAAGGACGATATAAATGAACATCTCAATTTAAAAGTGAACACACTTGATGAACTAACCAAGCAGATATCCTCTTTACAAGAACAGATTGAGCAACTACAGCAGGTATTGGTTATGTTTTTGTCTTTTCCTCAGAAAGGTATGAAATCAATTCAATAAACAATTATAATTTTACTGTTCCTGTTAAATATAGTTGCTCTCAGAACTTTAAAATGGCTTGGTGAGGAACCTTCTGTGTTTCTCAAATCCTACCCTTATGGTCCTCATTATCTGGATGACCAACCTATCCTGTTAACAATGTGAAATTTTGAAATGCATCTTTTCCATACCCGGGATGGTTGAGACTCAAGTGTTGATTGACTTTAAGAACTAGTGTCTTATGTGATTTAGCACAGTGATCTGAATTTGTGGTCAGGTTTCGTCAAATTGCTGTTTTGTGTTATTCTTACTGTTTAAGGAACCTGTAGTTATTTATTTACTCTACGTTTTTGGGTTTTTTAAACAAATAGAAATTAAAATGTTGGAGAATGTTTTATGTTTAATCACTTTTAAAATTGAGCTAATATTTGAAAACCTAAATACATACAACAGTGGTTGTTTGAAAGACTTATACATCAAGAACAAAATCTTAAAAAATGTGTACCATGTGCTAGTTATATTTAATGAAATGTGCCAACAATCCCCCTTTTAAGATGTGATTCTTATTGTATACTTGCATTTCAGGCCATAAAGGATGAAAGAGAGAAAAATGTTGAGCTCAATGATGAGATTGAGCGTAAAGATAAAGATATTTTACTTTTAAATTTAAAACTGAGCTTACCTCCAGAAGAAGACGAAGAAGATGAGCTTGCAAAGCACATGGATGCTTTGAAAGATAAGACCCAAGAGATAACGGTATTTCTGATATTAAAGTCACAAAGCTGCATGTGTATTTCAAGTGTGTTTGACCTAAACATGTGTGTTCCACCTTACTGTTGTTTTTCAAAAGAAAAAAAGGCTATATCTTTCAGTTATTTATAGTTTTAAATATTCACCATGATGTCCATATTAATATGACCTCTGACAAGGACTTTGTTTTATTTTTCCTTAGGTACTTTTGTTAAGGGTACAATGCAATCTTAAATGAGTACATTTATATATAACGGTTTTCTGCTTTTGTTTAATGTTATACATTGTTTTCAAACCCATATATCCAACATGTATGATGCCACCACCGGTACTATGTTAGAATAGTGAAGGCACATCAGAACTTTGGTGAAATATTTTCTGTGATGTTCTACAAGCCAGATTCATCATTAAGATGAGCACAATTCAGCAGCATCAGTTTGCCAATAATTGCATTGGTAGGCTCTTATTATTAAAGGAACACTATAGGGTCAGGAACACAAACATGTATTCCTGCCCCTCTAAATGTAGTAAAATCTTACCTTTATTCCAGTCTGCTGATGATGCCTCTGCCCTTGATCTGCCTCCTTGGCTGACATCAGAAGGGATTATCTGAGCCAATTACAATGCTATCCCATAGGAAAGCATTGGCTTGACTGAGATTGCCAAGGTGGTGGGGCAGGGGGCGGTGCCAAATGCCACTCTGGCCAATGAGCATTTTCTTAAGAGGGTGTGAATATACCGTTTGCACCTTTGGACTCTGTGTGTTGGGTGGTGGGGTTGATCACCTAAACACTGAGTTTGTTCTTTCTGTACTCTATGGGGAAAGTTTTGTGTCTCCATGCAGAGGGTGGAGTCACTGAATGTCAATGCTGCACACTGCCCCAGGAAGCACCTCTAGTATCCATCTGTGGAGTGGCCAGTGGAGTTTCACTAGACTGTAATGTAAACAGTGCCTTTTTTCTGAAAAGACCGTTTTTACTGCAAAACGCCTACAGGGACTGACAATACTCAACCGGAACAACCACTTGTGAACATGAATTACTTTCTTGCATGGATAGTGTTTTTTTTTGTTTTTGTTATTTCACATTTTTGTGGTGCATGCCTGCATGGATCTGATAGATTCATTAGCTTTCTTTTGAGATGCCACGAGATGGTACTGTAGAGTTTCAAACACTGGGGACATCGGCAAGAAGAAAATGAATGCCACAAGAAGAAAATAAGGGAGTATTTCCACCATAACCGATGCAACAACATTGGTTGCAAAAGTATATGGCAATGTCTTTCTTAAACCTTATTTTTGAAAGCTGTTGAACTGTGTCAGTGCATTCTTTAAAAAAGTGTAACACTTTATCAATTTAATGTAGAGGTCCATTTGCATACTAAATGTTGTGTTTGTACTTTCATTGTGCTTTTCCAAATTACGATTCCTAGGAAGTAAATTGAAATCATATACATGTATGCAATCTGCCATGTTATGTCCAGGATTTAATAGCTGAAGTAATTTATATTTTTTTCCCTTTTCTACAGGATCTTTTGGTAAAAATCTCTGGTGTATATTCTGATCAACACAGCCTAATAAACAGTTTGGCTAGTGAAATTCACAATGAAGAAGAGACCTGTAAATCCATTTTGGGTCAGATAAAGGATAAACTCTCACCTACACAGTCCAGGTCATTTAGAAGCTTACAGACTGAGCATGTAAAGATAAATTCTCAGCTGCAAACCGTTCTAAGCAAGTTTAAGGTAAATTTCATATTTCTTTAGTAGTATTAGAAAATGTAACTCTAGTGATGTTAAGGGGGTGGGGGGGGAGAGTTAATTTTTTACTAACTTATTTTTCTTGTAGCTTATATGCATGAATGCCATTGTGAAAGAAGAACAATACAGCTTATTAAATGTCTACGAAGTAGACCTGATCACAGAACAAAAGAAACATGAAGAGCTTGAACTTCAGATTCAATGTCTAGAGCAGCACGGTAAAAAATGGACAGATTCTGCAGCGGATGACCTAAAATTTTATGAACTTGAGTTCCTAAACAAACTGATAAATAAGAAGTATGATCTTATAAAGGTAATTGATATCGGAAAAAACATCAGGGGAGAAAAGTCATTATGAACTTACTGTAGAAATAGGCACAAGGTTTAATGTGGCAATATGTATGTATTTTTTCATGTTTGTGGGTGACTTTATCACTGGAGTGGATACCCGCAGGCCTATGCGGCACTGCACTTTATTAAATGTTAATCCATTTTGTACAGTTTACATGTTCGTGTGTGCAAAGCAAATCATTAGGATTAGTTAACAAAAGGTTTACTAATGGGAAAACCACTACTGGGAAACCACTGGACAGTATAGGTATATATGCATGCTGTACATTCACTTTTAGATTTTACTCCAAATTAAATGAATATCAAAAATACATGTAAATGAGTAAAATAAGGTGAGAACACTGCTTTTTTGTTTTGTTTTACCAGCATGCAAAACACAAATCTAGATACTTATTTCAAGATTCAATACATGTTGTATGCTACTTAAGGAACAATTGTAGCATTAGGGATATAAAACACCATAGTGTGTCTCTTACCTGTATTTGCGTGTTTGGTCATTTTGTATGAAGCAATACTTAGTCATTGACCAAGTATAATCTAGTTAAAGAATAGTGTAGTGTCATGAATACAAACATGTATCCCTTACACCATAGTGCTAGAATACATGTTTAGCTCCCTGGCTCCCTCTCTGTGGAGATATAAGGTATATGTACCTTTTCTCCAAAGCTATGCCGGTCTCGTCACCGCTGGCCACATGTCCATGACTGAGATTATTACTCTTGGTGATCTCTGCCAATAAAATGCTTTTCCATGGGAAAGCATTGGGAGGCCCTTGCGCCAATCAGCATCTCCTCATAGAGATGCATTGAATCAATGCATTCCTATAGGGCAGGGGTTCTCAACCCAGTCCTCAGGACCCCCTACCAGTCCGGGATTTGGGGATTACCTGGGTGTGTCTCAGGTGTTTAGAAAAAGGGGAAAAAAACACCTTAGACTCTAAGGTGTTTTTTTTTCTTTTTCTAAACACCTTAGACACACCCAGGTAATCCCTAAACCCTGGACTGGTAGGGGGTCCTGAGGACTAACGTTGATAACCCCTGCTATAGGGAATGTTCAACGAATCCATGCAGAGCTTGGAGATGCTAAACGTAGGAGTGTTCCTTGACAGCAAAGTAAACACTGCCTTTGCTAAGACTGCAGGGACATGCTATAGACACTAGGGATTGACCAATTATCGGTCTGGCCGATATCCAGTATTTTCGGCAATATTTGTATCTGCCAATAAAGATACCGATATTGCCGATAATTCATACCAGAGCTGGGAGGGCCCAGCAAGCTCTTACTTACCTTCTCTTCAGCTCCCCTGTGTAAATCTCGCGAGTCCCGCGGCCGTCAGAGCTTTGCCATGGGCTACCATAGCAAAGCTCCGCGCGGCACACAGGCAGCAAGATTTAGACAGGGGAGCTGCTGGGAAGGTAAGTAAGCGCTTGCTATGCCACCGTACCATCAAGAAAGGCTATATCCGCCCTCCCTGGCCAAGTAAGAAGCGGGTGGGGGGGGTGGACTAAAAAAAATAAATATATTATTTTATATTAAAAAAAAAATTAAATCCTCCCCTCCACCCCCCAAATTTTACACAAATTACATACCTACAGAAACACACACACACACTCTGCATTATATGCACATACTATACAAATACACTGCATTCACTATACACACTCTGCATTCATTATATACACACTACACAAACACACTGCATTCACTATACACACTGCATTCATTATACACATTACACAAACACACACTGCATTCATTATACACACTACACAAACACACACTGCATTTATTATACACCCTACACAAACACACACTGCATTCATTATATACACACTACACAAATACACACTCTGCATTCATTATATACACACACTCTGCATTCATTATATACACACACTCTGCATTCATTATATACACACACTCTGCATTCATTATATACACACACTCTGCATTCATTATATACACACACTCTGCATTCACTATATACACACACTCTGCATTCATTATTCACACACTACACTACACACACTCTGCACTCATTATTCACACACTACACTACACACACTCTGCATTCATTACATACACACTACACAAATACACACAACTCCCCTGTCTAAACACACTGCATCCACTACATGTGGCATGTATATTTTGTGCATTTGCCTTTAAAAATAGTTTGTTTTTCAAAATGGTAAATGTACAGAATATCGGTAAGTTATCGGCTATCTGCCTGAAAGTTCACAGATTATCGGTATCAGCTCTAAAAAAAAAAAAAATCAATATTGGTCGATCCCTAATAGACACCAGAATCACTACATTAAGCTGAAGTGGTTCTGGTGACTATAGTGCCTCTTTAAAGAACAATCCAGGTTTGAGTGAAACATTTTCTTTTTTTAAATATAAATATGCATAAACAATTTGTTATGCAAATGTTTATATACCTGCATTGTCTCTGTATCACCAGGCTTTGCAGATTCTGCAATAAGTTCTGCCCAGTCCAGAAAGTGGCTCAGTAAGTCACGTTGCTTCATTGTCTGGTAGTTGTTGCTTAACAACACTTTAAAAGCTTCTAAATTAGCTAGTTTTCTTAATGTTCAAGTTGACCCAGTGGTTTGTTAAATTAACTCTGCAATAAGTATAAACTGTCCTGATTTTAATACTCCTCATTAATGAACTTTGGGGTTGCAGCATGTTGAAGAAGATTTTTCAGCGATTCAAGTCATACTGACAAGTATTGAACAAGTTCTTCAAGATGAAACAAAATGCAAGCAGAGTTTTAACTTGTGGCTGGATGAATTCAAGGATGAGAACATTAATGTCATGAAGCTTAATGAAGGTGTCCAGCAAGAAAATAAAAGAATCATAGGAATGATCCAACTGATGACCAAGAAGCTAAGGGTAGAATATATATATTCTAGAGATGTTACAGTGTGTGTGTGTATATGTGTATATATAAGTATTTAAGAATCTATTCTAGTTCTATAATTTTATGCAGCACATGGCATCTTATGCTATGGTATACATTTAGAAAATACTTTAATATCAGTTGATTAAGATCTTTTCTATGTTTTTAAGAAAAATAGTTTAATAAATTTAATATTTTCTTTAAGACTGTTCTTCAATCAAAAATACAGAGTGTGGTCACCGAATATTTAAAAACCATTCAAACAGAGTTGGAAGAGACAAAAGTAAAAAACACTGAGCTAATGAAAAGAGTGCATCAGCTTTCTCCTACAGGAAGTACAGATATCATAGAAAATGAGAATGCTAGATTACAAGAAAAACTGAAGAGTCTGCAAGCAGAATTAAAGGTAATGGCAGTTTTGAATTCTGTTTAAGCAAAATTAAAAGTGAAGGCTGTTACACGTTCTGGAATGTAGCTCTCGCTCTATCTTCTGCAGGTGTACTTTGTTGATGTTCATATTGTTAAAGGTTTGTTGTGACAATTGGCTAATTGGTTGTTGAGGAATGGCAGAAGGCAGTTATTCCAAAATACTACAGTCCTACATAACCAATAAATCAATGTAGACCAAAAGGGTCAATAAAGATTTGGTTGAGTTGGAAGGGCCAGATCCTTCTGTATCGATCACTGAAAATCTGTTGTAGCTTAGCACTTGCACAATTAAAATATTTGGACAGGTTATTAGGAAGGGAAAGGGTGCTAGGGGTTTCCCGTTTTTTTTTTTTTTATTCCCAACACTTATTGATTTATGCAGTAATCCTACTTTATGATCTAGGTGTATGTTCTTTTTGCTATATTCAGTGTTCCTTGTATGTTGCATTAGTGATGCTTAGGCCCTTTTACACATGAACATTGTTATATCCTGTAGAAAATGCAGTCCAGGATCAAAAATCTAGAAGATGAACTGGATACAGTAAAAGCAGATGCCAAAGAAAAAGAAGAGAGGGCAGCAGCCCTGCAAAACAAACTGTTATTGAACACCACAGAAACTGAGCTTGCAAAGATCCAGATTCAGCTTACTGAAAAAGATAATAGACTTCAAACTGCATTGAAAGAGATTGAGAATCTCCAGGTATGTCTGTGTGTGTATATGCTTGCAAACTTTTACAGTTGCATAGCATTTTGTATGGGTGCAAACTATTTTATTTATAATGGCTTAATATTGCATACATTTGTTTTTAATAGATACTGATGTACACTTGGCACTTCCTAGAGGTGTTAAAGGGCACCTGCATTATAAGCATGCCGTGAGGGCAGTGTGTATAACTTAAGATTTGTATATTCATTGTCCTAGCTGCATGTTCTGTGCTACCTTTCCTTCTTGGCTGTCAGTAAGGGTAGTGAGACTCTGACTTAACGGATTTAATATGGTATCACTCATATTCACAATATGGCATAGGTGGTCCAGCTACGTTTGGGGCGTTTTCTATCTTCGCAATGGCAGCAATGTCAACCAGTCTATAAGTGCTGTGTAAGCATTATAAATATGCTACTTTGTCCTCATGTGATGTAGCTTTTCTCTAGCCCATTACTGGTTGCTCCTATTTTTATCAATGTCTTGACAATGGATCGACAAAGTAAATGGCAAATATTGTTGATACGTGTCAATTTGCATATTAGAACTAACATTAAGCTGGCTTTCATATCCTAGCACTGGTTCAGTATGGGCTTACTTTAAAGCCTGAGAGATACACCACTTTTTTTGTTTTTGTCCCTATAGAGTACAGTTTCCAAAGGTGCAAAACCATATCAAGAGGAAATAGACCAACTCAAAACTCAAGTTGTGAAAATTGAGATGGAAAGAATGAAGTTGTCCAAATCAATGGACAAAGAGTAAGTATAGTAAGATGTGCTTCTTTTAAAACGAGTTTATTTGGGATTGAATATATTACTAGTGAAGTATAGTCATGCAGAAATAGATGTCCTGCTATTTTAAACTTCTGGCGGGTAAGGGACCCATATTCTAAAATGTATTTTTTTTTTTTGCAGTTGAAGGGATGACTTGTGATCTAATTTATATGCATCTGCAGTGTTAAACACATGCTATTTAAAATGTTTATAAAAAACTGTATATGTGTTATTTAATCATAAAATAGTGAGTCAGCTTTGTTTTTCTTTTTTAAAATATGGACCACATATAATTCATACACAATTTGAGTATTGTTGCAAAGAATGTGTTCTTACTCTTGCGTATATTTTGTTGCGTGGTTTCCTCCATATTATACCTTTTTGCTGCATATGTGACTGAAATGACAGCCGGCATAGAGCGATGGCAGCACTATTTCTGCCTCCTTTTGTCATTTTATGGATTATTTTCAATATTCTTGTTTTTGGGATAATGCAGAACCCTTAGCTCAAGCCGTGAATGGGGGGCAGCAGTGAGCTTTATTCGCGAGTGACTGCCAACAATAGGCTGAGAGCTCACTGCCACCCCTTCAATGACCTAATGCGTCCACATTAGCCAGAACGCAAGATGAGGCAGCAGACTGACACCTAGTGACATTTCTTCAGTGTTAAACGATTTGAAAACTGTTTAACACTAGAAGGCACCAGACACCATTTAATGGAAAGGAAATAGATCTTGTGCCCAGACTGTTCTTTTTTTACCTTCTTCTTAGGACATTTCAGTTTTCTTTTGTTGGACATCTTCCTTAACCACAGAAATTAATGTTGCCTAAATCCTTGCCAAAGATTTGTACTTCAGAGCCTACAATGTACAATGTATAATAATTTGTATGTGCATTATAGAATTGCATCATTAAAGTCTTGTCTGGAAGATAAAGAAGAATGCTTACGGAAATTAAAAGAACAGTTAAGGCGAGCTCAAAAGGACAGTGACACATCAGGTATAAATAATGCATGTTACACCATTTTAAGACTCATTGCAGGCTAGTAAGTAATAATGTTATAGATATATATTGTATATATCCAATATGATGTAAGAAATTAATACTTTCATAGGTTTAGCAAATTGCATCATAATTCAGACACGGTAAAGCCAGGGAAAACATTGCAAATGATTGATAGGGGCGTCCAGTTGCAGAATAAACATGTGGATTTGTGGTTTTGGTTTTATTTTTCATTTGAAATGTGATATTATCCAGATGTGAAACATCAACATTCGTAATAGACAAGCAGGGACTTCTGGTTATGTTAAAACTTCTGAACTCGGCCATGGCACCCATAGATTTCTAACACCATGACTACATCCTTTGCATGTGGTGATTATGATGTTTAGGCTGCCATCAAGGAGGAGACTATTCTTGCCCTGGTTCTCTTTCAGTTTTAAGTGGAAATAATCTTGTCTGAAAAGTGGCTAAATAGTTTGTTTAATGCAAAAATCATAGCCTCCTGCTTTGCACTGTCATTCTCCTCTGTTTTTGTTTATATATGAATACTATGTGGTGTATTAAAAGGCATTCACATCTAAAAAATGTTTACAGTGTTATATCATTTTTGTTTTTATGAAAATGTTGTATGTATCGTTCTTCCAACAGTTTGCTCTGAAAAGGATCATCCCAGTTACTCTCATTATCCACTTACATGTGGTGGTGGAAGTGGTATTGTGCAAAGCACTGCCTTCTTGGTTCTCCAATCAGAAAATGCAAAACTAGAAAGGGAAGCCTCCCACTATAAGAAAAAGTATAATCAACTTTCTAGGTGAGAATGCAATATTGTCGTTTTGAAAAAAAAAAATTCCCATACATCTCTCCTTCCAAAATGTAGAAGTATTCTATATGTTTTTGTGTTTTCTTTATAGAAATATTTATAAACGTGAAGATAAGAAAATTAAAGTGTCTGAAACACCTGCTCCGTTAAATGCTGCTCATGAATCATATGGGATGTTGCCTTCAAACAAGGCAGTACCAAGTGACGTTTCTCCTACCAAGTCTGAAATTCTTAATCTATATCTAGCATCTCCAGGCAAGACTGGTATGCAGAGAAAGCGGGAAGCACCTCCATACAAGACAGAGGCCATTAAACGTGTTGCATTATCCCCTAGCAAGGCTGGAAGGCATAGTGTGGCATCAGCTTCTCCAAGCAAACCTGCAATGCTTACAAAGTCGCAAATATCTCCTGAACGGACTCAAGTGCCATTGCTCAGCTCTCTGATTTCATCCCCATGCAAAAAACAAACCTTGCTAAAAAATGAGGATTCGCCAAAACAAAAATTTTTTGACGCTCGATCAAAATCCTTGCCATACTGTCCAACACAGTTTTTCGACAATTCCAAGTTGGGAACGTTACCAGGTAACTTTTGTGAATATTATTATATTCTGGTCTTGTAATATTTAAATGTTACTTTTGTAGTTATTATAAAAGTATTTGTTAAGACCAACATTTGAAACTTGGCAAATTTCAACCAGTCATCTGAAATTAGCAATATTTGTAAAGATACTGGCCTTGCCTTCCAAGTGCTTTATTCCGCAAACGTTTCCAAACATATTCTTTTTATAAGTAGTCAAAGCAGCTTAATAACTCCATGTACGTATAGTTGGTGTGCCAGGTCAGTGTTATACCTGTGCCTGGTAGCTATAGGCATACATTTTTTACGAACAATTGCGTGTTGCTAACCATGCCCAAAACCATATGATGCATGCAAATTTCTTAGTAAGTAGCATTAAAAATACAAAAACTAGCCGTGAAAATTGTTTTGCTGTGTTCCTGCATGACTCTTACTTATTTTGATGCTGATGCTTCATTGAGCTACGTTTCACTTTATCAGTAATTCAGCTTACCTGGTACAAACTAGGGATCGACCGATATTGATTTCAGACCGATGAATCTGTGAACTTTCAGACCGATATTCTGTACATATACCGTATTTGGTTTTGTTTGTTTTTTTGCAAATCTTTTTTTTTTTAAATGGTAAAGGCACAAAATATACATGCCTGTCAGATTTGTTTTATGTTTTCAAGAATATTCCCTTCCCTGTCCCATAATGTTCTCCCCCCTCCCCCCCCCCTCCCCTGTCCCATAGTGTTCTTTCCCTCCCCTGTCCCATAGTGTTCTTTCCCCTCCCCTGTCCCATATTGTTCTTTCTCTCCCCTGTCCCATAGTGTTCTTCCACCCCCCTCTGTCCCATAGTGTTCTTCCCCCCCCTCCCCACACTTACTGTGTTCTTCCCCTGTCCCTTAGTGCCCCCCTCTCACTCCCTCCTTGGTCCCTGCTCACCGGTGTGTCTCCTGGTAACGTGGACGAGCAGAGTGTTGCACACAGCGGTACAGGAGATTCACTCTCCTGTACCCAGCCGGACTGACAGGAAGTGCTCTCAGTGAGCACTTCCTTTCAGTCAGTCAGAGTACAGGAAACATAAGTTCCTGTACCGCGTGCACACTTCTCCACTCGGCCATGCTACACAGAAGGCCGGGTTGGAGGTAGCGCTGCGTGATGTAAACACTGTCTTTTCAGAGTGTTTGCATTGCCCCTAGGGACACCTCCAAATGGCCACTGGTGGTGCTTCCTGGCTCAGTGCTGCACAGTAGGCAGCAGTGCTGTTCAGCGTCTCCACACTCTGCATGGGAAGCAGAATTTTCCTCATAGAGATGCATTGATTCAATGCATATCTATGAGGAGGTGCTGATTGGCCAAAACGGTGTTTGGCCCAGCTCTTTGCTGTTTTCCACTAAATCCAATGCTTTCCCCATGGGAAGGCATTGGATTGCTAAAAATCAGCAATTCCCATGTCACCTAAGGGGCGGAGCTAGCGCTGGCGGACCTGTTTGGCTCTGGAAATAAGGTGTTTTAATTTCTTTTAAGGGGAATAAACTATTCTCTTAATTCTCTTTTCAAAAATAGGTGCAGAAATTTTTCACTTTGTGTACTGAAGGACGAAGGCCTTTTTTAGACTCGAGGCATTTGTGACCAAGGTCTTTTTGGCACTTTTTAAATGCATTTATTCAACCACAATTTCCCCCTTTCTGTTTAAGTGCACTTATACATATTATGATATATGATTTAAAGGATAAAAAGGAATTTCTTTTCATACCCTATATGTATACATAAAGTCCTAATAAATAGGAATAAAATATTGCTAAATGAAAACATGTATAGTTAGCATATAAACAAATCTTAACACAGTAGTTTTGTGTATATTGCTTTGCAGGCAAATAATAAAAATTACATAAGTTTAAATTTTTCCCTTATTTGTTTAGCCTGTATGAAAACAATTTGGAAAGAATATCTTTAACCGTTGTGACGAAAGTAACCTCGTCACTGGCTTTGGAGGGGCCTGCTGGCCAGCCTCTTGCCTCAGGACTATGAGCCCTGCAATATACCTTGCCCAATGCACTTGAAAAAGCTCTGTTCATGTGAAGTATGTACTTTTGTTCTCCCGACGGAGAGCCCGACCGTTGGGTCTAATTCTCTGAAACTGTTTTGGGCATGGGACCATGTGCATGGTGGGTCAAAACTATGACTTCCAGGAAATTCCTGAACCGATCTTGGTGATTTTTGGATATGTTGTTCACCCAGATCAGGGCTATCAGGGGATGTGTATTTTGGGGTACTTATTGGACTTTGTAAAAATGTGTGGTTTTTTTTTGCCTGGGGATAATAAAGTTAATGCATTATCTGCCTTAATTATATCACAGGCAGGGGGGAGGGGTTGTGTTACTGTATGTGTGAGTGTCATTCATTGTCACATTGTTTTCATTGGTTTGTAAACTTTGTGTCCCTGTGCCCAACAAGGTCCACCTGGGCGTCACCCTTGTTGGGAAACCTGCATAAAAGGCCAGCTGTGGCTTCCATTAAACAGACTTACTTCACCCTCAATCTAGAGTCTTGTCTCTTATTGGGGAAAACTGCTATATACTACAAGGGATTGCTATAATCACTATACTCCTTTAGATTCTCTGAGCTCTTGTAAGAACTATTCCTGCTTGACTCTCTGGAGAAAGTGGTTCACCCACTGGAACCTTGAGCCTTGTCGTAGGTCCAGGGTGGGTAGGAGACGGCGAGACCCCAACCAAGCTGCGGTGGTTGTGGGGTCTGCGGTGCTTATGGTATCTGGTGGAGTGCTTGGCGCCCTCGGTGAACAGGAAGCTCCGTTACAACCGTATAGTTTTTTTTTTATATTGCAATATTTTGCACATGGTCTAAAATGTTTCTATGCCAAATAATGCTTATCTCATACAGTAATGTAACAAAATTAGATAAATGCAAATGGTCAAATACCGTGCTTATTTATTTTGACAATCTTTATTTTCAGTTTTTGTTGGGTATAGAGAATTTAGGAAAATGAACAGGATAATAGCAACAATGCCCGTTGATGCGCAAATACATTGCTTATATGTAATTGTAAGGATACTGAAGACATTACTAGCAGCACAACATACTGAAATGGCAATAGAAAATAAAAAGAATTTCTCCATTTGAGCATAATGCCCACATCCAGTAAATACAGTTAAATCCTTTTAAAATTTAAATGTTAAACTTCTTAATCAATATTGTATGCTAGTGTAATGCTGACAGTGAAATGGTGGAGTTCACTCACTCCTCCCCCTCAGTGTCTGTAGTAATAATTGACCCAATGAAACCTCCTGTGCTTTTTGGAAACCAGCGGTGGGTGAACTTACATTTTTATTTTTTTTTAGCAATTTGCAAGCATTATGCCAATGATTAGTGGATTCTGGCAGTGAAATCCGTTTTTCTGTATGCTTTTAAAGATTCGGAAGAAAGAGAGAGGGGCTATGGGGTGGGGAAACCACCACCACTACCCCACAAAAAGGTTACAGAGGTACGAGGGGCGTAACCCCACAATATATATAGAAAAAAAGACGAAAAATGGGGCAGACAGTCCACTCACAAAAAAGTGGGTGGAATGCCTAGCCTCATTCAAAGTACCTCATAATGTAAATAGTCACATAGAAGAGGATAAACAACCTTTATTAGAAAAAAATCCTAAAATGGTATATAGTCCAAATACTATTACCATACACTAAAATAGTGTATTGATTATAAGTTAACCACCAAATTTGTAAAAGCATGGGAGAGGCTAATCCTGCAAGGTATGTTTGACTTAATAAAGGTGTAAAAATACACCTAAAATAATAAATGGGTAACAAAGCAGGTTAGTCTAAATCCATTCTAGGAAAGGACCCAGCTGGGTAATTGGATAGAAAAAGGATAGTCTTAGAGCAGTGTCTGAGAGAATCTGGAAAGGGCAGGGTTAATAGCAACTAATGGGGCGCGCTCTAAGACTATCCTTTTTCTTTCCTAGAATGGATTTAGACTAACCTGCTTTGTTACCCATTTATTATTTTAGGTGTATTTTTACACCTTTATTAAGTCAAACATACCTTGCAGGATTAGCCTCTCCCAGGCTTTTACAAATTTGGTGGTTAACTTATAATCAATACGCTATTTTAGTGTATGGTAATAGTATTTGGACTATATACCATTTTAGCATTTTTTTCTAATAAAGGTTGTTTATCCTCTTCTATGTGACTATTTACATTATGAGGTACTTTGAATGAGGCTAGGCATTCCACCCACTTTTTTGTGAGTGGACGGTCTGCCCCATTTTTCGTCTTTTTTTGCTTTTAAAGATTCATTATAGTGTTAGGAATATAACATTGTATTCCTAATACTATAGTGTCCCTCTTGAGGAGACGGGGACAGTGCATCAAAGACCCCTTCAATGAGATGAAATGGTCTGTGTATTCTTGACCCTATAGTGTTAAACCTGCTAGCTATCTGCATATATGAGAAGAACATAAAAAAAATAGTTTTTTGACTAGTGATGCCCAACTTTTCAATACTCTTATATTGTCTGTGCCAAGTTTTGAAAGTGTATAGCCAATTCTTAATTGTTTTATGATGTTCTGCATGTTAAGAAACACTGATTATTAACATAACAAGCAAAAAGTAATATACACATTTGAATTTAATTCAGTATTTGACTTGTCCTAAGCCAATGAGAATACAATCCAGACTCAAATGATAATTTCTAAAAAGGAAATGCACAGATGGCTTAAAACTAATTGTAAGGCTTTTTTTGTTAACTTGAATCGTCCTGCCTTAACTGTTAAATATCAAGTGTGTTTTAGTCACATAACCCTTTTACATACTGTGCATATTTTAAAAAAACAAAACATAATTTCTTCACATTTTTGATGTGTATCAAGTGCGTTGATCTATATTTTATTCTATTCCAGATGTTAAAAATGTTGAATCTACAGCTGAAACAGAAACTTGGTGGTATGACCGAAAAAAGGAAACTGCCAATGAATGTAAAACTTCCTAATGTGCGTCTCTCACGTGAAAATCCCTGCACTTGGTATAGCTGTAATACTTCCCAAAGTTAACATGGTCATTAACATCTTCGCTGAAGCAGATGGAGTATATGGGAGTATAACACACACACTGGATGAATGTAAACCATTACTTTGTAAATCAAAGTCTTATTTGTAAATATTTTGTTTAAAATCTTTAGCACAGCAGTCACTCTAATCTTTGGGTAGGAATTTTAATACAAGAGTTTCAGCAGAACAACACAGCATTCGCTAATTTTAAAGAAGACCTATAAGAGGGTAAATCATAATGATGGCATCAGTGCAGATTATAAATTTAAAAAGTATGTTATGTCTTTACTTTTTGTTTGTCATATCTTCCTATATCCACTTTATTTGAATGTTATTTTGTTTGTCATGTTAATAAAGTGCAATATGACCTTTAATGTATAAACTATTTCATGTGTTGATTTTTCACTTTTTTGACAATTTGGGTATTTCATTTTAGGTTAAACCTCATCAAGTGTTAATTTGATATTTGCAAAATAACTTGCAATAAACTCTGAGAATGGTATGGCAGGATCACGGATATCTTCTCCTTCCAAAGGGCCAAATTACCAAATGGCATATCATGGTACTAAACTCTTTGTGACAGCTTTTCAGGGACTCTGCAATCCTGGCCAATGCCTGTTGGCACTTCTGCATGTATTTAGCCCACTATAATGTAACATTTTCTATTTAAGTGCACACATTGTGTCATATTTTAAAGTACAGATGGGGCTTTTTTCCATTTTGCCTATCATAATTTCTACACATCTAATGCAACAAAATAGAAATGACTCCAGATATGCTGACTTACTATTCCTTATTGTATAAATGCTTAATATATCTAGGTCAACTGTATAAGGAGCAAATTACAGTATTAAGGCTAAATTTTGTATATTGCAATGCTATAACTTTTTAATAGCAGTAACAGAATCCGAAACCACTGCACAAAATATAATTGTAGTTTTTGTTTTCTTTCAAACACATTTTAATCTTTTGTAAATCAGTTATCACCAACAATAATGTACGATTTTAAATGTACGTGATATATATCACCCATAACTGAGTGGGACGCGTAAAATATGTACTATATACTAATGGATTGTAATTAATACTTTTAATAACCAGTCAATGTGTTTAATGAACATGACCTTCTGTGAATCATATAAGAATCTTTAACCCCTTCAGGACGGAGTCAATAGTACACGTTCTGATCAAAACAAAACGTAAACAAAAACTGGAATTTGCGCTATGTCTGTTCAGGCGTAATTCAACTTTCATATTATGTGCAGCAACACTTATTATATATCATTTTATTCAGAGGAAACAGGGCTTTCATTTAACATTAAATATTTAGGTATGAAACCTAGTTTAATATGAATAAAATATAAAAAAAATGGGAGAAAATACAATTTTATTTTTTCTAGTTCTACGTGACATTCTTACTGATGATACTGTTTACTTTTTCTGCAATAAAATACACATTTGTATTCAGCGATGTCACACATGTAAAACAGTACCTCCTAAGTACAGGTTTTATGGTGTTTTGGAAAGTTACAGGGTCAAATATAGCATGTTACATGTTTCAGTTTTTTCACATTTAAATTCGCCAGATTGGTTACATTGCTTTTTAGACCGTATGGTAGCCCAGGAATACGAATTACCCCCATGATGGCATACCATTTGCAATAGTACACAACCCAAGGTATTGCAACTGGGGTATGTCCAGTCTTTTTTAGTAGCCACTTTGTCAAAAACACTGGCCAAAGTTAGTGGTACTATTTGGTTTTTATGTGAAAAATGCAAAAAACTAATTTGAATGGCAATTTAAGCCAGTGTTTGTGACTAAGTGGCTACTAAAAAAGACTGGACATACCCCATTTGCAATACCTTGGGTTGTCTATGCTGGATGAACAGAAGAAGTGAGGTCGGTGGCTTCAGCGGTGTTCGTGAGAGAAAGTGTCCGTTTTTAGTTCCATGAAATTGTCGACTAACACCGCTGGGCATGCGTACGTCCAATATGGCCGCCGCCTCATGGTTGGCATACGAACGACGACCACCCAGCCGACATAAGACAATTAGGAAGTGTCTGTGGTTATACACAAGGTTCTGATGGGGCCAAGAGGTTAACAAGCAGCACACTTTGCTGCTGGTTGGCCGGCCATTTGGCAGTTGTTCAGTAAAAGAGCAAATAAACAGATGAAGGGAGGTAAAATAAAAGTAATTCACAGACAGATGGGTCTGTCACACTAGCAAATTAAATTCCCTGGACTTTTGGCCTGCGTTTTCAGGCAGGTCCCGCAAATTGTAATTAATAAAATTACCTAATTATGCACTCAATGCTCCGTGCTGTCTCCAACCAAATTGTATATGATACCAGTAGAGAGCACTCAGGAGTCTTTAAAGGTAAAATTTATCTGTTGCTTTATTGCGCAATTACAAATTCACACAATGTTTCAGTCTGTAAAATACTTTTTTCAAGGTTTACTGGTATCGTGTGTGTCACAGAGTTCAGCAGCTACAAAAGATTTATTTGAGGCCTTTGTTAATTGAGCAGAAGGTCTCAGGATTAGCATCAGAGGATTTATATTCCAAGTATTTAAAAAGACCGCTCCGTTCTTGGATTCCGTACAACAAACTCTCCAGAGGATTTCCCCTCACTGGCTTGTGATAACTTCAGATACCAGTCTAACTGTCTGTGTTAGAGATTTCAATCTCCCTTATTTACTAATACCAAGTATTTTTTACTTAGTTTAAGTAAAGAAGGCTGAAATATAATTTTGTACTTTCTTCCTCTAATATTTACGCTTCCTTTATTGCACATTTTGTATAATTTATCTCCTGCTCTTTCACTAGCTATGAGCCTCCTACGTGTGATTAAAGTTCATTTTACAGAGCAGGAGAGAAAATCTTTTACAGTAAGTTACACTGGATTGAAAATAAACTTTTTTTATGCAGGCTGCGTGAGTAATGAAGTTTCATACGGAAACAAAATGTTTAAAACTGGGAATTTGCTAAGCTCACTAAACTTGAAATACGCATTTCTGCACATTCCAATAGCAGACGAAAGCAAGAAATTTCTAATATACGCAATAAAATTTCAAAATCAGAGCCTTCATTTTCCGTTCAGAGTCATCCCGTTTGGTCTTTCATCAGCCCCAAGAGTGTTTTACAAAAACACTAATAGTTCTTAGTCTTCGACTTAAGACTAAGGAGCCTGAATTTTATTCCTTACAAAGACAACTGGCTTTTAATAGCTCCCTTAAAATATTTTTTTTCAGACTTAGACTGCTTTGATGTTACCAGACCACGGTTGGTTAATAATTATCCCCAAAAAAATAAATCAGAATTGATACCCACAGAAAGTATCCAATTGTTTGGTTTAATTACAGATTCAGTCCAAATGAAAATCTTTCTAGCAGAGGGGGAAAAAAAACTGAGAATGAAGTCTAAATGCTATTTTAGGATCAAGGAAGGCCCTTAGTCTGCATCCATTCCGAACATCCTTAATTTTTTTTTTAAAACTGGACTTTGCCAAAGGGTTTTGACCTGCCACTCTCAAGATTCAAATTTCTGCCATTAGTTTCTTCTCTTTTAGAAACGTGGGTAGTAATATTCTAATTTCAAAATTTTTCAGGGATTTGTCACATTCCAACCAGTAGGGGGATTGCTCCACCATGGGATCTTAACCCCTTAAGGACGGCAAGTGTTTTATGCTGTCCTTTCTGGGGCGGTCCTAAACGCCGGCAGGTGACATAGAATGTCCCCACCGTCCTTTGTACTTACTGGGTCCCTGCCGCTTCCCCGACGGCGGTCGCGATCCTGGGGTCTGCCTGGGAGCTCAGGCAGATCCTCCTCTACCCGATCCACCCCCCCTCCCCCTGGGCCTTGTGATCGCGGGGAATAGCCGGCTTATGCAGTGCCTGCCTGATTTCTCATGCAGTCCCCCTAATGCCTGCAAAAAAAGTTTTTAAAGTTAATAAAAAAGTTTAATAAAGTAAATAAAAAGTACTTGGATTATATATATATATATATATATATATATATATATATATATATATGATAAAGCGCTACGGAATCTTTTGGCACTATATAAATGGCAATAATAATAAGTATGTTTATATGCACATACATAATCCATTAATAAAAGTGTATTTTATCAATATATATTAATAAAATGTAAAATGACAAATATATAAATAAAATAAAAATAATTGGTGAAAAAAATAATATAAAAATGAATTGAGAAAAAATTATATACCCGTTTTAATTAGTTCTAACTATTTTGATATTTATATATATTAAATTCAAAATACATTTAGAACTAAATTATAAATACATATATGTATATATCCATAGCTATGTAAAATTAATTTTAAAAAGTATATACATGTTATTTATATATATTTTTTATATATATGTATATATATTTAAATTCTGCAAATATATTTATATAATATTTTTACATAATCAAGTCAATTTATTAACTTTTGAGGGACCTGCCTGACAACCCAGGCTGAAAGTCCTGAGAATTTGGCTCGCATATTTAACCCTGTAACTTTCTAGGACACCATAAAATCTTTACATGGGGATAATGTTTTACTCCGGAGACTTGGCAGAACACGAATATTAGCGTTTAAAAACATAAAACATATCAACAATGATATAGTCAGTAAAACTGCATTTTTCACACACAAGCGGTACTTGCTCATACAATATAGTTGTTGAGATACATTTTAATATTTTGAAACACTAATATTTGTGTTAGACAAAGTCTCCTGATTATAACAGTACACCCCATGTACAGTTTTTTTTGGTGTTTTCAAAAGTTACTGAGGCAAATATAATGCTTGTTTCCCTTTATTCACATTTAAATTTGCCCGATTGGTTATGATTCTTTTGAGACGTATGGTAGCCCAGGAATGAGAATTAACCCTGCGATGGCATACCATTTGCAAAAGTAGACAACCCAAGGTATTGCAAATGGGCTATATCCAGTCTTTTTTCGTAGCCACGAAATTTGAACCCTAACATTAACCCTAAATGTCCCATGTCCTAAGCTTAGTGAATGTACTAACTATAATGAAAGTGTAAAACTAGTTTTACTTACCTTCCAGGACCTTGCTGTGGAGGAGTAGCAGGAGTGCTAGCACGCATGTGCAGCACAGGATCCTGCTGATTCCCCTCACCGGAAGTGACGAGGGTAGTGGATTTTCACGGGAAGGGGAATTTGATAGAACACCGGGATTGACTGTGTAAAGCTCCACCTATCGCCTCACAAGGGGATTGGTGACTACGTCAGTCAACTCCACGGTGTAATATGATTGGTCAAAAGCATGTACGATCACGCCCCATGGGACGTGATCGTACATGCTTTTGACCAATCATATTGCACCGTGGAGTTGACTGATGTAATCATATTACACCGTGGAGTTGACTGATGTACTCACCACTCCCTTTAATAATTCACAATAACCTGTGGAGTCCTGTATTAAAATGTTCTGACAGCATGCTTGCTGGATGGGGGAACACTGCATAGGCACCTGCCCAGCTCCAGCCACACTGCTCTGTGCAGAATATAAAATAATTTATTATTTTGGTAGACAAGGAGGACATATCAGCCATGCCTTGCAGCCCCACGTAGTCAGATCTAGCCTACCTAACTCATTAACAAGGAACACATTTTTGAAAGGTGGGAGTAGAGGCTGTACACTGTGGATTAAGATTACAATCATGGAAAATAAAAGGTTTTCAATTAGTTCCTAGCACCATAACATTTGCAATAAGCTGTAGATGCCCCTTAGGAAGATACCACACAATAAAAAAATAAAAAAAAACTGTCTTGCCACCTTAGGCCCAGGTATTGCTTACTGTATGATACATCACGGTTTGTGGGGCTAAAGCATACACAATTACCACTTTTTTTCAGTATACAATAGCTTTTTTTTTTTATTGCCATCACTTTCTGTACATAAACATTATAAACAACTTATTCAACTGCTAACATCCTGTCAGACTTAATGAATCTTGTTTGACAATAGAATCAAATGCAAATGGCATTCACACAGGATACTTTAATTAAGTGACACTTACCCATATTTACTTAATTTTCATTTTTTAAGTTTTTTTTTTTTTCTGTACACAATATAGTTTTTGTTATTCTTGCATTTTTACATGTTTTTTTTAAAGCAAAGGCTGCAGTTTAAATATGTTAAATTCTTAAATAGAAAGTTAATAATGAAATTCTCCTTTCAAAAGACCCTTTATCAAATATCTATGTTACAGCATGCCCAACTAAATTATTTGTATTCATGATAAGGCTAATGTAATCGAGGACCATATTTATCCTAACTTACTTGATGCTCCTTTTGGCATTTAATAGATCACTTGTGTTCCACAGCTTGTAACAGCATTACATTTTTCTTCAAAGTAACACAAGAGCTAGCTTTAATTTTTACAGATAACACACTTAGAGAAAAGCATAATTATTCAGCTACTGAGTTGGTTTTTTTTTACTGTTGCAGCTAAGATTGTATCCATATGCACTGCCACCGAAAGTGTTCTTGTTCTGTAGAGTTTTCATTAAAATAATGCTTATCTTGTATCAAACATGATAAGGAAGACAATGTATAATTGATTTTTTTTTATTTATTTTTTTGCTTATTACGTGCTTAATCTAATGTCTTTTGTAAGTCAATTGATCAGTAAAACTGGAATGGTAATTATTAATTGTAATAGAGAAATATGTCCACTAGAAGGTGCTAGAGGTTCTACAATATTCACTCACCCACTTTGATTCAAGCGGATTGTTTCACCAAGTTTTTACTTCATGTCTAAATATTGTTTTACTAGCTACGACCACATTATATATTAACTATGCTTAAAGGGTTGAGTTTAAGATCTCTTTTTTTGTTTTATATTACACCAAAGGTTCAATCCAAAAAAATATCCAATTACGGTAATAATGGGATTTGAACACATAGTAATATTAGGTTATACAATTAAAATTGTGTTTTTACATTGCTTTTCTGATATGTAGAATTTCGATATCGCTGTTTAAAAATTATTGCTGTATCGTGTGTGTGTGTGTGTGTGTATGTATGTATGTAATTTCATTTTTGTTGCAGGTACATAACTGAGTCTTGAGAGAGTCATCACGGGTAATTTCATGAAGGAACAACGAATTAGCCAGAGAAATCAATTATTTTATTAATCAACTCATCATGTTTGACGAAGCTCATTTTCATTTTAATGGCTTTGCCAATAAGCAAAATTGTTATTTCAGGGGTACAGAAAATCCACTGTTCATTTATCAGGGCCAATTGCACCCTACCCAATGCACCATCTTGTTATCGGGCAGAAATTTGAGCACTAGAGCCTCAAACATTAACTAATGTTGTGAGCAATGCAATCAAAAAAACTTTGTGATGTTGCAATTGGAGCTCATTTAAAAGATGTCATCTTCCATACCTAGTCAAACAAATCTCTATATGTTAAGCATTTATTATATGTAATATTATTGAAATTGGTTCATTAATAAAAAAAAAAATATTGACTCCTCAAACTCTACCTTGAATTTTGGCCTTCCTTGTATGTTTGTATGCAATATATATATATATACACACACACACACACATTTGAAAAACTATTTTCAGTACAATATAAGTTTCTCAGTATAAGATGCAGACAATTGTATGCCTTATTAAATTTTAAAAAAATCAATTAATGCAGTAAATAAAGCATTATTTATCTGTGAGCAAGGCATTGATATATGAACGTGCATTTTCTGTTTGGCCTACTGTTGAGAAAAGTGACTCTCTTGCTTGCAATCCCCAGGCTCATTCATGACAAGTTGGCTATGAAAATAGTTTTCTTATGTACAATACTCAAAAAATGAGAAACCCTCAATGTCAAATTATGGCTAATATTTTTTTACTGTAATCTAAATTTGATAAAATGAAAAATGTATTATTTACAGGAAATTCATTTGGATGATGGAGTTGCTTAGATTACAATAACACCCTGTAATATTTTAATATAGAAGTCATAAAATACTATTTATATTTTCAAAGATAACATTACTAAAAGCTATGTTCAGCATGATACTGTAAACATTTTGATTATATACATATATTGGTATGTACTGATATAAATTAAAGGACCACTTTAGGCTATGTTTACATTGAGGGTTAATCCAGCCTCTAGTGGCTGTCTCCCTGACAGCCACTAGAGGCTGCTTCTGCGATCCTCAATGCGAAAATCGCATTGAAGACACGCTGACGTCCATAGGAAAGGATTGAGTAATGCTTTCCTATGGGCGGTCTAAATGCACGCACAGCTCTGGCCGCGCATTCAGAGCGGAAGTCGGCAGGGGGAGGAAAGGTCACCAGCGCCGAGGGAGCATGGCACTGGATTAAGGTAAGTGGCTGAAGAGGTTTAAATCACTTCAACCCAGCAGGAGGGGGGGACCTAATAAGTTTTTTTCCTGGCACTATAGTGCTCCTTTAAATCACAACAAGTATAGTGAAAGAAGTTAGATAATAATATATGGTCCAGGGCCAATCATTTGACCTGAATGTCAACAATGTCTTTTATGGCATCCGCCATATTAGAACCTAATACATTTTTGTTTAAATAAAGTTTTGTTAGCTTCAAAGGCCATTAACCATTTTTTGACAATGTTGGACATCAATACTTAAGCAGCTTCAGAACATGTTTACTAAAGCCAAAAGAGGGCCTATTCTATGCATATGGTTATAATTTAACTACTTAACCAAATTTTTTTTGCCAATTACAGTACATCAATATCTAGTGTTTGACCGGGATAATGCTGTACAAAGCTAAAGTCTGCTGTTACCGCTTTCAAAATGGCAACTGCATTGGATGCACCCTTGTGCCTTCCTCCTCATGAACTGAATGCTTGTCATGCACTAATTATAGAAGAAATGGGCATGAACATCTTTTTCATGCAGTAACTCTAGCTGTTACAACAATGCTGACAACATACAGGAAGAGGTTAGAAACTTAATATAAGAATACAATTAAAGTAACTAACAGCATATAAATTAAAATTTCTTATCAATAATTCAGATAATATATTGATCTGTATTTTTTGTACATGACATATATGCTTCCATATACCATAGAAATGACGGTGAAATAATTTGAAAGGGTGCCTTTATTGCCAATGCCATCAAAGTAGCACTGTGATTTGTGGAGTCCTTGTAATTACTTCTAAGTCCCTATACATGGCCTGCCTGCTTGCATGGTGAGGTCTAGGGTGGGGAAGAAATGGAAATGTATTTACCTGAAATTCTAATTGTTGCCATTTTTTTGGTGTTCATCTCCCGGCAGATGAAGTGACAAGCAAGAGTGCAAAATTGATCCTCCAAATATTTTTTCGCTCTGGCACAAGGGAAATGTCACTATACAGCAAATATTTTTAAAGCTTACATAATACAATTTATTCTCTACATTGTCATATACATTCCCTTTGATTGATTTAGTGTATTTTCAAGTTTTATAGAGTCTATGTTCATGAAAAACTTCTTCATGAAGTTACTCTGCCAGTTTAAGCATCAAATTAGACAAGTGGTTCTTCTTAATCACTAGCTTGTGGCTCAGAATAGGTCTCTTTCATATGTGAGAGGCCTGTAACTGTTTGGACTATGCACATCATATTCTGCAGGCCCTAGGAAAATGAAAAATTAAACTGTAGGTAATGCATTCTACAGTGCCTTGGAAAGTTCTCTGACTACTTGGACATGTTTTTTTTTTATATTACATTACATTTAAGAATTGGAAAATGAACTAATTTTACACTTGAAAAATGGTTTGTCAAAATAATAAATATAAATAAATAAAATTGGTACTTGTAAGAAATGGTTAAGCCTAAAAAAGTTTAATACGATGTAGAATATTTCAATGAATAGGTGCACAAACCATCTCCAGTACTAAACCTATGAAATATTAAAAATATACTCTAAGCATCTTTTTGTATTATTTATGCTGTTAGGGAGATGTCCCTGCAAAATGACCTTTTACTCCATTAGCATTTTCTCAATTGCTAATTAAATGGCTAGAGGCTGGCATGGCTCTTTAAGGTAACGCCTTGGGTACATAGTTTAGCTTTAGACATTTAGATTAAATGATTGCATGAAAGTAAACGTGCACACTGTCCAATATTGGGAACATATATGTTAACCTAGCTACAAAGCAAAACCAAAAAAGAAAAATCACTGGCAAAAAAAAAAAAAAGAGTAAATAGATTTTGCCGTTTAAAACCCAAATGAAAAGCATTAACAAAGAGGTGTTATTTGTAAAATCTAAATCTACAATGACAGACATAGTAAAAGTAGTGTGTGCTATGAATCTACCAGGCATTTTTATTTCTTCAAGTATCAGATGCTTAAAGTTTTATTGCTGTTAAATCCAATCATCTTCCTCTGTTTTTCACTCGCAGCGTGACATGTTGGGACTGAGCTTTTCACTCAGTTTGTGAATCAAGGCAGACAATTCTTCTGTTGCTTGTGATTTATCTTCCAGCAGTTCATACCGGAGACTGGAGATATCTTGTTTTATTTCTTTCAATTCACCTGTGTTAATAAATTTGTAATTACTATTTTCGTAAATTGTATTTTTTTACTCTTTTCTTATGTGTTGATTTATTTTTTCATGACAGCATTTAGTTTAGTTTTTAAAACAAGCATAATGCACAATAAAGCCTTATTTTTTTCTGCTTCTGTGTGATCCTCTCTTATGATAACTCTTTTATGTGTGCTGCTGGGTTTTCTCTGTGTTCACAAAAGACCGCTTAAAAGAGAAACCTGTGGGATGCAGTAAGAAAGGAGGCATATAGCTAGAAGGCTGCTGTTTATTATACCCTTCACACCCAGAATATGGTTTGGGAGATGTAAACCTGGGGCTTTTCATTTACCGAGGTCCTGTAAACACCCAGTTAATATTTGTTTTATTCCAATAATTATGTACACCTGACTGCAAATACATTCATAAGGTAATGCTTCTATTATCATAAGGCAGTGATTTCAAATCTGTGGGTCATGATTTTCCAGAGGTTAGTATCCAGGGGGCCTTTTGGAACACTACACTGAGACTTCAAATGGCAGGCAAGATGTATATGTCTTCCTAAATGACCGCCTGTGAGAGGCTGCAGGTTTGCCTGATATCTAAAGTAGGAAATCTGTTTTTTGTTTGCCCCAGTGCAAGAAACAATGCCAAAATGTGCTTTCAAGTGCCATGTACATTAATAATTCTGAATGAATGGAAAGATATGTGACATTATCTGATTCCATACTCAGTAAATCATTGCAATGGCAGCTGTTCTGCCTATGATCATGCAGAGACAACTCAATCAAGATGTACTAAGGAAGCGACCACTCTATGTCAAAAAGTATAACTGATTGTATGAGACCTAATGGCAGTGGCAAGACACCAGGGTACGAAAAAGAGGTTAATGGACTATGGGAAAGACACCTGGTGACTAAAGGGTAAAATATCTGGAAGCTGAAAGTGAGCTACCTAGGAACTGAGGGTAAAAGACATGTTGAGTAATCAGAGCAAGTGTAGGAGACTCCTCCTGAAATTGAGAAAGCCAGGATTTCCCAAGAAGTCTAAACCACTTGATTCCTATAGAGATTGTTATAGAAACCACAGCTGCATAGACACTAAATCTTATATTTATTTTAGAGTAATGAAAATAGAAAGTTAAAAAATTTAGCAAGAAGATCAAAACATAATCTCCTTAAACAAAGATCAAAACAATATCCACAAAGCATCCACAAAGTCAGAGACTATTAGAATTTCCAACATCTCAAAATAAAGTGAGAGCAGAACCAAATGCAAAGCATAACTTGTATGCACCGTGAGTTTACAATTTGATAATCATCTTTTAACTTCCATAACTTAAATTCAAATTCATTTCTAATGGGGTGAGTTTAGCAGTTCATCTCTGGAATTTTACCCATACTGATTCACTCGATACTTTCGTTATGGGAGCAGAGTCAGTGTTATCTATTAGGGATGTGCATGGGCAAAAAATTTGGTTCGGAAATTCGGGTAAGTAAAAAAAATTTGTCTGCTTCAGCACTTCCGAAATTTGTCAATTCGGACTTTGGAAATTCGTAAGCATCTGAATTGCATGAAATTCATCCAAATATACATTTGGAACTAAACAAATTGCACATGTCTATTATCTACAGAAACATTTTTATGTGGGTGCCTGGGTTGGCAAAACCATTATTTATATAAACTCTATCCTTCTTAGGTATCACTTAACATAAAATGGAGGTCAAATTCCCAGGGCACCCTTTTTGTGACGTGCTATGGAGGCCACACTCCTACCTCCCAGCATTTTAAATGGACAAAGATGGATGCCTTAATTGTAGGGGTGTGAGTGAAGGGTGGAGCTATACTGAAAAATATTAGATGGCTTACTAATAATTTATTAAACTAAAAAGTCATTTAGAACAAGAACAATGCATCTTATTTACACAGCCTGATTTCTAACATATTTATCGTAGTTTAAAGACACATTGCTACAAGTACTATTGCTGTGGAGCTCTGCTACAGACTCAGCAGCTCCAAGAAAATAGGAATAGTAAGATAGAGAACAGGGACAGAAGGATTTGGGCTCCAAATGGGACTGTTCTGCCTAAATAGGGACACTTAGGAGGGCTAAATGCTTATCTGTAAGTATGCAACCTCTGATTAATGTGGTTTTGTTAAATGACTTTCTAACATGATGTGACCTTGCTGGGTCCTGCTAGACTCTCCCAGCTTTATGCATAGCAAAACGTCCTATATTTGAACATGGTAAACGATTTATGCATACTGAATATGATCATGAATATGGGATTATGCTGGTTCAAGATCAACCACGAGGCGAATAGCAGATTGAGGTTGAGGTCAGTCAAATTAGAAACCACGCGTTGCCTTTGTAGACCTGCATGGGCTTTTGTGCACATAGCTTTATAGATGTATGCATCACTAGTAATGTTTAAGTGAAAAATAAGGATTTAAAAAAAATAAACTTTAATTATTTTTAAACTTTCATTTGATTCTATTTAAAATTCAAACAAAAATGTATCTTACCTTCATTTACTTCATCATTTTCTCTGTCCACTTGTGCTCTCAATACATATCTCTTTATCAGTCTTTTCATAATTTGCTGTCAGAAAAAGTGAAATATATGGTTGTAAGGAAGAACAGAGTTAAGTTTAGCTCTAGTAACGTGCATCTCTTAAAGAACTGCTAAATCTTTCTTTTTTTTTTTTGCTCAAACACTCTCTAATGGGAATCAGTCTTAAAGAAGAATAAATCCATGATGCTTGCTAATGTCACTTCTCTTTCAACCAATTTTTGTCTTATCATTTGTGTTTTTACAATCTGTAGACACTTTATTACATTTTATTAGACAATAGATCATATCGGAAAGAAAAACAATTACATGCCTCCTGTTTATGATTTGTATAGAATTACGTGCATATTTTGATTTGAGTTACAAAAGAAAAAAAACAAAAAACACTTACCTCATAGCGAGATGGCTGATGGAGAATACTATTAAAACTACGCGACTCGAAAACCTTTGCATTGGACTGAGAAAAAAGATTTAACTGCAAGAAAATAAGAAATAAAATTATCATTAAACTATCAGTTTATTAAAATTTGATAAAAAATGATTTAACAAATGCCAAGAATTTATGTGAACTGGTACTGCTGAATCTGTTTAGTGTCACTAGGTTAAATGTACTCTTCACTCTCTATAAAGTTGTTTTATGGAATGGAGCACCTGGGCGCCATCTTAGTTTAAACTAACCTAGTTTAAGATAACCTGCCTATCTGCAACGCTTCCTCTCTCCGCTGCTCTGCCATTGTACACATCATGAATTGTTGCCTTGGACACAGAGTATCAGCTGATGCTTTCAGCCTATCACTGGCAGCTAATTGCAAGTTGCAATACCTATGTGAACCCACTAGCAAGAATATAAATTAAAACCTAAATAGTACACCTTATTAGATATCAAAAACATGGACAAGAAGACTCCTGGACAGCTGTGAGTCATATTTATGCTCAGGATAAAAAAATTACCTGGCTTGTGCATATTCCACAGGTGTTGAATAATGAAATATGTGCAGACTAAGCCTTTGGACTTTTTCTTACCCAACAGCAAACAGGAACGTTAACTTGAAATCAGGTTGCAGAACTTTGGGTGTGTCCATCAATGTCAATAGGTTTGTATGGGAATATGTCTTGAAAATCAAATATAACTAAAAGCTTTTGTGGGAGGGGATTTTTTAGACATTTGAATAGGTTTGTAAAATGACATGCAAAAAAATAGGAAAAATTGTTTACAAAATAGGGGGGCAGAGCCTGACACTGTACCGGAGCAAACGTACCTTACTAGAGCTCCTTAATAGCCCATCTTAATCAGACATAATCAGGGCCATCCTGCTACAATTCTGGCCACATACCCTGCCATAGCTCAGAGAGCGTCCCATTGACACTGCCAATGTCGTTCTTTCTGATGCTCGGCTCCAAAAATTGAAGCCAAGGCGGCAAGGCCTACCACACAGGCGGACAGCAGCGAGACACAGCTGGAGGACTCTGGCTTTTTTATGTTAAGTTGTCTAGTATGTTATACAAAAGTTTTTCATATAATCTAATTTTAGTTACATTTGATATTGCCACTACCAAGCAACAGTCTATAAGATGAGAAAGGGGCATACTAAGGCTACACCTCCCTGCTCCGGTGATACCCACTTTCCTCCCCTCCCTGGGGTAAAAGTGTATTGAAAGCAACGGAGCTCCCTAACCCTGATTAGCACAGAGCTTTAAGACATATGTGCCACCATTAGAACTACGCCCTATTGGCGCAGCTCGATCTTCTTACATTCCCACCTACCTAGACTCACACAGGGCATAGTTACAAAACCATGTCGCGACTATACATAGCCATCACCACTATCACATAATAGCCTGAGGCGCACAGTGCACTACAACTACAAGCAACAGCCACTTAGCCACAGTTGGTAGCCACCATGGGTGCAGGCCACGTTAAAGTAAGGGGCCCTTCAGAGGAATGCCAAACTGCACCACACGCTAAACATAGCTTATAAATAAGGTGCCACGGGGAGACCATAAACCACTAACCTTAAGAGGAAATACCGGAGCATAACGACCATAGTTAGAGGCCATAGTCTATACCACCCACCCACCATGATAACTGCACTGATCCAT